CTAACAAAATCTGCTAGGAAACTTCACTGCTCCTTTCATGTTCGTGACCAAGGAGGAGCCTCGCTATATCAGTGCCTTCATCGGTATGATGGCCTTCGGCTTGACTTCCAGCGCTTGCGCCATTGTTATGAAGATCTGGCTCAGCCGCTCCAACAAGCGACTGTTGCGAGAGGCGCAGCAAAATGGTACTGTCTACCAGCCTTATGTCACCTAAGTATCCAGCAATTGTATCCTGCACAGCCTCCATGTCGCGTTGGGTTGCTGCAAAGTGGTATGACTTGAGTTGCTGTTAGATGATGAAAATTCTTTTACTGGGTGGCATAAACGATATGGAATGGGAAAGACTGTGATTCTGGAGTTGCAGGCAAATTGCTACTCGATGCAATCAATTTGAGTTATGTACTATAGCCTCCAGAGTCATTATTTACAAGAAGTGCAAACTCTTATACCATCCACATCACAAATCCTTTAGCTAAACTGCCACCAGTTGAAGTTGAACAGAGAGCCAGATCCAGATCCAGTGAATACAAAGAAGAGATCACTCGTGCCAGTAGCACCGCCGACGGGGCACTCCACGGTCTTGTAAGTCTGCCAGTTTCCAGTAGTCGTTACCGTGCAGGTACCAACCAACTTGCCCGTCTTGCTTCCAAGTCGAAGCTCAATCTTTCCACCGCTGCTGTTAGATGCAACACGGGCGCTGAAGCTTTTGGCACCGGTGCTGCCAAAGTCGACTCCCTTGACCTTGATGTAGTCACCATTGTCGATGTAGGCAACGTTGAGGCCACCTTCGCTGCAGACCTCAGTCTCGATACCCTCAGACCAAGCGATAGTCTCTGCTTCTTGCTTGACGTAAGGGTTCAAAGACTTGACCTGCGCTGGGCCTTGTGTAGTCATCTGGATCTCGGGGATCAGACCGTCGGAACCATACTTGAAGCTCTCGACAGCCACGGACCGGGTGTACCCGCTGCCTCCGTTAAGGGCACCATTGTGATAGAAGAAGTACGAGTTGTTCTCAAAGTCTATGATGCCGGGATGGTTGGTGAAACTTCGGCCCGCCTTGTTCATCACGACACCACGGTAAGTCCATGGTCCAGTGGCGCTGGGTCCTGTTGAGTAGCGGATATCCTCGGAACAGCAGTTGGCGGCGTAGATCATGTAGTATAGATTGCCACGCTTGTACAGCCAAGGTCCTTCTTCGAAGGTAGTAGGACGCTGCGCATTGTTGGGTCGGCTGCCGAATCCAGCTGTTGTGAGCGATACCTTGTTGATGCTACCACTATAAGATAGCATATCCTGGTTGAGCTTGACGTAATACAAGCCAGGGTTGCCCCAGTAGAGATAGGCCTGGCCATCAGTGTCGATATAAACCGTGGGGTCGATCTCATTGTTCTCTACCAATGGCTTTCCGAGGGCATCAGTGTAGGGCCCAAGGATGTTGGTACTAACACCAACGCCAATAGCCATTCCTCCCGTCTTGGCATTGCGGACAGGAACGTAGAAGTAAAACTTTCCATTTCGAGCAACGACTTGACCCGCCCAGGCTCTGCTGTTGGCCCAGCTGAAGGTCTTTAAGCTCATGGGGACACCATGATGTTGCCAGTTGACCATATCAGCTGATGAGAAGAGACGCCAGTCTGTCATGTTGAAGTCGGTAGAGCCGTCGTTGTCATGGCCTGTGAAGAGGTAGACGCGGCCGTTGTAGACCATTGGAGCTGGGTCTGCGGTGTAGATGTCTTGGACGATGGGGTTGTCTGCTAGAGCAACGCCAGTGAGGCCCAGGAGGGTGCTGACGAACAGCAATGGGGAGGTCAGCCACATCTTGAGTACTCAGCACAACTGTTGACGTGTATCAATGTCTTGCCAACTCAGGCTGTTGAGGAAGAGTGATTCTATGATGAGATTGTTATAAGCAGTTCGAGGTCGCCTTTAAATATTCGACCCTATGCTGACATGTAGGTCTAGGTTCCCCGCATAAGAATGGTAGCTACTCAAATTTGTTGAACGACCCTGTTAGCTCAGAGATGCATGAGGGTTAAACGAGCGAATCCCGCTTTGGCACAAATAGGCTATGATATCTTCGTAAGATAACAACAAACAATTTGCGCGCCTAACTGGTATGCGGACATGAAGACATATTTAACACTGAGCTTGAGGTTACTATTTGCGCGCATCGTCCAACTGCAGCTATTCATGAAAGAAGAACCCGGATAATCGGATCAAGGTGAATCATTTACTAGAAACAGACAGCATATCGGCGGAGACTCAACTGATTGGCACGGATACGAGAAAGACACTTCGAGTCATGTTTCAGTCAAGGGTGAGATCAACACAAATCATCTGATGTAGCCTTGCTTCATCTGGGGTACTCCATAACGGAAGAGGCATTCCGTCAGTCAGAATGGGGATGTGATGACATCTACCAAATGCCGACTGCTGCAAGTGCCGATCTTCCGTTAAGCGATCCATATAAAACACGCCCAAATTAGGCTAATACGCCGTTTAACGTCGTTCAGCTCCCCTTAATTATCGGGGTAGTGACGAATAGATGAAGCGTCCGGTGATTTCATCCCCATGGTTTGACCACGTTTGTTTCAGCCTGAAGTTGGCGCATCGTGCATAATGCGGGGTCCAACCCTGTAATAAACATTGGCGCGTTTTCACTCGTGGCTCTAGATGGGCCATGTATTTCCGTGAGAACTCTAAGAAGTCTGGACGCTGATCCCTGTTCAGCTAAAGCGCACCAATCGTTTCATGTCAAAACTCTCAATTGAAGTGTCGGCCCTTTTCTTATAAGTTGAGGTGAGAAATACTGTGAACGAGTTCCTGTTCGACAGCGCTCTTTTGTTCTTCACGATTTCAACATGCGTGCTATTTTTGGCCTCCTCTTCTCGGCCGCTGCCGCTCTGGCAGAAACGTTTACCAACCCTGTTATCTGGGAAGATCTCTCCGATGTGGAAGTCACTCGGGCTGGGGATGCCTACTTCATGACTGCTTCGACGTTCCACTACTCCCCCGGAGCTCCAGTTCTTCGCTCATACGATCTCGTCAACTGGGAGCACATCGGGCATTCCGTCCCTGTCCTCGACTGGTCCTCCAAGTACAGCCTTGAGAACGGACAGCGAGCTTACGTCAAGGGCATCTGGGCTTCTTCTCTGCGATACCGCGAGAGCGACGGAAAGTTCTACTTCGTTGCTTGCATTGAGTTTGGCAAGACCTATATCTACAGCGCTTCGAGCCCAACTGGCCCCTGGTCCCAGATCTCAACCATCAACAAGTGCTACTACGATGCTGGCCTGACTTTCGACACTGACAGCACTCCTTATGTTGCCTATGGACGTGGTGATCTTCATATCGCCCAGCTCTCCAAGGACATGAAGACCGAAGTCAAGGAACAAATTGTCCTCACACCGCCATCTACGCTTACTCTCGAGGGATCTCGCCTGTACAAGAAGGATAACAACTGGTACATCTTCTTGACACGTCCTGCCACCGGACAATACATCGCCAAGTCAACCAACGGACCATTCGGAACATACAATCTCAAGATCATCGCTGATAACCTCAAGCTTGCCACTGCCCCACGTGCTGGAGCACCTCATCAAGGCGGTCTTATCGACACACCCAACGGCAAGTGGTACTACATGTCTTTTGTGGACATGTACCCTGGCGGAAGAGCACCAGCTTTGGCACCTATTACTTGGGGCAGTGATGGCTACCCCAGTATCACCCTCGTTAATGGCCAATGGGGCAACTATGACTACCCACTCCCTAAGCGCACGGTTCCCAGCCCTATTGGTACTGATACTTTCACTGGTCCCAACCTCCGAGCTGATTGGGAGTGGAACCATAACCCCGATACCAAGAGCTTCAGTGTCAACAATGGCTTGACCTTGAAGACCGCTACTGTCACCAAGGACCTGTATCAAGCTCGCAACACCCTCACTCACCGAATCCGCGGCCCTCAGGGAACTGGCACAGTCCTCATCGACTTCTCCAAGATGGCCGATGGTGATCGCACTGGTCTCGCTGTTCTTCGCGACTCATCAGCCTGGATCGGCATCGAACGCGAAGGAAGCAACTTCAACCTCGTCTTCAACACAGGTCTCAGCATGAACACTGACTGGACCACCAAGTCCACAGGAAGTGTCTCAGCCCGACAAAACAACGTTTCTTTCCGCAAGGTTTATCTCCGTGTCGCCGCTAATATCAGCCCTGGTGCTGCTGGATCTGCTGTGTTCAGCTATAGCACCGACGGCAACAGCTTCACCAACTTTGGGTCTACTGTCTCGCTTGGTAATGATTGGCAGTTCTTCCCCGGGCATCGTTATGGTATTCTTAACTATGCTACCAAGGCTCTTGGTGGATCCGTGCTTGTTTCGCGATTTGATAACAAATAATCGCCATGTTTGAGCTTCATCGTATATAGTTGTCAGGTACATATCGAGAGAATAGTAAATACTTATCAACAACTCTCAGTCTCACGCTTTCATACCTTGGCAGTGATAATGACTTAGAAAGGCTTCTGTTATATCGGACTCAGTCTTGCATAGCTAAGTGTGACAACAGGCACCACTGCATAAGAAGAGGGTACTAAATGAAGCTGTAGATGTTTCTCTAAACTTGGGCTATCTCATCTAAATCTTTTATCATGGTCTGAGATTTTGCTGTCTCCCCAAATTCAAGCCCTCCGTGGTAAGACCCCCATATAAGGATACAAGGGCTCATGTGCAAGCTGCAGGACCGTTCAGACGATCCGGACCTACGATTGGTCTTCATCGGATCTGCTGATGGCGGGGGCCTTATTTCGTAAGCTCTGTGCTAGCCCTCTTTTTCGTTTCACTATATGTCTCTTAAGACCAGTTTATCCACGCATGCCCGTACAGTCGGGGCCAGAACCTCTTATGAGTCAAAATAGGATGAACAAAGATGTCTTTACTCATAATGACTATACCGTGGGATGGGTCTGCGCCTTGCCGAAGGAGCTAACAGCCGCTACCGCCATGCTGGATTATCATCACCCAGCACTATCGAAGCCCCGAAACGACATCAACTCGTATACTCTTGGTTCCATCGGGCCTCACAACGTTGCCATTACTTGCTTACCAAAGGGTATGATAGGGAATGTCCCAGCAGCAACGGTTGCTAGTCATCTAGTCACTACCTTTCCCTCTATCAAAGTCGGTCTTATGGTAGGTATCTGTGGCGGTGTACCATCCAACAAGGTCCGGTTGGGGGATGTTGTTGTTGGTACATCCTCTGGCGACTATCCTGGAGTAGTGAAATGGGATGCTGGCAAGGTCCATGGCCAGGGAAAGTTCGAACGAACGGGATCACTTAACAATCCACCTCAGTCACTGTTGACTGCTCTTACACAGCTGGAGACGCAACACAACCTGATCGGAACCAAGATACCCGAGTATCTCGAAGAACTGAAACATAAATCGCCAAAGCTTGCTGCTGTGTCTCTACGACACAAGTCTCTCAACGATGTCTTGTTCAAGTCATCTTACGAGCATGTTGTGGACATAATTTGCGAGACGGATGACGAGGATGTAGATGAGGGCGAGGATGAAGAGCAGGACCCTTGTCAGTTCTGTGATAGATCTATGATTGTGAAAAGGAAGGACCGAGAAATGCGCATACACTCTGGTCTGATAGCATCAGGCGATAAGCTGGTCAAAGACGCTGCATCACGCAACAAACTCAACAAAGACCTCGGGGGACAGGTCCTCTGTATCGAAATGGAGGCTGCGGGTCTTGTCAATCATTTTCCTTGTCTTGTTATACGAGGTATATGTGACTACGCCGATTCGCACAAGAACAAGGATTGGCAGGAACACGCAGCTATTGTAGCCGCAGCCTTTGCGAAGGAGCTCTTACAGTATGTGCAACGAAATGATGTCGAGGGCGAGCGTCCACTGAAGGACTTGTTGAACGATGGTAAGATTTCTCTGTTCCCCACGCCCTATCAATAGCTGATAATGCATAGTCCACTCGCTTGTTTCCGAAACACGCGAGGATGTCGCTGAAATTAGATCCAATCAGAGTAGACGAGATGATATCAAGATTCTTGACTGGCTCACGACAATCGACTACGGCTTGCAGCAGAGCGAATTTCAGAAGGTGCAACAGCCAGGAACTGGCAGTTGGCTTCTCGATACATCCGAGTACCGAACCTGGTTGGAGACACCTGGGCAAACTCTCTTTTGCCAAGGCATCCCAGGTGTTGGAAAGACTATCCTGACATCGGGTCTGATAGATCACCTAAGCTCCAAACTTTCTGGGGGCTCTGCAAGTGGTATAGCATACATCTTCTGCAACTTCCAGAGACAGGATCAACAAACCACCGACGGCCTTCTTGCGTGTATTCTAAAACAGCTTTCTGCCGGTTTGCCGTCGCTGCCGGAGTCCTTGCGGTCTCTCTACACAAGCCATGCTATACAACGGACACGACCATCTTCCAGAGAGATCATTTCTACTCTTGCGTCTATGATATCTGAGCACTCGAGGGTCGTTATCATAGTTGACGCACTCGATGAGTACGGGAGTGCTCCCGGCGCAAGAGAGCCCTTTCTAGTGCAGCTTGCTCGACTACAGCAACAATTTGACGTCAATCTCTTTGCCACTTCAAGATATGACACCACAATCTCTTCTGAGATCAGATCCAGCTTCCCCAACAGCATGAATTTAGAGGTCAACGCAGTGAGTGATGATATTGGCACATACATCGAAGGAAACTTCAACATATTGCCTCCTGATATCCGGCAAAACAAGGACATTCGCCAGGATATAGTGGAGTCTCTCCAAGTATCTGTGGACGGAATGTATGTTATCATAGAACAGGCATAAGACCTATTGCTAACAGTTTGCAGGTTTCTTTTGGCACGGATATATCTGAACTTGCTCAGCTTCAAGGTCTCTGGAACAGAGATACGAAACCAGTTAGCCATGTTCAAGCGAGGCAGTAGGAAGGGCAAAGCTAAAGCCTTATCCGATGCCTACGAGCAAACCATGACCAGGATTAAATCTCAGGAGTCAGATCACGCTATGCTAGCTAAGGGAGTTCTCCTTTGGCTTACATACGCGAGAAGTGAGTTGACTGTGGAGGATCTGCGATACGCCCTTGCGACAAGATCCAAATATCGCATGGTGTGCACACAAGACTTGCCCTTCGAGTCGACTATGATCTCTGTCTGTGCCGGACTTGTATCCTTGGACGAGTCGAGTAAGATCATTCGGCTTGTTCATTTTACCACGCAAGAATATCTTATCCAGAACCCCGACGAGCTATTCCCGTTGACGGAACAAGACATTGCAAGGACCTGCATGGCACACCTATGGGTTGACGAAAACGAACGCTACCGCTTTCTAGACTTTGACCTCGCTACCAGATCCTCGTATCCATTGTGGTGGTACAGCGCTCTCAATTGGGGTCTTCACGGGCGCGATTCCTCCATTCCAAACCATGAGCTTATCGAATTCATGAATGATGAGGCGACGGTCAGTCTTGCCATGAGAAACGCCCTGCAGAGATTCACAGTCGGTTACTTCTTCATGAGGCACCTTCACATAGCGGCATATTTCGGCCTGGCTGAGCTAGTTGAGAATATCCTTGACAGGGGGGCAGCGGTAGATATAGTGGACCGGACTGGGAGGACTCCCCTTTCATATGCGGCTGAACAGGGCTATGAGGACATTATGGCAATGCTCCTTGAAAGGGGGGCGGAAGTTGATTCTCAAGATGGTGGCATTCCCGATCGGAAATATCATAATGAGAATGCAGGACGTACCCCATTGTCATTTGCCACAGAGCGAGGGCACGAAGCCGCAGTTCATATCTTGATAGGGAGTGGGGCGTCTTCCTCGGTGAGGTCCAAATCTGGACTTACGCCACTGTCTTATGCTGTGGAGAACAGACGAGAGAGTCTGGTTAGGTTGTTTCTTAACACGGAACCTGGCGACATCAGCATTGAACTAGGACGAGCAGTCGACAACGAACATGAAAGTATTGTCCGACTTTTGCTTGAGCATGGCGCCGAAGTCGACTGCTCATCAACCCCTGGTATGACGCCACTGCTTCGTGCAACACGCGCCAACAACAAGGACATCGTCCGTCTACTACTGGCAAATGGTGCGAACCCAGATCCTCTCTATAGTCTCTCTACACCACTTTTATCTGCTGCCGTCAGAGGGTATGATGGTATTGTGAAACTACTTCTTGAGACTGAGAGGGTCGAGATCGACCGACCGGATAGATTCGGGCGCACAGCTTTATCCCACATGGCACAACATGGGGAAGGAAGCCACCGTGAGAATGTTGCTAGATATGGGAGCCAATCCTGACACTGAGTCACAGGCGACATTCATTGGAGCACAATTCTATAATGGGAGAACACCGCTTTCGTTCGCAGCAGAGAAGGGGCATAAGGCAATCGTTGAGCTTCTCATCAACAAGGGGGCAACAGTTGGTCTAGGACCTACCAACGAAGCCAATAGTACCAGACTGGCACCGATTTCATATGCTGCGAGGAACGGGCACGAAGGTGTTATTCGAGCTCTTGTGGAAACCGGCCGAGCTGACCCGAATTCCCCGGATTACAAAGGGCGAACGCCGCTTTCTTATGCCGCAGGAAAGGGTCTGACGTCTGTTGTCCGACTATTGCTGGAACAATACAACGCTGACCCCAGTCATATGGATAAGGATGGACATACCCCTCTTTCAGATGCTGCTAAGAGTGGCCATGTTGGTGTAATCCGCGAACTCCTAGATACGGGCAAGGTTGGACCGGACTCTGTTGATGGATGGGGTCTTACACCTCTTTGCCATGCTGCCTTATGGGGGCACAAATTCGTCGTACTTTTGCTTATTGAAAAGGGAGCAGATACTGGCTATGTTATTCCCAGTGGAGACTGGAAAGGAAAATCAGCTTCAGCGATCGCAACGAGATATGGGCATCAGGCAATAGTTGACATCCTCGGCAAGAGTCAGTAACAGCTATGGAAAACCACAAATATCTTCAAAGCAAAGAATTGTACAAGAGCTCAATTGACTATCTAAGGTAAAGACAGATAGACATCTGAGGTAAAGACAGTATCCTAGGTATATATATCCTTGGTATTACCCCAATATTGCTAAGCCACATACTACTCCGCAGTAAAGCACATAGAGTTGGGATCATGCTGTAACTTGCTTCCTTTAACAGTAGTGGTCGCCATTCTGAAGATTTAGATGTTAGATATGCACTAGGCCGATGACGAATGGGGTACTGTTGGACTTACAAAGGTACGGCCAATGCTGAGGTCGTTGCTGCTCTCGTAGCCACCTCTGCCACTACCGCACTTGCTATCAAGGTAACCGTCCTTTCGAAGAACCGACTGGACCAAGTTGCCGTTGATATAACTGCCCTTTCCTCCACTCTTGTAGTCACAAGCAAAGAAGGTGACGCCCTTGTGAGTTTTCTAAACACCCGCGGTTAGCTGTGAACTTTGAAAGGAAGGACATATCATACGGAAATCTGGCCTTTGAAGTTACCAGAGAGATCAATTTTTCCATCAGCACCTTGCTCAACCCACAGCTTGAACCCCTCGGCGCCAGCAGCAGCGTCCTCTTCATTTAGGGCAAAGTTATCGCCCTCTGGGCATGTGGCTGGTCCAAGAAGATCATCACGAGCCTGAAGGCCAGCGGAGCTGGAGCGTGTGGGTGAACCAGCAGCCAAAGCAGTGCAAGCTGCGATCAAGACTGTCAAGGAGTACATCATGATGAAGAGAGTTGGGATAGAAGATGAAGGTGTTTTTAAAAGTGTTGGTAGATGATATTTATCAGGTTGTGAAGATAAGATGAAGATGAGAATAGTTTGGCATTAAACTCGTGGGTGAACAGAGGACTTTAATACTTTTTCAGGGAGCCCATCTCAATAGGGAAGCCTTCCTTCATCTTGCAACCTTCATACACTTAGGAGTCATTGCGTAGTAACTTCCAACACAGCAGCACACCTTCAGACAATTACGTCAATGTCTCTATCCGTAAACTAGAGATTTGCCTCTTAAGAGATGCCGACCTTCCATTTCAGAAGGTCCGACAATCCTTTGATCCTGAAATATTCCTTCTCGATGATCTCTGACATAGGATCAATAATCAGGCAACGATTGAAAACCTCTTCTCTAGATAATTATGGGTCAAAGAGGTTTCCCGGCCTCTTACAAGAGTGCTGGTCCGAGCTGATAGACCTCATCGCTGATGCTTACATCATGCACCTTCCAGTCAATTACGTCAGTGTATCTATTCAATCCTCGATGAGAAAGGGACTTCGGACTTTTAGCAAGTCCCGGGTCTAATTTCGGAAACTTAATAAATCCTTCGGTCCTGAGATCTGCCTTCCGGGTTATTGATCGTCATCGATCTGCATGTTGCGGGAATTCCCTCGTCATCCGGGTGCTGACATTGGGGGCTGTTTAACCCCTGCATACGAGCAACTGGATCCTTTGCTTATGCACAGGCGCCGACCAAACAAGGCGGAGCAGGCTGATCATCAACCTTGGAAGTTTACTGATGCCTAGGAGGAACTCGCGAAGGATGAAGTCTAAAACTTTAGATCATCGATCGACAGAGGAAACGGGATTCCGAGTATACAGCCAGACGCATTGGAGTGAAGCATTGTCTGGTGATATGCTCTACTACAGTCTTAATTGATTGAAAACAGTCTTGCATATGAAGGAAAACTACTTGAAGTCATACAATTGCGGCATAACTGAACATTGGAAATCACCATCATACAGCACCACTCATCGCAATATTCTATTATCCTTTCTTCAAAAACAGCCTCAAACCTAGCCACTATGTTTCACACGCGAATTCTCACCGCTGTCTTGGCCGGTCTCCTTGGAGCTCAAGGAGTTCTTAGTGTTAAACACGGAGAAATCAGCGAGTTCGATGGCAAAAGCGTTCGCTGGCAAGAGCTTGCCAAGGGCGTCTTCTCAGGTGTCCCTGAGAATGAGTGGGACGATAAACGTAAGTAGAACGTATCTCGATAAAATCCGCTCCGGTCCTGACAAACATAGTCCATAAGAGGTCCGCCGTTGAACTCGATATCGACGAGATCGTCGGCAACAGTACTATATCTGATGGTACTCAACTCGAATCGCGTGACCTTGCAGGCACATGCAGGGCTGGCCAAAAATGCGTCGTCAAAGCAACCAACTACGTCTTGCTCCTGGGTTACAGCGCTTGGCTGAGCACTGCTGAGTATGTCTCTAGTGGCAATCTCTGGGAGTTCCTCAACAAACCCTTCGTCGCCAATGCCGGTGGTGTTGCCATAGCTGGTATTATCTCGGGCCAGATCAACGAGGCTACCAAGAAAGAGTGCAGCACGGAATCTCCTGATACTTCCCAGGCTGACATTATTCGCACCGCCCTAGAGAGTGTTATTGACAAGAACACCGAGGCTGGAGAGGTATCAATTGATATCAGTGGACCCAGTGGCACGGTTAACATCAAGATTAAGGCTGGTCCTCCTAATACCAGCCCTAACCCAGAATGCAACCAGGGGTGACTTCGCCGTATAGCGAAGAGCTCTAACCGGTACTTGACGGTTTGGATTACATGATAGGCCTGACAGGTACTGCGGTCTCAATCGATTTCAGGTCTGGCGCGCCTAGGAAGACTGAAGGAGTGTATTTGTAACTTGGTAGATATTCTGAATGGTTTCGGGAGATACTACATTCGTTTACGTGGCCAAAATTCGGGGAGGCTGAGTCTCTAAGTCTCTTTATTACGTAGCAGCTAAATATAGCTTATCAGCCTATCAAACCAGGCGAACTAAGCCATCCTTCGCTGCCATGCTGACTGACCAGCCACAAGTGCTCAGCTTCAAAGCCAATCACAATAAGGAAAGTATCAAATGTGGAGAATCAAAATGATGCTCCAGGCAGCCATTTAAACAGAAGCTTTTATAATAAAAGAATAAACTCTTCCCCTCAGTCTCATTCATAATTTATCTCAATTTCTCTTGTTATTATCTGGATCAATCCCCAATATGACTGCCAAGGCCTGCCCACATTATGAGTCCTGGTGGTACTCAGACACGACCCGCTACGAGTATCTCAAGAGCGACCTCTTCTGGACACTCGCAGTCCTCATCATAGTTAATTGCTGGTGGTCAGCCAAGCAGGTCGATTCATTCCCGGATGAAGACAACCAAAAGGACGAAAAGGACGAAAAGGGTACTTCTGTCGTTACGTCCAGCACTGCAACCGCGCAGCCTCGTCCTGGCTTTTGGCTCAAGGATCGCATTACGTCACGACTTCGCAAATATCTCGCCCTTGTGGTCTGCACATCTGTGTTCCCTCTCCTGGTTCTCCATGGTTCCTGGGTCCTTAAATCTGCCTGGCGAATATCTTTCGGGCTGGTTAACCGGACATACCCAGGTTCCCTCAAGCCGCGGATGCTGGGCTTTATTGTCTACTCGCCAGTTGCTACTATCATATTGCTAGCTTGGGTAGCTGTCTTGGGTGCTGGTGTCTTTATTCTCGCGACGCAGATTTTACTTTGGATCAAGATCTGGGAAATCAATACTGATGCGCAACCTACGGCTTCTTTCCCAAAAGATGACATGAAGAAATGCCATGGTGATGGTGATTGGGATGAGATCAAGGAGAGCGAACAAGAGGGTATTAAGAAGACCTAGGGCAGTGCAGATAAGGAGGAGTTCAGTCAAGATTTTACAGGAACTGTTAACGAAGCATATTTAAATCTTCTCATTCTTCAGCTTGGTTGTGAAAGGTTCGTTCATCGACGCAGCAAGCTGCTTAGCACTCTTGTATCTCTCCTGAAGGCACCTGCGACAATTGTGCAATATGGCAAAGTGTAAGATGTAGTAATAAAGCTAGTTGGAGTATGACCTAACAAAAGATCTGGAATAAGACGCATGCAAGACGCGAAACGCGGAAGTAAAAAAGACCGAAGCGCAAGACAAGCGTGAGATAAGCCTATCGATAAGTGCTTATCAGGCCTTGGGCGGAGAATGATACAGGAACTGATGCTACCGATAAGGAATGCACGCGAAATGGCATTGGGTGACTTTAGGCTAATTGCCCTGTTGAAGTGAACTTCTTTTACACCTGATTGGACGTTCGAGACTATTATATATCTCAATCTATAGTATTTGCCAATTTATTATCTATCCATTGACTATAATGATTACAGTATTTCCCCCAGATCTTTGTCCAAGAGAACCATTTTAATTCTCATGCTTGTTAAGAGATCTACATGGATCGCGTCTGCCGATCTCCATTCCCCCCTGCGGTTGCTGTTCTCTCTACGCCAAGTAGTTTTCTCACATCCACAAGCTTACTTGGCTCGAAGCTTGGCTACCCACTGTTGATTTTGGATAAGCTCAAGGTCCAATTACTATCCTTGAATGACGATGCTCTGACTGTGTGCATGAGGCCGCTGGGTAAATCGAAAACTGGTCGAGGCCAAGACTCTTGGTAAATACCACGCGCAGGAAATCGTCAAGCATCGAGAAGCATGGCAGTGGTTTATGATGGGTAAATTAACATGTTTCAGCCTAGGAATCGTTTAAAGACACATTCTCTGGAGTGGAGATTCGCGTAGTCTCCACGCGTTGAGGCGCGTTGGAAATATACCTACCCTGGGTTTCGAAGTATTGAAGGGGATTTCCACTTTACAGAGCCTGTTCTGCCCTATAGAAGTATTATTGTAATTAAGAAGTAATCATTTTACTCAGAAACTCAGTTTCTTTATATTTATACTTGTATTTTATAGATACATTAGGTTTCTGTCTCCATCCACCTTTTATCCCCCATTCATTTTTGTAATTAGAGTCAGCCTATACACTGGCTGACTGGGTAAACAGATTTCGCTCCAAAGCTATTGCAAGCGCTCAAAAGAGGCAGAATCCATTCTACGTCAGTGCATCTTGACACAATACGATCGGAAGCCGGCGACATCGTCAGCTGAACGTCCTATCCCTCGTGGCGGAGTCGTGTTCAGTCCGTCAGATCAGTCACGCCCGACCCAAAAACAGTGGATATCGCAGAATCTAGGCCTGGGGAATTTCGGCCCTCGGTTCCTGCTCCACGTCCAACAAGCACGGGTCAAGCTCAGGACAAGTCTTATTGAGTGGAGATACCATCGCCAAAAAAGAAAAATGGGCTCAGTGAGCGCCAAGGTCTTGGTCGACGGTTGAGAACTTGTGTTTGTCTCCAGTTTGGCTTGGCTCTGGGCTGTTCTAGGATCATTATGCGACGCGCAGGTTCTAGGCCGATATTTCAACCTGTCAATCGGCTAAAGTCCACGCACATGATATGAAGGCTAGGTATAGCAGATCGTGGCTATTTCAGCTGACATGCCGAGAATACGTCGGGATTTGCATACTTTATTTTTAATATTCGGGTTTTGTGAGAGAAATCGCATTGAATCGATCAGAAAGAAGAATTGGGAGCGGGTCGTGATTGGCGGAGTGATTAAGGTTGTTTATTTACCCGCATTTACCCGTATTTAGCCAAATGCCACTCTAGGCCAAGACTGGAGAATATCCCCGAAGCCATCTGAGCAGAAAGTCACGGGTCATAATTCCGCACCACGAGGAATTCCATTCTCTTCATTTTTCGATGTTCAATGGCTCATCAAGAACAAAATGGTCTTGGAAGACGACGAATACTGGAGGCACAGCTCTGTTGATGGCTGCCCCAAGAAGGTCGTGCTACAGGCAAAATGGGATTTACAAAGCCCAGCCCCGTAAGCGTCAGCATCGGTGATGGCCATGATGTTATGTCTATCGCACGTTTGAACACAAAAATTCTAGACACAAGATCAGATCAGATGGCCAAAAAATCCGACAAGAAAAGACGATATTGTAGCATGGTGTTCCTCGCGAAAAACCCCCGTGGCGAGATGAGATGGGCCCCCTTTCGGTAACAGGCTAATAGCGAAGACCACCCCCATGGGCGGCTTAATCGCAGAGCCCCATTATAATAACTGCTTCCACGGGGTGCTCCGTGCAACAACAGCAGTTTAAGAGACGAACACAGTGGAGTTCCCCCAGCTTGTGACTGTCGATTTCTCACTTATCCATGCTAAAATGAATGCGGCCCGGCCTCCATCTTGGCTAGACACTCATGAATACCAAGACTTCCAAGACAGCCAAGGTGGAACAAGATCGCCCATTCCGAACGAATGAGTGGAACCCGCACGCCTTCAATTGCTCTTTTGTCTTTTTGCCTGCTCGGTTCTTCCGTTCGATCTGGGGTCTGTCACCCGGTCCGCACGCCCGTCACATTTCAGATTTTGTCTTCTGGCCTCACTCGACGCGTTTTCTATATCTATCTGGGATCTCCCCCCATTTTTCATCACTCTTCCTTCCATTGTTCACCTCCACAGTAATCTGCTAAAGCCACTGAGTGCTTCTGGCAGAATAATAACGAAATCCACTCTATTGTTACATTTTAATACCTGAACCCCTCGGTTGAGAAATCGTCATGGGCATCAAGGATATCATCGGCCTTGGGGTCGACGAGAAGACGAAGAAGCTTCAGGATGAAGCTCCCAAGTTCGAGCATGTTACTTGGTACAAGGACCCCGGTCTGAGGGTCTTGACCTTTTACGCGTGTACTCTTTGCGTTTCTTCTATGGGAACTGGCTGGGATGGGTAAGCAAACCCCCAAATATTGTGAATTCAATCACAGTCCACTGACTTGCCGCGTTTTTAGTATGTACATGGGTGTCGTTCAAAACTTTGACACCTGGAACGACTTCTTCGACAAGCCCGAGGGCAGCAGACTCGGTCTTTTAGTCGCTCTCTATCAAATCGGTTCCGTCGCTTCTATCCCTCTTGTCCCTGTCATCGCCGATCGCTGGGGTCGTCGCCCTTGTATCGCTCTCGGCTTCATCCTCATGGCTATCGGCGCTGGTCTCCAGGCTGGCGCTCCTGATTACGCTACCTACTCTGGCGGCCGAGTTCTTCTCGGTTTCGGCAACTCTTTTGCCCAGATTGCTTCTCCTATGCTTCTTGCTGAGCTGTGCCATCCTCAGCACCGTGCTCGCTTCACTACTGTTTACAACTGTCTATGGAATATGGGTTCTCTGCTTGTTTCTTGGACTTGCTTCGGTACTCACTACTGGGGCGGCGGCAACAGTGACTGGTCGTGGCGATTCCCCGCCATTCTCCAGGGCGCTCCCGGCCTGATTCAGCTCGTCATTCTCTGGTGTAAGTTGATCTTTTGATGGAATAGCTCAAACATCTTGCTAACGAAAACCCTCTAGGGATCCCTGAATCTCCTCGATTCCTCATCGCCAAGGATCGCCAGGACGAAGCCCTTCATATCCTCTCCAAGTACCATGCCAATGGCAACTCAAATCACCCAACCGTTCAATTCGAGTACCGTGAGATCCGCGACACCATCAAGGCCGAGCAGCTCGCCGACAACAGCTCCCGCTATACCGACTTCCTCAAGACCAAGGGCAACCGTTACCGTCTCCTCGTCCTCTTCTCACTCGGTCTCTTCTCCCAGTGGTCAGGCAACGGTGTTGTTTCCAACTACTCTGCCCGTCTCTACATCAACGCTGGTCTCGATAGCGAGAACGAACGCCTCATCATCACCGCTGGAAAGACCATTCTCGATTTGTTTGTCTCCATCGGCTGCGCTCTCCTCGTCGAACGTCTGAACCGTCGCTTCTCCTTCCTCTTCGCCACTGGCGGTATGTGTCTGACTCTGCTCTTCTGGACCCTTACCTGCGGTCTCCACGAGCAGCACCAGGCTCCTGGCGCCAACAACGCTATGATCTTCCTCGTCTGGCTTCACGGTGTCTTTTACTCAACTTGTTGGTCTGGTCTCTTGATCGGTTATGCTGTCGAGATTCTTCCCTACTCTCTCCGTGCCAAGGGTCTTATGTTCCTCAACATTTCGGTCCAAATCGCTCTTCTGCTCAACAACTACCTCAACCCTCTTGCTTTCAAGCGCTGGCAAGCCCCCGCTGTTCCCGAGGGCGAGAAAGAAACTGGATACGGGGGCAACACCTGGAGACTCTACCTCATCTACACCATTTGGGTCGCTGGTGAAGTCATCTTCATCTTCTTCATGTATGTCGAGACTCGTGGACCTACGCTTGAGGAGTTGGCCAAGGCCATCGATGGTGACGACGCCGCTGTGGCGGATGTCGACCTAGAGCACGTCGAGAAGGAGGTTCTCAGCAAGGAGACCGAGAGAATTTCTTCGGAGGATCAGGAGGTTCACCAGATTGCTCCCAGCAAGGTCTAATTACCGTCTTGTCACATTCACACGAAGAGGGCACCGCGATAGTTAGTAAGCGCGCGTCAGCCTGTCTATGATAATTGTTTTGATCTAGTCTAGTGAGCTAGCTGAATGAGTTTAATGTTATATCTTTATTGATGAAAAATATATCTGCGTTGAATAAGATAGAGCCGTGCGCCGCGAAACCTATCTATCACAACCAACTTGTATATTTAACAAGAGAGGTCTGACTGGCGCCAAATAACTATGCGCTATCGCCACTTGCGTGTATGTCAGGACGGTTATGCCAAATAATTAAGTCTGGGCTGAATGAAGAACAAGGCTATAGGGAGCAAGAAACCACTGATCTTGGGAGAGGTTGGGAAAAGCAGCCAATTAGTGAGCGTTCTCTATTGATGAAAATCACACTCTTGTCGATTAGGAGAATTTCATTAACTTATATAAGTCTTTTCATCATTTATAGTAAATGATAGAGGTCCTAGGTCTTCTGGCTTTCTCTAAGAGGACTGACTAAATTCTATAGTACTAGAACTAAAGATCCTGCAGATTGTAGTGCCCTGGGAGAATGGTGATATTGCCAGTGAGTTTACCAGCGTTATAGCCTAGGTGGATTAACCTATAGTCCTCCAGGCAGGAATGGTAAATACCTATTTACGGTTAAGTACACCTCCGCAGGCTGTAACCGTAGTGAGATCAGGTCTTCGATGTAGATATAAAAACGACAGAGGCAGTATACAAAACACGCAACAGTGATGGGGATGATGACCCGGAGGGGAACTTCCATTTCCGGATCCTGGTCCTCCGACAGATTTCTCCAGACCCTAGCGCGTTCAACAAAGCGCAAGAATCTGCGCCGCCCAAAGGTGACTCTGCGCTGAGATTCCATCTCAATGGACTCCATGCTGTTGGTCCTGAGTTGGCTGCTGAGCTGAGCAATCGGCGCCGCCTTTTTTCTTTTGCTAGGCTTGAACATCTCAACCGCATAGTAGGCTCCCCCGTAGATACTGAATGCGGCATGATAAGCACTGCAGATCCTCCACAAGAGCTTCTCGGAGGCAGTTGGGAACTGGAAGTTCCACGCGAGGACGAATATGACGCTAAAGCCGATCAAGATCAGGGCCGCTCCTGGAGCAAACCAAGGTTCGGGGATCAGCCAGATATCTGAAGGTACTCGGTCCCAAGGTGTTCGGGAAACAGGTCGAGATACAAAATTTATTCGTAGCTTATGTGCTAATGAAACATAATACCGCCAATGAGCGTCTATCCCGAACTGTCTTCTACTGATGAAGTCTAATGGGGTTCGGTAATAATCGACTTGCAGCCCCGGATGAGTCTATTTATTGATACGTTAGTTTCCGATTTCAACACCGGTTGGAGACTAGGTCAACTTGCATTGCATCTGGCATACTCACGAATTTCTTCGATCGTGATGTCGTCTTTTGTGGTAATGAATTGAGGCTTAGAGATAGAAGGTTTATGATACCAGAGAGCTGATATCACGAATGTAATAAAGCAGAATGACAGTGTCGTTAACTCCAAGGTTGAGATCGGATATCCTTTGTGGATACGCGCAAGTTCCTTGATAGTGAACCATGCGGCTTGAAACACGGTAATAATCCTGCAAGGAATGAGCTTAATACATGAGGGACAACTCCATCGAGGTGAGACGCACGACAAACGTCAGTTTCATGTCGCACCTCTGTGGTATACTGACCGTGAGAGCGTATCCACCGAATTGCGCTCCTTGATCTCTAGCTTATCTATATCCGGGAACTCGACAAAGCCGTGTTTAACGAGATAGTGGAATTGTTTAGCGTCGATTGGAAAGCTCTTGCCATCGGCGATTGAGTAGTCAGGCGCTGTAAGATGGAGACAGCCCATATCCACAAAGAAGCCATGTATGAGCTTCCACTTTTGACCTCTGGTCAAGTGACTGTCTCTCTTAAAAGCCTGTCGCAAGAGTGTTAATTACAGCGTCCTGGATTGTATAGTTTGCCTGTTATACCTTGACACTTGACCTAGCGCTGGAAAATTGCCCTAAAGCAATACCGAAAAGGAAATCCGGACCAAGAAACGTGATAATAGCGAGATTGAACTTATCGAGAAGTGGGTGGTACCATTTGTCGTGAGGCGAGCCAGCATTGGGGTACGTAGAAACCCAGGCGCATAGCAGCAAAGTAACAAGACATGACCATAAAACGTCAAGAGATCCTCTGTCATCACTGCTGTCTTGCCAACCAACCAATGGCTGATGGCCAGACGTGTTTGAGCTCATGGTGACTGGCCAGAGGCACCAAGGGAGCCGTGAAATAAATTAATTGCTACAATGTGACGACATGTTGACTGGCACACATGTATTTATCAACCGGCATTTTTGTTCAATCTGTTTACCAGGACAAATGGAAAATCCATGTTATCTCGCTCTTGGCCCCCGGGTGGCACATCTTCAGCAGAACCAACATGCATATCTGCAACCAACAATCACACACTCTGAAACAAAATGTGTGATGACAACTGTCAGGCCAGGAGTCTCTCAATTGCCAAATCCGTCTGCCTGATGCATGTTGGTTGCTCGACTTGATATTTATAAATAATAATTGGCTCTCTCACATACTCGACATGAATGTGTACCGTGCTCCTGCAACGCAATCACATGCATGTAAACGCTTCAGGCAAGCAGGGCGGGCGCCTACGTATTCGTATGTACGTACTTTGGAGGGGCTGAGCGCTAAACGTGTCGTGTTGAGTGGACGGTTTGACTTAGCGGGCCGGGTCCTCAGCGCGGCACAAGAGGCTACACCCGTTAAATTGAGCACATCTTGACCAATCGGATTGAGGAGGCTTGCTCAACGGTGGGCAAATTTGCGCCCCCCCCTGAAGAGCTCCCGTTGAAAACAGCCTCTTTTTCCAAGTCGCCTGCCAACCAAGCAATTCGTTGCAAAACGTAAGACACACACGTGTCGTCTCTTCGTGGACATTTCCTGTTTCAATATCTGCACTAATCCCCTCAGCTCGTCTCTTTCGAATACTCAGAATTCATCCCACTCGCCCAGACCTACGACTGTGTCGTCTCCTGTCTCCTTTCATCCCACGACAGCTCTCGTGCTGCCCCCCCGCGCTCCCCGCCTCGACCCGACCCGACCTGCCCGACCGACCTGTTCATACAGCCCAAGGCGCTGTTCAAGATGGCCTCCGAGTCAGAGCCATTGATCAACCCCAATCCCAAGCTCCAATCCTACTACAACACCTTCGAGTCGAGAATTGGTTATAAGCTGTTCCTCGGCGACACGCGCCATTTTGGCTACTATGAACATGACACACGATGGCCATTCCCAATTGGCCGCGCGCTCCGGCGCATGGAGGACAAGCTCGGTGAAGCGCTGAACCTCCCTCCTGGGGCCCAAGTTCTCGACGCGGGCTGCGGTGTCGGACACGTCGCGATTCGAATGGCTACAAAGTTCAAGTACCGCGTGCAAGCATTCGACGTTGTCCCCCATCATGTTGCCAAAGCCAAGCGCAACGTTGCCCGTGCTGGCCTGCCCGACGGCCAGGTCAGCGTGCGGCGGATGGACTATCACCACCTTGAGTCTTTGGATGACCAGTCTGTTGATGGCATCTACACCATGGAGACGTTCGTGCATGCTACAGACCCAAAGGGCGTCCTTGCCGGCTTCTACCAAAAACTTCGTCCCGGTGGTCACATCGCGCTCTTCGAGTATGACCACGAGTTCATTGATAATTCCACCGATGAAATGGCCAACTCGATGCGCAAGATCAATGACATTGCTGCGATGCCTACAAATGATCTATCACACCCTGGTGTCTTTAAGGACATGCTTGAGGAGGCCGGCTTTACCGATGTCGTCGTGAGAGACTACTCGGACAAGATCAAGCCTATGACACGACTGTTCTACTTGGTCGCCTACATTCCGTGGCTGTTCGTCACTTTGTTAGGCTTGGAGAAGCACTTCATTAACACAGTGGCCGGTGTGGAGTCATATCGGGGCCACGGACGTTGGCACTATGTTGCTATCTCGGCCAAAAAGCCCGGAGACAAAATTGAGAGCCCGAAGGAACGATAACTCATCTGCAAGGAGAAACGAAATGACCAATGTGTCGAGCAATTGACAGCGACAGGCGATAAGAGTATTGAGATGTTGGTGAAGATGGGGTTTCTGGTTGCTTGGCAAAGAACAATTGACATGAGATCATGAGCCATAGAAGGAAGCTGTATGGAGTACACTCTTCAGTTTATTACGAAAGATATAACAATGGAGTTTTCATGGGCAGCATCGGTTTTCGTCATGGCCAAGTAGATTCCACTGAATAAGCTTAAAAAGAGACTTAATGGATGATTAATTGACTAGGATGAAATCGAGATCGTTTTATAGCCCGTTCGCCTGAGACGAGAAATCGAGCTAAGATGAGTAGTTAGGCTAACCTTAACCATAGATCTGCGGATGATCGTCTTAGGAAAATCGACACTTATTAGTTACTTTGAAATAGGGCAGTAAACATTAATCGGTCATAAGGGTCTGTGTAAAATCTATAGCTTAAACCATGCATGTATAAGAGAGAAGCAGCTGATGTCAGAACCGGACACCTGGTAATATTAAGAAGAAATAGACGTTGAGTCACACTGAATTATGGGAGTCTTATTTCGAGTTGAGTGCCTGACTTCTAATGCTATCATCATGAGCCTTCCACGACTAAATAGTTGCACAACCCATATTTAATCAAGTCAAGTCTGGTAGGGTGACAGCTATAGTCTAAACCATTCATGTCCAAGAACGTCTTCTGCACTAATCCGTTCTTTAGGACCATACTTGAACAACCTATACAGAAGATCCGCCATCAACTTCTGTTCGGCCTCAGGTGTCTGTAATGACTTGATCGGTCCCTCTTTGTACTTCTCGCCCGATTCGAAGATCTCGATTGGTTTGCTCAGCGCCGCTTCAAGGGACCAGTCTTCTTCCCGAAGCCACTTTCCATTCGCGTCAAAGTATTCCTCCCGCGCCTCCCATTTCGCCCACCAATCTTCTGGGAGTTTACCGAAGAACCTCACCATCTCTGCCAGTAACTCATCCTTGTCATAGATCATGTAGAATAGAGGGAGCTGTTCTCTAATTTCGAACAGTGTACAGCCAAGAGCCCAAAGATCGCAGGCCGGACCAATCATATCAGGCTGTTCAAGAAGGATCTCTGGTGGCAGGTAGTTCTCTGGAATACCAAGGTCCTCTGGTGGTGATGAGAACTTGAAAGACTCGCCAAAGTCAATGACACAAATCTCCTCAGTTAGGAATTCATTCCCGAGGCGGGAGATGTCTGCAGGCTGCACAAGGTATCTAGGGCTAGATGCTGGGAGCTCTTCTCCTGATTCCGTCTGCACTCGGACTTCCTCAGGGTGCCCTATCAGAGAGAGGAGCTCATCCTCAGAGAGGTGATCCAGGTTGCCCAGCTTGACTAAAATATTAGATGGGCGAAAGTCTGGTGGAAGCATGTTAGCAATTGTTCTAAAGCTAGATTCAAGATGTAAAGTCGGGACAGAACATACCTCCATGACAGATCTGATTCTTGTGCAAAAAGGCTAACGCCTGCGTAGTCTGATGGGCGAATTTCCGCAGGACAGCAGCAGGGTCCTCCAATATCATCCTTAAACGAGGCGAAACACAAGGGCCAAGTGGTGGCAGTGTCAGACACTGATGGGTCCCATTTGGGCCATAAACGGAGAATGAATCGAGTGGAGTCGCGATGAACTGGGCGCCTGGCATTGATTGATCAAGCTCCGCCAAGCTGAAGTCAAGAATCTCGTCGGACTTCAGATCACTGGCCACGACCTTGAGGGCAACATAACGGGTTTCTACCGAGTCTCGACAAAGCCACACAGTCCCAAAACCTCCATGACCGAGTTTATGGATGGCTCGATAGCGATCCGATGGGCCAAGCACATCTCCAAGGTGGACTGGGTGATAGCCGCCTTCTTGATACTCCTCTAAGGGTTCCACGCCCTCCTTTGAGCCCTTGAGGAAAGTACCTTGTGAGGTTGCCGGGGCATGGTCGAGATCACGATAATCGAATCCGATATCGCCAAGTTGACTTTGCGTAGATAAAGGGCTGTGTGACCATTTTGACGCCATGTCTTGGATGATAGGTCACGGGCAGAGATGGGACCCGAAGGGCCAGGGCTAGAGACCTTTCAATGGAACGCAGTGGTAGAGAAATGCGTTGCAATATAGTGCATGATGGCGAACCTTTTGGACCATTACATCAGCGAAATGCGAATTGCTACCGTACAGTCATGCTTCTTTGGCGACTCGGGAACTCGAACACATGTGAATTACAGTACAATTATGGAGGTTACGCTGATCACTGAGGGGTTCGTGTTTTCAGCGGAGTCAGGCGGGTGAAGCCATTGGATAGCGCTTGACCCGCCCTGTAACACCCCGACAGCTGTAACCCCGCCTTTCGGAGTCCGCCGAAGATTGCTTGCTATCTGTCATATCTTATCAGCAGCATTTAAACCAACAATTACAACAACAAACAAAGCATTACAAAACAACACTCAGTACTTTCATCAATTAAAATTACTTCAGAATGGATAACGATCTCAAGTACCTCCTTTCTCTTCAAGCCGTCCGAGACCAAGCGTCCAAGGTCTTTGCATCAGCAAAGCAAGGGAACCTGAAGCACTTTGACTATGACGAAGGCCGGATGGGAGCGGTCGCTGATTACGTATCTAAAGTCATCGATGTGAGCAGTACCATGATGCTGAGAACTACTCCGAAAGATGATATTGACAATCTGTAGCGTGACTTTGGCCCTGACAAGTACGACACTATTCCCCCTCACGGCCGCTGGCAACATTTTGAGGTTGGTGACGTCGCACGCGTCGATGCCCTCGTCAAGCGGTGGTCAAGCGAAGATGGCGTTGACCAAACCGAAATTACTCGACGCTTGGTTGATCTGTTCTTTGTATCGGTGCTACTTGACGCTGGAGCAGGCGATGTCTGGCGGTTCAAAGAGCCTGAGACTGGACAGGTCGTTGTTCGTAGTGAGGGTATCGCTGTGGCGTCGCTCCACATGTTTACGGCTGGATCTTTTAGCTCTGACAGTTCTCTCAAAGAGAAGGTCGATGGTATGTTTTATGCAAGATTCCTGTTTTCTTGGGCTAATAGGCTACTGTAGCGAAGGGCTTGGTTGAGTTGCAGGACAGCAGCTTCGAACAACACTTCCAGGTATCTTCCGAGAATCCCATGGTTGGAGTGTCATCGCGAGTGAAGCTACTTCAAGCCGTTGGCTCCAACCTGTTGAAGCACCCTGAAGTATTCGGCGAGTTCGGCCGTCCAGGAAACCTTGTTGGTAAGCAACCGCAAATAGGCGGTGAGAATGTGCATGGCTGACGCAGTGTTTCAGACTACCTCACATCAAAGGCCTCTGGATCCAAGACTCTTGACTACGAACAGCTCTGGTTTTGCTTACAGGACCTCCTCATTCCTTCGTGGCCTGGAAACCGCACCGTCTTCGACGGTCATCCCATCGGAGACGCTTGGCCTCTCGAACTACTCTCCGACATCGCTGACAGTAAGGGCGATAAAGACCCCAAGAGTAAGATCCAGCCTTTCCATAAGCTTACACAGTGGTTGGCCTACTCGCTCTCCGTCATCTTCGAAAGACAGCTAGGCTTCACCTGGAAGAATATGCATCTCGGAACCGGACTGCCCGAATATCGAAACGGCGGATTGTTTGTTGATCTCGGGGTCCTGAAGTTGAAGCCTGACGACTTGAAGGCCGGAAAGGAAAGCTCAGGACAAGAGCTTCCGCAGTTTGAAGCCTCTGACGACGTGATCGTTGAGTGGCGTGCTCTGACTGTCGCGCTGCTGGATGAACTGCACAAGATGCTCAAGGAGAAGTACGAACCTCGTGGTGTGAACTTGAGTCTTCTCCAGATGCTGGAGGCGGGAAGTTGGAAGTCTGGACGGCTTTTGGCTGCGGAGCTGCGACCTGAGACTAAGTGCAGTCCGATTCTGGTTATTAGTGATGGTACGCTTTACTAGACGCTTTACTAGTAGCAGGTAGCACCGAAGAATACCGTTTGCAGGAAAAATATAGCAAATGAAAAGGTCTCATGTAATGGGCATTTCTCGAAAATGGTGGAAGTCACTGGTGTAGTTCTTCACGAGGTGCGGATGGATCAGTTCGGAGAACTCCGTCGAACATGGCTTAAGATCCGCGAAGTAACTTTGGCAAAGGACAAGATATCAAGGTAACAGTTCTGTACTTCTAGAAAGTCGAATTGATAAGAAGTGACTTAAGAACCATCTAGGTTCAGTCGCATGCTATAGTTAGAACTAAGATGGTGATGTCCGAAGCTCATGGTCACATATCCCAGCTGTTGAGATCAATATCCAACTTAACCTGTATCTTCAGAGAATTCTGTAAAACTGAAGAGCAGTACCATGTGAGTACTGCAAATACATCTACACTGGCGGTGGACAGTTTTGTCGACTTCGCGGGTCAGGTATGAGTTGAAGATGGCGGATTTGTCCTCTGCCAGCAAGTCTACCTGCTTCCAGGGACGTCAGTGGTTACAAATTCAACTCCTAGATAGGTATATGTAAGCGGAAAATGATCTCTCTTATGTAAATACGTATTCTGAGTTAAGATTCCATATGAAGTACCTGGATTCGCGCACGAACAACTGAGTTTCACCGCAGCGGCGTTGCCCAATCGCCGCGCTCGTGGCTGGAAGAGAAAGCTCTCCCCAATTCTTTGAGTTTATTTCGTGCCGCCATCTATTCCAGCTTGAGCCAAAACAGCATCGCAGAGAACGAGTCATAAAATCCATTTCTTATAATACTCCAAGACCCCCCGCACTCCTTCTCATCTTCTGCAGCTTCCGTTCCACCCACCCAACTACGGCCAAGATGTCACAGCTAAAGGGATCAACACCGCAGGGCTTGACTGTTTCAGCTATCTCCCAATGGAACTGAACGCCAAAATCATGCTGTTTCTTGATCTAGATGGGCTATTGTCGCTGACGAGAGCTTCACCCACCGCATGGCAGCATTTCCGAGCCGATCACGCCTTCATCCTGAAACCCAGACTTCCTTTTATTTACAGCCACTATGGACATCCAGCGGCCATTCCATTAGTCATTCTTGTGACTCGTCTTCGGAGGCTGCGTGCTAAACTCAAATCGAAGCCCAGAGCGGAGTTGGAGAGCAGCCTCGAACCCATCCTGAACTCTATTCTCTCCAAAGACTGCATGAAGATACCTTACGGCTGGGAATCGAATTTGCCCTTATTGGTGACTGTGGCGGGTCTGATACCGGAGCTTTGCGATGCCTTTGAGAGATTCAGCATCAGAGATTCCAGACCAGATTCATCGCTCTACAGATACCCCCAACGACAGACGTGGATCTTTGTCGAGTCATTTCTACGGTTCGAGTGCTTTTGTCAGATTTCCTACAGCCCAAAGGGATTCTTATTTAAGGAGAGATTTTACTTTAAATATGTCTTCTTGAAACCCTTCCATGTCAATACCACGTTCGATGCCAGCGACTTGAGTCGATGGGGTCAAATGGAAGGTATCGACGAAACCACCGACTTACCCTTGAACCTCTTAAAAAGGGCTGGTTTAGAATTCAACCCAATAGAGGTCTCTTGTGGTCAATTTGCAGCGATCCTCACGACTGTGCGAAATTCACTGACTTTGAAAGTCCTAAGGAGGACCGCAAAGTCTGGCAAGAAACTACTGGAGATGTTCTCAAAACACTATGAAGAATACATGTGTTTCTTATTCCATCTGGCTCGACAGGGAAACGCTCTCCTTACGCACCTCTTGCGCCGCACACCTAGAGCACTGAGTAAGTCCATTATTGCAATACATTCTTCATTTCTCGCCTGTCAGCCCAAGCCAAATTCAAAATATCCATCGTTCCTGGAGGAGATGGGATATATGGACAGAAATTGGCGATGTAGGTAATCGCGGGTTAGAAACATACATGCTGCTGCATGCCCTACAGTTGGCCGCTAGATATTGCCCCAGTAGAAAAAGTCGGGCGACAAAGAGAAGCGTTTGTTCATTCATTCCCCAATTTATGCAGGTATCTATCTACATGAATTGATTATAAGGTGTACGCAAAAGTAAATGTACGTCTGTGGCGCAGTGCCCAACCACAGGTTGTGTACTCGACAATAAGAACTCTATAACAGACTTTAAGGTTATTTCATCCCGTTATCATCCCAAGAGTGAGTCAAGCCATCCTGTTGTACCCAAAATGAGTCCTGAATTGGATTATTATAAGGCTGCGACAAGACGACGAAAGCTTCTTCTCGCCCCTGTCGGCTTTCTTCCATCGCATTCATCATGACACCTCAACAAGAGACCACCCCCCGGGTACGCGACCGCTTCGGCAGTCTCCCGCTGGAGATAAACGTTTTTATCATGGAGTCACTTACCCTCCATGACTTACTCTCTCTCACTCGTGCTTCTCCTGGAGCCTGGCGGCATTTTCAACAAGACTACGCCTTTATTATCCGGCCACACATGGCATGGTTCTATGGTCATTATGCCGATCCAGCAGCTATCCCACTAATTCATCTTCTCACTCGCCTTCGAATACTACGGTCACAGGTTAAGGGGAAACCGAGAGACGTGGTTGAGAATCACCTCAGGCCTGTCTTTGACTCGATCCTCTCTCTGCGCTTCACAGAGATGCTGCCAAGATGGGAGTCAAACCTCCCTGTACTAGTAATGGCGGCGGACATGATCCCGGAGTTAAGGAACGCGTTTCGTAGGTGGCGTAGTCACCGGCAAAACGAGTCTCTAAGGGAGCTTGATAAGGCACTTTACTGGGGGGCATGGAGATTCACCGAATCTTTCCTGCGGTTCGAATGCTTCTGCTGCATCTTTTACCACCTTGACTGGTTTCTATCTCAAGATATGTGGAACTTGAGAACTATCTTCCTCGGACCCTTCATGGCGGGCGAAGCTCAGATTCCAAGCGATCTTGCGCCGTCGTACAGACGAACGATTCGCGGCAGCCATGCGCGCTATAGATGGATGACCTGGGACCCATTCGGGGTCACAGAGTTCAATTTCAGGGCTCCATCTGAATTCGCGCATTGTTTCGATTGGCTCATCAATTCTGTGGACATATCACTTCGAAGAAAACAAGGGAGAAACATAAGACGTGGCAAGCGGTTACCTCTTACCACAGAGGAATCTGAAATCTGTGACTTTCTCAATAGGAAGAGAGTGAGCATAGACACTTTTGCTACCACCTTGCTTTACAAGGCAATATGCTCCTGGGTCGCATGTCATCTCTTGATACTGAAATCTTGGAGAATTGCATTGTTGATGCATATACTTCTGTGGCCGCTTCCCAGCCTGAACGCAAGATGGCATACCATCCCGACTTGGATGAAATGATACTCATTGCGCGGAAGTGGAGGTTCCAGTAACTTAGTTCCCGGAGGGCGTTCACCATTGAAAATGTGGTACGCATGTGGCTGAAGCCCTGAGATCCCAGACGTCCTAGTTCTACTTTCTTCATTGGATTCGGGGTAACTTTTATGCCTCAAAACTCAAGATGGCAAACTGTATCAAGCTTAAGTTACAGGTACATCTGGAGAGAATTGACTGACATTAAATGTATATATTTCGTACATAATAGATCAAGTCTGGGTCTGTTCGGTAGTGATCTTCCCGTCGCAAGGTACAGTAAACTTGACATGAGTCATGATAGCTTTTGTGGCTGCGAGGAGAAACTTTTCGGCACTCTTTAGAGTTCTCACGTCCCGTCATACACCTAACTGTGAGTCAAAGCTTGATATTATGTAGATGAGTCACAAAGTGTATCGGTTATAAAACTGAACCATGGGGAGAGACATTGCCCTTCCTCATTTTGAGAGCTTCTTTCACATCCTCCCCATCATGTCGCAACAACAAGAGCCGCCTCCCCAGGCTGTTGACGGCTTCAGCCGTCTTCCGATGGAAATGAACGTCCAAATCATGATGTTGCTCAATCCACAACAGCTGTTATCTCTCATTTCAGCTTCGCCAGCAGTAAGGCGGCATTTTCTTGGGGATCATCGCGCGTCTATCATGAAGCCCCACCTTACAATCATCTACAAATACTACGGCCATCCAGCGAATATCCCTCTGATCGTCTTTCTGACTCGTGTTCGGGCTTTGAGAGCCAGATTGAAGGGGAGGCCTAGATCAGAGATCGAAAATGCTCTTCACCCTATCCTCACCTCAGTCCTTTCCCACGACATCATGAGCATGCCACCTGAATGGGAGTTTAACCTACATATCGTCGCAGCTGCGAAAGGTCTGATACCAGAGATATGTCATGTATTCAATAAATGGTGGAAAAAGTGGTGGACGGGACCAAAAATTGGCAAGACCCCGCCACAGCACATATGGATATTTGTCGAATGCTTTCTGCGGTTTGAGTGTTTTTGTAACATCTCCTATGTGCCAGATGGCTTCCTTTTCCAAGATATGTTGGACTTTAAACATATCTTCTTACATAGATTCCAGACGGATAGCGCTTTTAGCCCGAGCGACCTGCGTCCTTGGGGTTGGGATCAAGATTGCGAGAAAAGGCCCTGGGAAGACATGCATTACATCTTTGATGCACCGGCCCACTATAAAAAGAAGTATCTAGATCTAATTAGGTCTGTACGACGACTTCTTCCCTCGGGATCGTCTACAGCTATAGAGCCTGGCAACGAGACACCGGAGACAGCAACTGAATCTGAAATAGCGGACTTCCTTGGAAGGACACATCGCGAAAATGAGCTTTTCTGCTATCGTCTTAGTGTACAGGGAAATAACCTTCTGGCACATCTCTGGAGCCTCAAACCTCAAGCGCGAAGCTGCGCTATCGTCAAAGAATTCTCCAACTTTCTCGCCTCTGACCCTTTTCGCGACTCAATCTACCCACACAACCTAGAGGAAATGAAATCTATCCACAAAACCTGGCAGTTTGCGAGATATCGCCTATGGGAAGAAGAATAACGGACTCAAGGTCTGCTTCACGATTCTCAAACCAAGTTACCATGTGCAAGGTTCGAGTTTGTATGGCGAGAGAAAGCCCCCAGTACCTTGCAGACAGTCTAAGGGCAAGCGGCTTGCCTGCAGCTCGCTATGGGAGAGAAGTCCTGCGATGCGGGAATCAGCCATCGGGTTCGTCAACTCAAATCAGCACTCATTAAGTAGCTCAATAATGTTTACCATGCAATTCGATTGGACTTATGACTATTGTGTTCGTGGATAAATAAAGAAATTTATTCCTTCACTACGATGAACAAGACTACGGCACTCCGATCAGTGATCAAGACCTATAGGCGGTATCATCTTGAAAATATAAAAAAGCCAGTGGCTCGCGCGTTTCTTCCAGCGAAACATTCTAAAGTGTTCCCCATTTTATAAACAGGAGGTCTCTAGCATCTGATGACTCTATTATTAAACAATCTGATGGCGACCCCCATCTGTTTGGCAGCGTACTGTCATAAAGTCGGAGATGGATGTCAACCAGGTTTATCACTAGTAAATAATTACAATAGACGACCCATGAATCAAGCGCGGGTCTGCTTGATAGTGATCTTCTGTCCGCAAGGTACAGTGAACTTGTCACCCTTGACGACCTTGCCATTCACCTTGATGACACTCTTCTCAAGAGGAGTAGGCCGAGGTCGAGGAAGGTAGACAGTGCCTTCGGTGTTGCCATTCTTGGGCCCACGAACTGTCATCTGTAGAAGACCAGACTTGAACTTCCAATCAACCTCAACATTTCCATGCTCAGTAGGAACCCGACCCTTAGCCCACTCCAGACCCAAAGTCAGAGGCTTAACATCCCACTTCTTGTACCCAGGTTCAGCAGCCTGAACACCGAGAACATGTCGACTCAGCTCAGCAGTAGGTCCAGAAGCCCAGCCGTGGCAGAGAGAGGTGATTATCCCCAGACCAGGAGTACCATCGGGATCAAGAGTCTCCCAGAAGCAGTTGGTGTAGTTCGCATGGGAAGGGTTCGCCATGGGGGCCCAGAGACTCTTCAACAATCGATTGACGATCACCTCATCGTCAGACTCGAAGGCGGCGCGCAGATGATAGGCAGAGGCGTAAGGGCTGATCTTCTGAGCGAAACCAGATTTGGCGGTAGCGTTGCTAAAGGCTAGAGGTCCAGCCTTGAGCTGGAGTTCCTTGTTCATGGTGGAGAGAAGCGAAGTGGCTGAGATGTTGTGGCTCTGGGGAATGCCTGCGAGAATAGCGAGGGCGTTGGCGTCTTGGGCGAATCCAGTGGTAATCTCGTTAGACAGAACGTAAGCCTCAAGGGTATCGTTCCAGAGGTTAGAGTGAATAGCCTTGCGCAGGTTGTCGAGACGAATCTGATAAACAGTGGTGTTGGCACCAGCGGCCTTGAGGAGATCCTGAGTCTGCTGCAAGCTGTAGGCATACAGAGTGTTGAACTTGGAACTCGCACCGGTCTGGGGAGGATCGTAGTAGTTCCAGTCTCCAGTGACGGCAGGGTTGTCGAGAGTGAAAAGACCGTTCTTCAACTGTGAGTGCGCCCAGTCCAGCATAGCAGTAGTGCGAGGGGCCCAATCCTTGGCAAACTGCTTATCACCCAGAACCTCGTAGTTCTTAGCAAGTGCGTTGAGGAAGTTGAACGAGTAGCCGATAAGGCCAGTGATGTTGACGTCGAGAAGTTCCTTGAGCGGCTCCTGCTGGATCTTGGCGGTTGGGATGAAGAATCCGGGAATTGCCTGGTAAGAGCCTAGAAGGTCGAGTGAACCTTCGACGAAAGACTTGCCATAGGTGCTAGCGTATGTCGAGCCAAGCGCAACGTCAAGATCACCAGTGTAAGCGATTCTATCGCGTCTGGAACCATCAACGATGGTATCGGCAGGGTTCCTTCCCATGAAAAAGTCCTTCAGGAAGCTAGGATCAGTCAAGTTGTTTGAGTAGATCTCAGTACCGTCGAGAGTCGCAGCCTTGAGGTTACGGAAGTAGGCAGAGTGACCGAGAGGAGCACCAAGACCAAACGAGCCGTAAAACTTCTCTGCCTGGCTAAAGTCGAGAACAGTCTTGTTGTTGACGAGGATGGAGATCTCGGTCATGTTCACCTTGGCATGCACAGACATCCATTCGCTGACCTTGGCATCAGCAGAAGATGGGATTGAGCCAGACTTTGAAGCCCCCGTGGCCGTGACCTTGCCAGTCTTGACATCGCAAGTCACAACAATAGCTTCGTTGAGAGTGTCTGACAGAACGGAAAAGCTGAACTCCCCAGTAACGGGCTTGACCTGGAAATCGAGCTGGTAGGCGGTCAGCTGAGCAGCCGCAGCGCTACCGAGGGCCTGGGGCGCAGAGCTCTCAACAAGAGACCCTTCCTTGGAGACCTGCCAGAAGTCGGGGATAGTGTCTTTTGGAATCTCAGTAAGCTGGGCGGTTCTGGCACCTGTAAGCCAGATACGGTTAAAGTCCTCGTCCGAGCACTCAAAACCTCCGGGAAGCTTGGTGAGGGGCGTGGTGTGAACAGTCGGTTTCACGCCAATCTTCCTGAAACGCAGCTCTCCATGCGAAGAGAGGTTCAGTTTCTGGTAGCGGAAAGCTCCCTGGACAAGACGGTTGTTGAAAGTCTCGCGCTTCGTGATGTTGTATCGGTTCACACGGTAGGTGTCCATGGCAGCTGCCAGAGGAAGGGGTCCGTCACTCTGAGCGGGGAGTTAGTCCGTTGGCACAATATCCAAGCTCCAAGTGTTCATACCTGGTAGTTGCTAAAAGCATACTTGGACTCAGCATAGGTAAGCTCAAAGGCCGAGGTATCACCAGAAGCAGAGACAACCTCAAAGGTAGGATGACCCTCGAAATTCTCGCCGTAGTCGAGAATCATGATATGAGGTTTCTTTCCGTCAGATTTGAGAGACACGGTTCCTTTGGAACCGTAGACGACTGTATTCTTGTCTGCCCTTGCAACCGGTCCAGCAAGAGCTGAGCCGGCTACAAGCAACAGCGAAGCTGTAGCTTGGAGAAGCATTAGGATGGATAAGTAAGTAGTTTAAAGAAAATAGTAAAAGGAGAGATAGTAGTTGAGATAGTAAGAAAAGGAATGACTAATGAATGGTGTTGCACTGGATCTAATTGCTCAAGAGACCATCTTTACTTATAGTAATGCTATATTCGGTGATCGGTATTACATCTTCCATCTCTATGTTTTTTTGCATGATGTAATGAGCCACTGTACGGAGCAAACCGAGCCCTTTCATTTAAGCTCTGACCGTTCTGGTGGAGGGCCAAGAAGCGTGTCTCGTGAACGAGGTTTTACTGAAGAGCGAGGTTCGTTGCTGAAATATTGAACGAGGAACGAGGTTCGCTCCCTTAGTCCAAACCTAAAGAAAAGCGGAGTTCGCAGAAATTTACTGTCTTGAGTCAGTTTTCATTTTCAAGATCTCGTTACTGACTTTATCAGTGGTGACTTGATTGCCCATGTATATTTAGCATGCGAATGCGAAAATATGGTGATTTCCTGCCGAAAATTCGCAAGTCTGACGAATGATGGACCCTTATCTTAAAGGATTTGCTTACTGCACTCCCAGGGACCTTGTAGTCCGTCGGTCTTTGACCTCAAGATCAGCACTAAACCCCAATGTCTCCAAGTCAGGTCTAAGCCACATCCTCCGCAAGCACACGATCAGCAGAGGCGTTACGAATTTCTCGCTCTTTTCCCCACAGCCTCTTATGATTCGTTACCAAAGTCGCTGCCCTAACCGAGAGCGAGAGTTACTCAGCCCCCAAGCTGTCATGCTTTGCGTGTCGTACCTGATCTCGGTGTTTTAGCTTTGACCACCCTGCCAAGCTGTCCCCCTAAAATAGTCTACAGTAGCCTCTAGGGCGCTCTGCCGTTGGCCCCCCGCTCATTATATATTACGTACCGTACTTTACATCTCCATCTACCGAGTTCTAATCCAAATCCAATCAAACCATGTCGAAATCAAGATCTCAATCTCCGTCCAGGGACAAGGAAGCGCAAGATATTGACAATGTCTTGGACGCCCCCTGGGACGCGCCGCCTCCGTATGAGCTACATTCCTCAGGGTCAATCCTAGCTAGCACGTCGCGCGTCAATGGTACAACCCCCGCCTGTGTTCTTTTGAGGCTATCGTGATGCTGACCGCGCCAAGATGAGGGAAAGGTCGATATTGAATTCTCATCGCTGCAGCCCGACGAACTCAATCGCCTTCTGCCTCCAGACAAGGCCCAGGAAATTGAACCAAGCAGCAGCTTATCGCCAGCAGCTCCTCCCTCAGGGTCGTGTCCAGCTCTCAATGTCGTCATCCAAGTTGTCGGCAGTCGAGGTAGGCTCTCATGACATTCTCATTTCCTTTCAAAACTGATCAGATTAGGCGATGTTCAACCCTTCATCGCACTCGGCGTCGCTCTCCAGCGATACGGCCATCGCGTGCGATTAGCCACTCATGATACCTTTAAAGATATTGTCCGTTCATCTGGTCTCGAATTCTACCCCGTCGGGGGAGACCCTGAGGATCTCATGGCCGTAAGACTAGCGATATCTCCTATTACTCAAATGCTAACTGTGAGGGTACAGTACATGGTCAAAAATCCCGGATTAATTCCTTCTATGGAAAGTCTTCGAGGAGGCGATATCGGCCGAAAGCGCGTCATGATCCACGATATGCTAAGAGGCTTTTGGAGCTCTTGTGTCAAACCGGACCTCGTATCAAATCGTCCCTTTGTCGCTGATGCTATTATTGCAAACCCACCAAGCTTCGCACATGTCCACTGCGCTCAGGCGTTAGGTATTCCGCTTCACATGATGTTCACAATGCCCTGGACAGCCACGAGATCATTTCCTCATCCTCTCGCCAATATTCAGTCTAAGAACATGGATCCCAGGGCTTCCAATTATCTCAGTTATGGAGTTGTTGATCTAATGACTTGGCAAGGGTTAGTCCTGTACTGACTGTCTTTCTCCGTGTTTCTGCTGACCATTACAGACTTGGAGATGTCATCAACGCTTGGAGAGTCAAGGACTTGCATCTAGACCCATTAGCAGCCGCTGTTGGACCCGACATCGTTGGGCTTATGAAAGTACCATATACTTATTGCTGGTCACCAGCTTTGGTCCCCAAGCCAAGCGACTGGGGAGATAGCATTGGTAAGACCCACGAAGACAAACTCTAATTGGTACTGAGCATTAACTGGCCTCATTAGACATTTGCGGCTTTTTCATGCGAGACGAACCCTCTTATACACCTCCCCAAGACCTCGCAGACTTTCTAGCAAGCGGACCACCGCCAGTCTATATCGGCTTCGGAAGTATCGTCATCGCTGACCCCACGGCCCTAACAGACATCATCAAAGAGTCGTGCAGGGTTGCGGGAGCCAGAGTAATTATTTCTAGAGGCTGGAGCAAGCTAGGCGGAAATGACCCCAGCACTGACTCGATCTTCTACTTGGGTGATTGCCCTCACGGTATGTAGCCCGCTGCAGTTCACCAGTACGTTACCTGACCTTTGGCAGAGTGGTTGTTCAAGCGCGTTGCTGCTGTTGTCCATCATGGCGGCGCAGGCACTACAGCTTGTGGGCTCGTCAATGGCCGCCCAACTACCATTGTGCCATTCTTCGGCGAGTAAGTCCTTTACTCCCCCACTATCCCAAAGACCATGCCAACATCCTCATAGCCAGCCCTTTTGGGGAAGTGTCGTTGCCTCCAACGGAGCAGGTCCATCACCCATCGCCTACAAGAGCATCTCGGTAGAAAAGCTCAGTTCTGCAATTAAGTTCTGTCTCAGTCCCGAGGCTCAGGCTGCTGCCAACAGAATCGCCTCGCAGATGAGACAGGAGAGCGGCGTTAACACAGCAGTCGAATCTTTCCATCGACATCTACCCGTGGCCGACCTCACTTGCGACCTCATTCCACAAAATGCTGCTAAATGGCAGTACGTGGCCAGGTCGAAGAAAGGTGGCAAGGACCATATTAGGCTGTCAAATGCAGCCTTGAAGGTTCTGCTGGACGCCAAGAAAGTCAAGCTGACAGACTTTGAACCGTGAGTTGTGACAATGCGCACTTTCTAACTATGCTGACCTATTCATTCAGACTTCGACCGAAGGAATACCTCGTTGAGAACGAACGCTGGGATCCTGTGACAGCTGGAGCCTCGTCAGTTCTGGGCACCGTGACAGACTTCACCTCTGCCCTAGGCGGAGCTTTCATCGATCCCTTCAAAGACGTAAAGCGTGTCCGGCCAGATGGTACTCGTCGCTCAGCAGGTACAGCGACAGCAGTTGCAAGCGGAAAGGCTCTGCAGGGCATGACGACCGCTGTGGTGAAGGGTTCGCTCGTGGATGTCCCGTTGGCATTCGCTGAAGGATTTCGCAACACACCGCGACTGTACGGAGAAAAGGTCGCGGATTATGGTCCTGTCACGGATTGGAAGAGCGGCAGTACAGTTGCAGCAAAGGTATGTACAGCTACCCTAGGAGTTGAGATGAGATACTTACGTGGATTAGAACTTTGGCATTGGCTTCTATGAAGGCTTAACTGATATCGTGACAAAACCAATGAAAGGGGCTAAAGAAGAGGGAACCAAGGGCTTTTTCAAAGGTCTTGGGCAGGGGTCTCTCAACATGGTTGCCAAACCAGGCAGTGGTAAGTCTACGATGCATACTCAGAGATCCTTGGGGCATGTCAGCTAATACCCTTTCAGCAATGTTTGGATTACTTGCGTACCCAGCTCAGGGAGTTTATAAAAGTGTACAGTCTATGAAGACGAACAAGGCGAGGGATGCGGTAGCAGCTGGTCGGGTTGAGTCATTGAGTGAGGGGGAGGTTGCGCCGTCTCACCCTGATGCAGCCCAAGTCGTGAGACGATTCCAGGAATTAACAGGGTAGATACATTAATATTGTGGGTTATAGGCTTTAATGTATAAGCGGTAGATTTATTGAAATTCACATCGTCAGCCTCATGACATGACATTTTGTGACCCTTGCACCAGTTATATGTCGTTTTAACTGCGAAGTAGTTTAATGTTAATATATCGGAAGTCGAGCTTGGTACGAGACAGTTAATAGTAAGAAAGAGAACTTATTCTACTTAAGGATAAGATCTGTCTATCTATCTATGTTTCAATTGGTAGCTGTCTAGGAGGTGGGAAGATGATACCCTATATATCATATGCGCTTTTGTTCTAGGGTGGGTGATTATCCGCTCAAGCCATTGAGGCTCTTGAACGAGTTTTCTCGTTTATCGTTTAACTTGAACGAGATAGTGGATCCTGTCGATCCACTAGTGAGATCCATAAGTATTTAGTTCCGACGCTAGAGCCAAAGGCGGGCGACACTTTCACCTTTTAACATTGGCGTGACACGCATTAATCATTTCTGCATTGAACATTTCGCGAGAGCTGAACATGAGCAAAATATAGTGAATTGCATTGCAATCTCTTCTCCGCCTATACTAACTGCTCGCTTCACATAATTATCCAGTCAACATCACCCCGAGTCCCTCGTCAACATTCATGAAGCGGTTACACGACTTCATCCTGCCTCTGACATAGGAAATATCCTTCGTTATATCAGAAAGCTACTCAAACAGATTCCTTGCCATCTGTATGCTCGACGATGGTCGAGTGTTTCTCTTCAACTCGAGCAGAATGGATATCAACTCCACTGTTAGGACCATCAAAGATCCATGCAATTTCCTCCAATGAAGGTCCCTTGGTCTCCGGGAAGACAAGGTAGACTCCAACAAACTCAACCATGACCCATCCGACGAAGATGATGTAGAACTTCCAGGTGATGTCTCCGAGACCGATAGGCACAACAAAAGTCGAAAGCATCATGAAGCAGAATTGGACGAAGTAGAAGAATGACAGTCCCTTGGTTCGCATGCGATAAGGAAGAATCTCGGGGATATAGAGACCAAGGTTACCGTTGAAACCGAGGTTGTAGGCGGGAGAGAAGAGGTAGAGGAACGCAACGACTGTGTACGCGGCAGCTTTGTTGGTGTTATCCTTGGCGAACACAGCACTTCCTGCAGTGATGCAAATGTCGATGACCCAGATGGCAGCCAGCGACCAGAGGAAAAGCTTGCGACGACCGACCTTGGCTGGCAACGTGGCGAAGTAAATGGCACTGAACCAAGAGAGCATCTGGTTAGTAGCGTTGATGAGAGTCTGCTGAAGATCCGAGTTGAGTCCAACAGAGTGCAGAATGGGCGAGAGGTAGTACGAGACAAAGGCGTTGCCAGACATCTGTGAGCAGATAGCTGCCCAGACCATGATAAACATGCGTCTGCGGTTGCCAGGAGTGCTGCCCAAGTCCTTGAGGAAGACAACAATGTTGTTATGCTCAGATGCCTCTGCACTCAGCGTCTCAAGAATCTCGTTGTACTCGAACTGAACAACAGGGTCAGACGAGTCGCCCTCGCCATGATACTTGGCAAGCATCTGAAGAGCCTCGTCGTTGCGACCCTTACTGACGAGCCATCGTGGCGACTCTGGGACGAACCAGACAAACAGAAGCTGGATGACAGAAGGAAGTCCCTGCAGCGCGGAAGGAATACGCCAAGATGCAGTGCTGTCGATGCGGAATGTGCCAAAGGTGCACCATCCGGCAATGATGGATCCAACAGAGTAAAAGGTGAGGAACAGAGCTGTAGCTGTACTTCGCTGAGCAGGGTGCGCAATCTCAGTGATATAAGGAGCGCCAACTCCAGCAACGACAACACTGCCTGCACCGATGATGACTCGAGAGATGATAAACATGGCGATATTCATAGCAGCGCCCTGGATAGCTGCACCTATACAGCAGAGCGCAGCGCCAGTAGCTAGACCCCATCTTCGTCCAAAGGTATCGGCCGCGGGAGAGATGAGAAACGTGCCGAGGATACCGCCGAGGGGATAAGCAGCGTTGAAGAAACCGAGCATAGCGCCTGTTGGAGTGCCGAAATAAGTCTGCCAGTGGCTGACGGACTGCAGACCGTTCATCATACTTCCATCGAAACTAAATATCTTATTAGCTTAGATGAGTAGGATACGGGGGATGGAAACGAACCCCTGGGAAAAGATCGACAGAAGTGGGATCATCATGAGACAGTTGAGGGCGCGCAGATTGGGCGACTTCCACCAACGCTTGGTATCAACAGGCGATGATGGAAGAGCCATGGTGGTGGTAACTTCAGGTGAAGCCATTGCGCAAACAAGACGTAGCAGGATAGACAATAGAAGGTTGCCGAGATCAAGATTGAACGACTGGGATGAGAATAAGAGTTTGACACTGGCTCAGCCCATGGCTATATACATCCTTCTCACTCGCCACGCTCTGTACTCGGGACCACTTCGACCGAGAACCAGCCCCCCCCTCCTCCTCGGCCCATTCCCAAGGGGTTCATTGGGGAAAATCTGGGGTACGCTAGCAGAAAAGCTCAAGGGTGGTTCTGGACCATCACGTGGGAAGAATGGGCCGGTATTTAAGGGCCAACATGCCCCGAAGTTTCTGCACGTCGAATGCAACCTTGACGGCGAAACATAGACCGAAAAGCAGCCATGGCCTCGTACGTTTATCTCTTGTTTTTTTCTTATCAGGTTCCCCGGAAATAGGAAACTGTGGAGAATGCTAATTAGCATGCAGATGCGAGAGGTGCAAGCAGCGCAAGGCAAAGTGCGACCGCCGATTACCGACCTGTCAGCGCTGTGAGAAGGCAAAGGTTGAGTGTGAGTACGGGAACAGACGGAAGCCGGGATTTCCAGCTGGTCATCGCCAGATGCTAGAAGACAAGATCGGTAGGTCCTATTACCTTCAGTCACTTCAGTTTCCTTGTAGTGTTTATGAGGTAAGGTGATTATCGGCTGACTCTTGGTTCCAGAGAAGCTAGAGTCCGAACTACGAGCCATTCGTAGCACGCCGAGAACAAGCACATCAACTGATCAACCACCTCCACAAGACACAATCGAAGTCGAGACCAAATCACCCAATGACCAGCCAATCCCTTCAATGCCCGTCGGTGAAGCATCACCTACTTTCGAGCGCACCCGCAGAGTCACTGAGCGCAGACCCCCAACCGACCTCGTCGTTTCCCTCGCCTCTCTTTACTTTCGCCACATCCACCCATGGTTTCCCTTCCTAGATGTCCAGCGTGTCTGCGCAGACATGGGCTCTATGGATGAGCCTGCGCTGCTGTACTATGCGCTCTTTGGGGTCACGCTGCCGTACTCGTTTGACTCGCGTCTTGATCAGGCGTCGAGTGATTCGTTTTGGAAGTATTCTAAGCGCAGTATATTTGTTGATGTCCTGGAGGAGCCGTCGTATAGTTCGTTGGAGGTTCTTACGGTGCTGGTTTTGGATCTCTCGGGCATGACGCATGGCCCTCAGGTTTGGGGTCCGTTGGCTGTTGCTACAAAGCTTGCGGTGCAGCTTAAGAACACGGATGGGCTTGTATTTCGCACGTCGACAGAGGCTGAGAGGGGTGAATCGCTGAGAAAGAGTGATGGTATCTTCCGACAGCGGTTGTTCTGGGCTATCTACGCTCTGGACTGCACTATCTGCATCACCACGAACCATCATTCGACCTTGGGCGACGACCATGTTCACCACTTCCTACCAGCGCGCCAGCAAGTCTGGAGGGAGAACTTGTCAGAGGTAGACGATGCGCTGCTTACTCCGGCGTCTGTGTTTAGCTACCAACTGGAGCTATTCGACCTATCCCGGAGAATCCACAGAGTTGGAATGCAATACAGTACGCTTTACAACAACCAAGAGCTGGAGTCAAATTGGCTGAGCGAGTTTCGCAACGTCACGGCCGAACTGAATTCCTGGATGGAGACTTTACCATCTCGGTTATTCTGGCATAACCATAACATTGTCGACGACCGTGTGCCAGGCGCCATTCGACCAGCCACATTTATGCTGTATGGTTATTACTACGCCTTGGATATCTACCTCAACGGCTATCTCGGCATCCCATGTCATTTCAATTTCCAGTCCGATTCGCATCTCGACATCCGTCGCCAATGCTTAGAGCGATGCCTCACCAGCGTACAAGCCTTGGCCCAGATCGTCACAAAGGTAGCCGACCAAACAGTCGATAAGCTCGGCTGGCCATTTGCCTGGTCCGTCTGGGTAGCCGCTCGCTTTCTCACAGCGCAGAGATTCTTCACAGGAGAGACTGATCCCGAGAGCATAGCAAAAGTCTCACTTTTCACCACCTTTCTCAGTACCATGGGCCGGTTTTGGCAGATCAGCGCTAGCTACGCCAAGATTCTGCGTCGGGCGACCTCTGATCTTGATGCTGGAACTGAACAGGGGCAAGGAACGATTCTCCAGCTCATGGCGGATCTTCGGATCCCGACGTCCCATATTGAGGATCAGTTTAGGCCAGATTCTATGCTGCATGGGGTGATTAGTCCAGGGCAGTCCGTTTCGACGTTTGATAACGCCAGCTACATGGACGTCGAGAGATTGGATACCCTTCTCCCTGTGTTCGCTGACGACGCGTGTTTTGATATGTCTCAAGATCCGGATAACTGGTTTCGCATGCCGTTGTTTGCCTCATCAGCATACCAGCAGTTCAACGCGCCAGAGCAGGAATGATGCTTAGTCCTAAGCCTAACATTGACTTTATGTTGCCTCGAATAATAGTATACTTTCTAAGATCTTGTCCATGTAAAGCTCATGCTCCCGGAGCTCTTCTCAACCATGCCCGGCCATCCCGGCAATTTGACATGCACAGAGATTGACTCGTCTAAACCCTCAATCCCCAACGTGACTCGCGTCTCTCCATCTAAAGAGCTCCAGCCAACCTTTGCCAACACTAACTTCCCCTCTCTATAGAACGGAACGGTCGCTTCAAGAGAATTATAAAGACCTAGGCGAGGAGCAAACTCTATCTCCTGCCATCCTGCATTGGCAGGCCTTATCCCCGCAACCTCGGCCAAGAACTCGTAGATTGGAGCGCTGCCCCAAGCATGACAGTCTGAGCGGTGTGAGACATCGTCTTCTTCCCAGGTTGTCAGACCGAGAGATAATTGGTGACGCCATGGTTGCCATAGAGCATGAAATAGCTCATCATATAGAGACCCTCCTGCGGCACTGATGGCTCGAAGTGTATAGAAAGACATGGAAATTGACGTCTTGATCAGTGGCGCGCCACTTTGAGAACTTCCTAGGGCGCGCTTAAGCAATATCTGAGCGCTGTCACCACAAACAGCACCGCTAAGAACAGCCCAGACCTGGTTATGCTGGCTCCGGTCAGTTTGAGGGTCTGAGCAAGCGGCAATGCTGTCGGTAAAATATTGCCCATCGAAACACTGCCGTTTGACCGCATCGACAATTAGCCCAGCCCGATGAGAATACTCTTCTGCAAGGGAAAGTCGGCCCGCACATTCTCCTTGCAGCTTGGCCGCCAGTCTTAGAGTGTACGCATATAAGCTGTTTGTGTATGTCGAAACACCGGACTTTTCCACTGACGGCGGAATACCATATGGTCGCCACTGCTCCGCCCAGTCATGAAAGTTCCAAACGCCCTTCTCATTCCCAAGACTCACTAGATCCAGTCGGTGATCAATGCGTTCGTGGAAATACCCCAGCACAGCGTCGACAACAGGTAAAAGAGGCCGAACAAATGCCTTGTCGGCATAGTAAAGGAAGTGGTCATGCAGCATGCAGATCCAGTAGAGAGAAAAGTGAGGGATAATCTGTAATTGGGTTGATGGTGCTCTACTGGCCGTAAGTCCAATGCGAGGTTGAAAAGAGCTATGAAGCTGCACAATTGCCTGTCTGGCTAAACGATCATCGCCGGATACATGGTATGTTAAGAGACAAGAGCTGCGTGTATCCATGGCGTATTGGAGCTGTTCGTAAAAAGGGCAGTCTTCGTAGCAATCATGCATGCAGTTTTGTAATGTTCTGATACTCGTGTCGTACAACGCTCCCAACGTTCCGTCGTCTGAGGTCGTGCTTATGCTTGATAGTACGTCCAATGGGTAGTTCACAACGTCAATATTGATACCGCGCATGATCAGATCAGATGACCCAGTCTCGATGTTCAACCTCATGAAGCGAAAGGTGCGCCAGTGAAAAGGCATATATATCTCCTCCGTTTGCTCCTCATCGTAGTAGCCCAGACGCGGATTCCCATCTCTTCCCTGGAACGTATAAATGTCTTTGGGTCCGATAAGGAACTTGCTTGTATCGCATCTGTTCCCTTTGCAGCGAAGATATGGAACCAGCACTGGAGTGTCCTCGTAACTTTCAGAATAAGTTATCGTAAGGCAAGCGCCTCCAACCTCGGGTCGGACGAAGCGGAAGCGGATAAAGGCGGTGGTATGAACGGGAGTCTCAAGGTCGAGTTGATGGCTTGATTGAGCAGGAAGAAGGAGACTACTGTCTCCGGACTGAGCACCCAGCAATCCTTCACTCCAGATACCATGAGGCAACCCGCTCTGAACGTTGTGAATGGCGCTGAAGTACGACCTCTGACCCCTCACCGGCGGAATGAGGCGTGGCGATAATTTCCACGGCGCTGTGACACCAGTAGAGTTCTGAAAACGGAGCAGTATCGCTGGAATCCACTCCACTGGCATATCGCGCGATACAGAAACCAATTCGTACACGTGAAGAAAGTCATCTTCTTCCTCGTCTATACGAAAAGTCACATTGTGATCTATCGCCGTTTGCCAGAGCTCACTGCTTCGAATCTGCGGCGCCCAGACCTCATCATCAACAGTAGTCGCGATCTTGACACCCCCCGTTCCCAAGCGTGGAAAGCTAGTTCCATATGATGTACCGTGAAAGAGCCGGAGGACATGAATCGCGATGTGATTCTCGCCTGGGCGTAAATATGGGCTGATGTCGACCTCGTCGTAGAACCAGAGACTTGCATCTCCCTTGACAGGTCCAAATGCGACCAATTGTTTGTTGACGTATAGCTTATATCGTGTATCGGCCGTGATCTGAATCGGAAGCGAAGTCGGTATCTCTGAATTGACAAAGAAAGTCTTGCGGAAATGAACGAAGCGACCGGCAGTAGACGTGGCTTTTTCGATGAAAGCGGGATTCCACATCCAAGATGTGTCGAATTGTTCGGCGGCCATGATGAGATACTTTCGATAACGAGTGAGGAACTAAGAGAAGGGTCTTTGGAGGGGCAAATGGACAATCCCTCAGTCATTGTTAAGCGCAATTTGAACGTGGTCGCACTCGTACGACCCACGTTGGACTGGGGCGCCCTTCGGATGTTGTAAGACCGAGACATGCCTCGTTTAACGGGAGCGAGCGGGTTGACATGCGCCGACCAGCCCCGACCCGTTCTATATCCATACAAATTTATTAAAGGCTCGGTGGTATGCTTAGCGAAGCCTTGCCGCAACCTCTTCATGGTTCCATTCTTGTTAGTTGATTACCTGAAGGTCAAGACGCCATGGACGGAGAGCTGCTGTATCAAATTATCTCATACTGGAACAACATCATACTGGGTCCTTGCCACAAAATCTTGCCATGATGTAGTCAAGGAACTAGTAGGATTTCTGTCACGCCAATTCCAATATTCGCGACAAACTGTGCTTGCCAAGCTGACATTTGCGAATCCATGGCGGTCCTTCTTCTTGAACCAATTCAAGGCACGCATCTTGTGCTCCTCGTCATGGCATTCAGTGGCGATAACCATGCAAGGCCATAGAACGATGCATCCGTCCAGATCAGTGGTGACATCTTCAGCCGCTTCAAGGTGACCCAGGGCTTCTGATACAATATCTCGTAGCTGCTCTGGTGGCTTGTGGCGGATCCGTCGTTGGAAGTGTATTATTGTGGCGTAGTGCCAGACCGAGGCATAGTGTTGACTGATAAAGTTGACCTTGTCACTGCGGAACTGATTGTGATGCGTAGTTGGTCCAACTTGGAGATAGATCTGAAGCTCTAGCTGGTCGACCAGAGCGAGGTCTCTGATATCTTGTTTTGAGAGCGTGTTGATTTGAGATATGATGCCGACCAGATCCTTGGTTACACTGTGATGCTTCGAGACATAGTCCTCGTTAGTAGGGAGTTGAGACACCATATCTGCAAGGTCATACTGTGTATCAACATTGCCTAGCACGACGAGACACAGGCACTGCAGAACCACAACGTGGAGGTCAGATCCTGGGTCCAGGCCTTGATAGAGTGTTCCCTGTACTATTATCCTTAACGCAGCTTGTATATGGGCTCTCCAACCCTGAGGATGTCCCGTCATGGTGTCTTGCATGATGCACATCGCAATAGCAGCCAGAACAGAGGTATAATCCATGCCTTTTGGATGTGAAATGGACTCTTGTAGATTCTTCAGTGCTACCTGTGCGTTCCACGCCGATTGCCTATCTGCCTTGTCATGCCGTATCGTGTTGAGATTATGCGCGGCCGCAGCGCACACGCCATGCAGCACTGCAATGTGACTCTTGGATGTGCCACTGACGCCTTCGGAAGCCAAGCGCAGATATATAACTCGGTATGGGTTGTCCATTGTGTCGATTGGGACCATGTTTCTGCACATGTGGACTAGCCAGTGATGGATCAGCTCGGTTTGTTGTCGCGACATGGAGACGGGGTCGAGACTGGCTTGTGGCTGCGGCAGTTCATGCCAGAAGCTGAACGAAGGGTTGTTGAGTTGGAAGTTATCTGACGATATATGACCCTCTAATGCTATGGAGACATCGAATGTGGCATCGTTTTCCACGTCGAACGGAAGGAAACTGAGTTCTGCCCACGATGATGTTGAATCGAGATCACAAAAGCTTGAGCCGAGAAACCATTCTTCTGAGAAATGCTCACACAGTACCAGATCATTATTTTCATCAACGTAATCTTCAGTCGAACTGGTAGTCTGATGCGCAGATATGTCGAATATGGTGACATGTGATGTTGCGTCATTGCTGATCTCAGGTAATGAGTGCTGGCTTGTGCCTATCAACCAGTCGCTCGAGGAGGGCGTATATGAGTCATCGGTTGCTGTTTCTCCCACAAGTTTTTGATCCTCTTGGCTTTCCTTGTTATCAAATTGCCGTGATTCTGAGGCCTCCATCTCAGTCTTCTGTCCAATGCGGAACACAGAAAAGGGCCCAAAAGCCTGTGTCTCATGGCTAGCTTCTGTATGGTGGCATTTGTTGATCATATCATCCAGGTCGTCTGACGCTATTTCTGCGCCCTCCGTATCCAAATCGATAAGAACTCTGAAAGCAGTTTCTGTTTCGTTGCCTTGCCAAGTAAGGCGCACTCCGTAGCCCTCGCAGATTCGACCTGCTCTAGTACAGCGGTTGCAGATTGGCTGGGCCTCGTCGCACTTGACTCTGCGGGCGCGACATGTCCAGCATCCTGTGAATGTCTTGGACTTCTTCCCCATGATATGAATTGGTGGTTCCCAAGCTGAACGTATCGATAACTCGTTATTGAGTTCTGGGCAGACTTAATAATCGTCGTGTTCATATGAATGGCCACAACATACCTGTCTTGAAGATGTTAGAAAACGCGGGGCTGTTCATGCGGAGTTCTCTGGGTTGTTATGCTTATCGGCGTCCGCGGACGATGCCTAGCGTAAGATGGGGTATCGTCTTTCCCGATATGGAACAAATTCACTGGTTAGAGTTACTCGATTGGTATCCAGTCTTATCATGATATATACGTGTTAAAAGATCATTGATTACATCTTTACCGCTGTAAGTGTCTTTGCAGCATTCATCAACGCCGTGCCAGTCGACGAAACCCTCTCAAGACTCAGACTCATGATCTCAACTACATTGCCCCACGGGTCTTGGGTATATATCCCCTTATGGCCCTCAAGTCCAAAAAGTGAATAATCCATCCCTCCTCCCAATGTCTTTCCACCCTCCACTACAATTTTCTTCGCCAATATCTCAGGATTTCTATCCGTGACACAAATGTGAAAAACCCCAGTCCTTGTATACTCAAAATTCACATCTCGCGGCTTTGGCGACGGGTCGATGAATTGAAAGCATTCAATGCATACACCATTACCAGTTGCTAGAATGGCAAATTTGAGTTCTTGGAGTGATGGAGGGTATGAGACGAAGATTGTCTCGAATGGTGCTGGGTCTTTTGCTCTGATGCAATGCTGTATATCGCCAATGACCTCGAAGCCAAGAACGGTTTTATACCATTTAACAAGTCCTTCGATATCAGGGCATGAAATTGCTATATGATTGATTGGACGGTTTGTGGGTTCCTGGAAAACCTTAGCTGTGACCTCCTATACCATCTTCTTCTTCTAGTCTGGACCACGTACCATTTGAGACATCTTGGACTTTGCCACAAGAGTAGACTGTAGACGATGGTATATCAAGGGATCTGCTCCCCGATGTTATACTCTGGCGATTAGCTACGGGTATATATATGATACTTCTGTATTTACATATCCATCAGCACCCAAGGCAACTTACTGTCTGGGCCATCGGATGGAAATGTCTTTGGCACGACTCTTGGAGTAAACCCTCCAAAAGAGGCAACCCAAAACGACTCGGCTCGTCGGCGGGTTGATCGGGTGGGCAAGGTGCCCGCGGATACCGATGCGGGGTCGGATATGGCAGCCACCATCGGATCTCTCTAGAGTCAAGTCCGCTAATCGGTAGTCCTTTGCTTCAAATCCAGCACCGTGACAGACTTCGGCTCCTAAGGTATATTCAGGTCGTAAGTATAGATAGTGCAATGTTGAAACATTGACGGGAAAAGGCTATCGATAAGTGGGAGTTTCAGGCCGGAAAGACCTCGACATAGCGCAAAGAAGACATCATGGGCAGCATATTATCTGCACATGCAAGTGTCGATGAATGTGTCAGGGAACTTTATGCTAAATACGTGTCGCTTTTGTGATGAATAAAGACATTCTAAGGTGTGTCCATGAAGCTGCCTGGATCACCTATAAGCTTGCAACCAACGCTGTCCCTTTGATCAGCTTCTTCGTCTCCTCCTCGCAGTAGATAAACATATCCAAAGCCTCCTTAACCATACGGGCGGCTTCCGAGTCTCTTTCCAGAGCTTGATCTAACGCCTTTCCTCCATCAGCCAATAGGTCCACAGTCAATTCCTTTGCCGACCATCCTCTCTCTTCCGCCAGATCCTGAGTAAGCAGCTCATCCAGCCTGGGCGAAGGGATAGGTACACCGCCAGCATATGGGCTTTTCATGGCGGCCACCTTGGGAGCTACTGGCAGTGGAATGCCTCCAGGTGTCAAAGTCTTGAACTCCTCCATTAGATCCTGCGAAATGGTTGCAGAATGACAGCCGAGTTCGGCCAAGGCGAGAACCTCTTTGTAGGAGCGAAAGCTGATACTGTCAGCAAGAGACTAGGCATGGATGGTGATATGCATCCTTACCCCGCATTCTTGATTAATGGCTGTTCTTTGCCTGTGGTGGCAAACAAGGTCTTGTATGCTTGGACCATCTGGGCGATGCGATGCGAGAACGGGTGTTCCAATGCAGGGTCCTGGACATCAGGCCACAGCTCTGGATTCAAGTGAGTACGTATTTCTGATAATGAACAGTCAGCTGAGGTAATGTGCGATAGGGCAAGTCATCATCTCTCTTACCGTTGTAATATGGGCTGATATACAAGCAACCCGCCTGGCTACAAGCCACAGCCTGGACCACGCTGAACACGCCTGTACCCAAGGTTGAAATGCCCTCCTCTTGAAGAATCTTGGCAGCGTTCAGTCCAGGACCTGTAGCCATGATCTTGATACAGTATCTGTTCTTTGGGATCCCGGCCCTTTCAAACTCAGATGCGTACAGGCGAGCATGATCCAAAGTTTCTTGAAGCTTGTATGCAGCTGAAGGGCTGGTCTGGACCAAGACTCGGCCTTTGATCAGGTCGATGTTTCTTTTGCAAAGATGAACAGCCTATGATAGTCAGATTCCGATGGGGGGCTTGGGAATAACTGTCTTACAATTCGCGACAGTATGGCAAGGAAACCTTGATCCTGAAGCTCAAAGGCCGTAACTTTGATTACTTCAGCGTTTGAAGGATCCTGGATAGCTAGAGACAACCATATAGGATTGCAGGTTTGATCATTCGGAGTAATGGGCAGAGATCGAATGAACTCAGTATTGAGCGTATCAACATCAACGTTGACAACGCGGGGTGTTATTGATAGTCAAATATCGAGGATATCTCAGAAGACTCACTCTTCTGCTCAATCTCATGCAAGAAGCTATTCTCAGTTTGAGGCGCCATGATGCTGGCTGGTTAGGATTACGAATTGTACTGGTGAAATGAAAATACGATTCTGAAGCTAATGACTGTGTTTACCTTTCTGATCCATATGTAGCTTCTTATAGTAACTCTCCTGCCGAGGCTCACCTCTGCTCAAATCTGGGGAAAGTGAATGCCGATTCAGCAGCAGTGTAATAGCAATGGCCGTTGATGATCACAACTCACTGTTGCACAAGCCAGTGAATGCTCCCCAAACAGTTTAGTTGTATAATTGTGGATCTCGCTGTGAACTGCCTGAACTGAAGAGTTGGTGGTGTGGAGCTCAAGAACTCTATCATCCTGACCCTTCAAGAGAGAAATACATGAGACAGGCTAAAATAAGAGGTATTGCATTGCAAGCTCGGTCCTTATTGCCCATTGACCTTCATGTGTCGAATTGGGATCGCTGAGAGTCATACTATACGTGGCCCAAACTAACTACGGCAATCGGCAAATAAATGCATAGGCAGACCTCTGATAAGAGAAGAGCATGTTAGCGCTGCAATAATCTATAAATCCAATGCTGGACAGTGTATAAGTATCATGTCTTTTAGTAGAATAAATCAGTCAGTTACAGGTTCTAAGCGGATTTCCCTTCTGACTCTCGCATCATCTCAAATTCGTATTTGCACAAAATGACAGTATCCACCTCTCCGCCTACCGCGCAGTGGACACACGAGCTCGTCGACGTAGCTATCGTCGGTGCGGGCTTCAGTGGCCTGGCGGCTGCCAAAGATCTCGTCGCTGCTGGCAAATCCGTCCTTGTTCTCGAAGCCCGAGATCGAGTCGGCGGAAAGGTCTACGACGTGGAGGTGAAAGACGGAAACGGCCACAAAGTCGAAGCAGGCGCTGAATTTGTCTGCAAGAACCACAAAAGGCTTCTTACTCTAGCCACTGAGCTAGGCATCAAGACGTTCCCGACATACATCGAGGGCAACATGCTCATGTGGATACCCAATCAGGGCCCTCTCCTCTATGATCCTGTCAAGACGCAGGGATTGCCACCACTATCTGAAGAGGATATAGCGATTCTTACTGATATCACAGTCCAGTTTAATGAGATGGCGAGTGAGATCGACGTGCATCAACCGTGGACGCACCCTAAAGCAAAGGAATGGGATCGTCTCACCCTGTCATCATGGCTCGATGGCTTTACTCGTGATGGTGTAGCGCGAGGCGTGATTGATATGACGAACAGAGCTGTCATGTCAGCGGAAGGCGAAGATGTTTCACTTTTGAGCGCTGTGATCAATGTCGCGAGAACTGGAGATGCGGAAACAAAGGGTCGAATGGAGATGTTGACCAACGTCAAGAATGGATCTTTGGAAGAGAGGATCGAAGGCGGACCGCAGAACATTGCTATCAAATTGGCTGAGCGTCTTGGTCGTAAGACTGTCCGCCTTCAAGCACCTGTTCGACAGATCCTACAGAACGACGATGGTTACCTTGTCGTAGGTGATTCATTCCGCGTTCAAGCACACAAAGTCATCATCGCTATCCCCCCAACACTCGCAGGTCGCATCGTCTACCAGCCTCCTCTCCCTGCCGCACGAGACCAGCTCTGCCAGAGGGTCCCAATGGGTTCCATCGGAAAAGTCATCGCAATCTACAAGACCCCATTCTGGCGCGACCAAGGTCTCAGCGGTGAAGTCGCAAGTCTCGAGGGTGTATCCCAATCCACATTCGACAGTTCCCCACCCGACGCAAGCTTCGGAGCCATGATGGGCTTTCTAGAAGCTAACGAGATGCGAAGACTCGACGATGCCTCTGAAGAAGAGATCTTTGCTGCTGTGACAGAAGACTTTGTAAGATATTTTGGTCCCAAGGCGAGGGACGTCCAGTCTTGGGTACTGCAGAGATGGGACAATGAGGAGTTTTCGAGAGGTGGTCATACGGGATTGTTCCCGCCGAATGTCTGGACTCAGTTTGGGCCGGCGCTGACGAAGCCGGTTGGGGGGATTTATTTTGCTGGGACTGAGGCGTCGAGCTATTGGGCGGGGTTTATGGAGGGTGCTGTTATTGCTGGTGAGGCGGCAGCCCGGAAGGTACTGAGCAGCCCGTGAGAGAACCGCCGAGAAGGTATTTTGGGCAACTGGAAGGATAGATAGACTGCTATGACAATCAAAGGAATCGTTTTCTTAGGCAGCGAGACAGTCGAGATTTATGACAGGATTCTAATCAAAACCGCCCAAATAACGTGACGATGAACGCCTACTAAATGTCAATGATTAAACATCAATTTGATCAAGGTATCTCAGTATAAATATCCAATAATAAACATTCTGGGTCAAGGCAGACACCTAATGTAGACAAGCTACACTACTACAAATCCCAATTCATCGTTTCTATGACTACTCTCGACATGATATAGCCACTGGTTTAATCCTTGTGGTCAACAGCTGGTCCAACCTTTTCCGATACATAGTCGCTCTCGAGTGCGAATTCTAACAGCAACATTAGTAAGCCCGCTCCAGAAAGAATTGACCAAGGGCGAATACTTACGGTCGGCTTTAGTGTACTTGAACTTTCTAGCTGGTACACGGTTCTCGAAGAGGATGTCGATCTCACCAAAGGTACGGTCCTTGGTCTCGGGAAGACGGAACCAGCACCAGAGGAGACAAAGTGCATTGGTCCCGGCGTAGAAAAGACCTGTCTTTGCGCCCCAGCCCCAGCCTGTACTTATCATTAGCTTCTCTCACAACTATCATGGTGTTTACTTGAAGGTGGACTTACCGGATGCCGAAATCATTCTTGGGGTAACAGAGTTGTTGAAGATGGCAGTCAGGTTATACACAAACCGACCGATAACGATAGTCTTATACCTAAGACGTCCCGAAGGAGTCTCAGCGACAATAGGATAGCACACCGGTCCAATTGTGATCATATTACAAAGAGTCGACACCACAAACAGTAGACCAACAGCAAGATAAGCGTCTTTGCTGGTGGACCATCCAAGAGCTCCAATGGCAATAAGGCAACAGAACATGAACACAAGACCACTCATATAAATAGTCGCGCGACCGAATCGAGGGAAGAGAACCCAGCAGATCATACCGCCGATGATGTAACAGGCCGAGAGGGAGATGTTGAGGTTGAAGGACTGGACTTGGGACCAGCCAGCGGCTTGGAGGAAGACGACGACGAAACCGAGAATGGCGTTTCCGCAGAGGATCTGGGCAGCCCAGACAACGCAGTTCTATAAGTGAGTTAGAGGAAAGTGACAAGATAAGTGAGAAGTGACTTACAATTTCGGTACGACGAAGGTTGGTGCCCTTGAAGCATTCAAGAATAGAAGCACCACCAGTCTCAGCCTTTTCCAAAGCAGTGGTATGTTGTATGTATGCCAAGCTCGCCTCAATCTCCCCTTCTCTATCTCCATCGTCTGACGCAAGTCGTCGTAGGGACGTCTTAGCGAGCTCAAGCTTACCGCGACGGACGGCGTTCCATGGAGATTCAGGAGCGAAGTACGCGACGAAAAATAACGGCACTGGCCAGACCCACTGAAGATAGAAGGGTAGCTTCCAAGCCAAGTTACCCTCGATGTTAAGGCATGCTCGGACAACGCCTGATGAGATGAGGATGCCGAGACCCCAGCACATGCAGACCCAGGCTGTGACGTATGGACGGAGGATCGTGGGGACGACTTCGCAAGCGTAGGTAGTAGAAAGAGTCTAACGTGGGAATCCATCAGTATAGCTTCATGCACCCAAGATGTTTTGACTTTACCTGGAAAACACCCCAAGCAACACCACAAAGAGCTTCACCAAACGCCAAGATGGACAGCGACGGCGCAAAGGCGAGGATGAAGATGGTGCCAACAAGATACGCCATAAAGACCATCATTGTAGTCCGAGCACCGAATTTATCTTGCGCCCAAGCGTTGATCAAAAGACCAGCCAATTGTCCTACCTGTGACGAGTTGGAGAGACCGGATTGCCAAGCTGGTGAGATGACCTTCTTGCCCTCTTTGGCGCTATACTCGCCGAAGTGGTCTTGGAACTGGGTTAAGCCGTAGAAGGATCCGAGCTGTCAGAGGACAAAGGTTAGCCTAAGCTACAGAGAGGGTTCCAATTGGGGATACGATACATACCATGACCAAGTCATAGCCTTCCATCACCAGACTGATTGACAAGACCAACGACCATAGGACAGCCTTTCTGTACTTCTTGAGGGCTTGGCGAATGGTCAGATCTCTATCAGCGGCGTTTCCATCTTGAGCGCGTTGAATGAGCTCGATGGTATGAGGATCGCCGAGGTCAAGACCCTCAAGCGTGTGCTTGTTCACGACGACGTTGTCGGCAACCATGACTGCGACCTAAAGTTGACAATTAATAGCCTGTCAATCGGTGCTGGAGATCTCTGAATGTCGAAAGTCCCTGCTGCTGATCCTTCGTGTTTAACATGAGGGGTCGGCATCTCCCTTATAAGTTATGTTCCTGTCAGTGTCAACCCCGTGGGGAACTGAACTCTGCTTTGACCCCAAAGTACGTAGTGCGGAGAAGTACCAGGTCTGGACCCCATTTGACAGGATATGGTGCCAAAATTGCTGAAGAAACAGGGTATCGTGTTAGCAGAACCAATTGGCGTCTTTCTGAGACCAAGCCTCGTTGACCATCCCACCGGAAATTTGGACGTGACAGGCTATCCCACCGCGAACTTTATTCCAAGATGGTCCTCCCACCGGAGACGCGTCTCCTTATGACCGATAATTGTAGAATTGTTTAAGCAGTTTTATTGAGCCGCATCCGGGGAGATATTGCCAGCTACGTAAGTACTACACTGCTGCATAACGTCGAGTAATGCTGCAACCTGCGCTATCAAATCAACAGACTGATCAAAATGCCGGTGCCGCTGCCGTCTACTCCCTTTCATTTTTCTGGCCATGTCAAAAATGGGTGGGTCCTGTCTATGGGAAGAGACAACAGGCTGATGGCCTAGAAGCGCCTGGATGATCGGTGAAGTCATCTTGAGCATGCACTGAACACTAGCGGCACAAGAGGCGATGGGTGTCTACCAACATTCAATATAGTAAACTAAAGGCGATGCGACTATGATAGGTCGAGATGATATGGATCTAGTTACTTAGTATCAACTAATCTTCCTCCAACTTCTTCTGCTTAAAGTCTTGCGACTCATGCTCAACTGCCGTAGTATGACCGTCGAACACAGCAGCGATAGCTTCGAGACTGGGGCCCTTTGTCTCGACGAAAAACTTCCATACCACAGCAAGCTCGATAGCAAGCCAAGCAACATACACAAAGTAAAACTTCCACGCCAATGCCTGAAGACCGATGGGGTTGACCATGGTGTTGATAAAGTTACTCGCCTTACCAAAGAACATGAGAAGCGAGAAACCCTTGGCACGGATGGGGTAGGGAAGAATCTCGACAGGGTACGAGTAGAGCAGAGCATTGAAGGCCAAGTTGTAGAAGAAGTAGAAGAGGAAGAGCATGGCGATGACGGCTGTTCCTGCGGCCTTGTTGTGATCCTCGTTGAAGAGACCAGCGCAAAGGGTCTGAGAAGCGAAAATGCCGAGCATGCCTCCTACAGAGATGAGGAATTGAGTTCGGCGCTTCATGTGAGCGGTCAGGAAGGCTGACACCACTGAGGTGAGCCAGTTGAAGATCATGAGGCAGCCGTTGAGAATGTTGCGCTCCCGAGCGTCGCTGACACCAACGGTTTCGAGCACACGAACAAGGTAGTAGGAAACAAGACCGTTGCCAGACCACTGACTGAAGCAGCCAAGACAGACCAGGATAAAGACTCGCTTCCGGTTGCCAGGCGATGTCAAAAGGTCCTTCCAACCCGTCTCGTTGCTGACCTCAGCTTCAATGACATTTCGCATCTGGATAAACTCAAGCTTGACAAGTTCATCTTCCTCGTTGCCGTTGGCATGCCACTTCACCAACACCTCCCTGGCTTCTTCGCTGCGCCCATTGGCGATGAGCCAACGAGGCGACTCGGGAAGGAGAAAGACGCATGAGATGGGAAGCAGAGCTGGGGCAGCCTGCAGAAGAGACGGGATTCTCCACGCCCACTCGGTCTTGATGCTAAAGGTTCCAAAGGTCACCCAAGCAGCGAGGATGGCGCCGATGTACCAAGATGTCTGATATAGAGATGTGATGACTTGTCGTTCTTTCGGGTGGGCGAGTTCTCCGATGAGCATCGGGGCGTAGGCGTTTGCGAAGACGAGACCGAAGCCGATGATGAAACGGGAGATGAGGAACATGGCGACTAAACAGGGTTAGATGGATGAGTTGGGTGATGATTTGAGGGAGTACTTACAGTGAACAGAGGCACCTTGGATGGCTGCACCGATGATCATGATCACAGCGCCTACAAAGATACCCATTCGTCGTCCATAGCGATCACCGACCAAGCTGATGAAAGGTGTAGCGACAACGCATCCAAGAGGGAGGATGGCAGACATGATACCAAGCAGTGCACCACGAGGTTGACCAAAGTCTAGAGGAGTCAAGTAAGTAACAATTCCAACACCAGGCTTAGAATAAGAGCGCACTGACAGTTATCCCACGAAGGTACAGCTTGAAGACCAGACATCATACTCGCATCGAATCCCAAGGTGATAGCAGCTGCCAAGCAAGTTGGTATGATGAGAAGATAGAGACGGAGAAGGTTCTTGTTCTGGTAGAATGGAGGCGCGACGGCAACGAGGTCCTGAATTCTCTGATCGAGATCAAGGATCTGCTCGTCGACGACATGGCCTGCATTCTCCGCCATGGCCACGTCCGTCTTGTCTTCAAAACCCTTCTTGCCCATGTTGTGATCGATTTGGAATCAATGAAAGAAGGGAAGTGGTGTTTGATGGAGGGAGTGATGATGCTGATGATGTGCAACACCTTGACCTTTAATATACATACCTACCTACCTGCTCGCTCACCGTCCGTTGGTTACTCCGCACAACCCAACATCATGGGCCCCTGGGAATTTACAACTCGTGCTGTATTGCGGGGTCCCCGAGAAAAAAAAAGTCAACGACCCCACGGGGCTGGATCTAATGTCACGTCAGCTTCACAGCCCGGGAAGCGAAACCTTGGAGGAGAGCGAGTTTTCGGGTGATACCCGTTGTGAGCATGACTCGAGCAACGGAAGCTTCCCGTGCGTGCAAATTTCCCCTCAAGCCAAAAAGAAACCTGCGCTACCGACCTAACTAAGCCTATTCCCTTTTATTACACCCAATGCCTGTCATACTGGCCATTACCTAAACCCGACCGGCAGTACTCCCATCATGACGACCACCAGCGATCTCATCTCCAAGCTCACAACCGAAGAGAAAGTGAGTCTTTTGGCAGCCGTTGACTGGTGGCGCACACCAACCATCAAACGAGACGATGTCTTCATTCCCCATATCAAAATGTCCGATGGTCCCAACGGCGCTCGCGGGGAGAGCTACGTGAGCGGTATCACAGCAGCTTGCTTCCCCTGCTCAACCGCCATCGGCGCGACTTTCGACCAAGATCTCGCATACCAACTCGGCAAAGAAATCGCAAAAGAGACCAAGACAAAATCTGCAAATGTTCTTCTCGCGCCGACTATGAACATCATCAGATCTCCGCTCGGCGGGAGGAACTATGAGACTTACTCTGAGGATCCGTACGTCATTGGGACTTTGGCATCGGCGTTTGTACGGGGTTGTCAGAGTGAAGGCATAGCAGCTACACCGAAGCACTTTGTCGCCAATGAATCTGAAAAGTCGAGGACCAAGATGACGTCCAACATTGATCGTCAGACGTTGCGGGAGATTTATATGCTTCCCTTCCAACTGGTCATGCGCGATTCAGATCCCTGGTGTTTCATGACGTCGTACAACCGCCTCAACAGAGTGTATTGCGCAGAAGATCACTGGTTACTGGAAGAGGTGCTCCGCAAAGAATGGGGTTTTGCAGGCCTTGTTGTTTCAGATTGGATGGGGACCTACTCAACTGCTCAGGCGCTCAACTCTGGTCTGGATCTCGAAATGCCAGGTCCGACGAGATGGCGCGGCCAGAAGCTTCTGAAAGAGATTGAAGCTGGCAATGTTACCGCTGAGAATCTTGATAAGAGTGTCGGTAGGGTTATTGAACTAGCGCGAAAGACTGGACGTTTCGAAGATCCTGTTGAGAAGCCGGAGCGTTCAGTGGAGGACCCAGAGACACTTGAGTTCATCACTTCCATCGCAGCAGATGGAATGGTTCTCCTCAAGAACGACCACAACATCTTACCACTGCCTCCAAAAGCTTCAGTGGCCGTTATAGGTCACCATGCTCTTCATCCAAGTATCGGCGGCGGTGGCAGCGCAAAGGTCCTGGCTCAGCACATCATCTCGCCTCTCGAGGGCCTAAAAGCTCAAAGCGTCGACTGCCGTCATGCACCAGGCGTGCCAGTCTTTGGTGCTCTACCCCACGCAGAGCCAGAAACCATCTCACCTGTTCAGCTGCGCTGGTTTAATAGCTCGGTAGTCGGTGAGAACGTCGCTCATGAGCAGACTATCGGGTTGCCTGAGTACATGATCAAGGAAGCCTGGCCTGCACATCTCAACAAGGAGTACTGCACTAGCATGTCTTTTACCCTGCGCCCAACGACAAGCGGGAGTCATGTATTCTCCGTCATCACAACTGGAAAGGCAGATTTGTTTGTCAACGGCGAGAAAGTGTTCCATCGTCCACAGGAACCTATCCTTCTTCCAGAGTCCTTCTACTTTTACAAGGCCAAGATTGAGCGACGCTTCACCCTTGATATGAAAGCTGGCCAGGAATACAAGATCGAGTTGCACTCTTGGGCGACGGACCCCGAGGTTCTCTCCAAGATTGGAGGAACCATGTTTCAGGGCGCTAGTCTTCGCTTCATGGAGCACGTCGACATTCCTGATGCTATTACGCACGCTGCAGAGATCGCTGCATCTTCTGACGTGGCGGTTGTATTTGTTGGCACGACGAATGAACTTGAGTCTGAGGGTTACGATCGCGATACGATGGACTTGACATCTGATCAGTACACCCTAATCAACGCAGTGGCAGCTCGCAATCCTCGCACCGTCGTCGTCAATCTCTCTGGCTCTCCCGTCACAGTATCTCCCTTCATCGACCAAGTCCCGTGCTTTCTCCAAGCATGGTTCGCAGGTCAAGAGTGCGGCCATGCCATCGCGCGCGTTCTGCTCGGACAGGTGAACCCCTCAGGTCGACTGCCAATGTCATGGCCTAAGAGAAATGAGGATAACCCAGCTTATGGAAACTTCCCCTGTGATGATAACCTGGAGCTTAATTATAAGGAGCGCCTGAAGGTTGGGTATCGCTTTTACGATGATGAGGGGGCACCAGAGCCTCAGTTTCACTTCGGAGAGGGTCTTTCCTACACGACGTTTGAGTTGGCTGGACAGGTTAGTGCAAACTCCAAGTTCGGTAGCCCGGATAAAACGGAGACTTCACTAGTGTTGGAAGTGAAGAACACGGGGACGAGGGATGGTAAGCAAGTGGTTCAATTGTATGTGACTTCTCCGCCATGCGATGGGAATCCACGACCAGTCAAGGATCTCAGATCGTACAGCAAAGTGTCTATCCCGGCTGGGCAGACAAACAAGGTTACACTTAAGCTGGACAAGTACGCCTTTAGCTACTTTGATGCCACAGTGGATAAGTGGAAGATGCCGCAGGGCGAGTTTCTTTTGCATGTCTGCTTCAGCTCTGCAGAAACACTCCAGACGGCCAGCGTCACAAATCCGGAAACGCAGTACTGGACGGGGCTGTAAGGTGGTTGGGTTTGCTTCACTGGTTGTAATTAAGCTGGCCAACTAGATAGAGGGAATATGAACTCGTCTCCAAATCCAAGACCACCATATGTTGGCATACCGCCGTCAAGACTCCAATCCCAGTTATCCTGAAACAAAGATGCCATGAAATCGACCTGTTCGTCCTGCCCATCCGTGGTTACAGGGACTACATCGTCTCCATTCTCATCAGGTTGTCCTTCGAGACTGACAGATGGTCTTCGAGATGCCACCCGGGACGGGACAACAGAGTTGCGTATTGCTAGAGAAGCGTTAGCGAATTTGCATCTTGGAGTAAACAAACCACCGACTTACAGAAATATGCAGACCGCGCTTGCTCCTTTAGAACAAGTAAATGATCTAGATACCCTCTCGCCCGGGCATTCTCCCTACCAAGAACTCGCAGAAGCACCGTGGTGTTCTCCCACGTCGCGTCGAGCTGCTGCTGGTTAAAGTGCTTACTCCCTCCAGCGTGCGCGCACTCGCCCAGAATAATTATTCCACCACATGTCATTAGGTCTAAAAAGTCAGTCTTTGTATGGGAATGAATGAGAGTCGACTTACAGAATAGACTGAACCACCATGCACCCGTTGCTTCGACTTCTCTAGCAGCCAGCAGAGACGCCGATAGCTCGTACGCCACCTGAACACACGTAGTAGCGCACTGAGCCTGAAAAGCGCCCTGCAGTGTATTTTCCTCAGCAGCGATCTCATCCGTACCAGAGCCCGTACCGCGTCGTTGTCGTGAGCGCCGCGCAGCAGCGCAGAAGGCACTGAAACTTGGTCTGTACAAGAGAATCCTGAGATGAAGAAACCTCGCCTGCAGGACATTTCTCTGACGTTTTATAATATGCCCCCTCGCGCCTTGTGTCGGAACCCTGTCGCTGTCCCACCATTTCAGCTGGGGGACTAAAGAGGTCTTGAAGTCTTCTAGTAGACCGTCTAGACGAACGAGGGCGCTAAAGTCGGAGGATGAACTTGGCCAGTAGATCGAGGACAGGATCTTTCCGAGGATCTTGGCTAGTCGGATGTTTTCTACGACGAAGAGGTTTTGTGATACTATTCCTTCGGGTTGTATGCAGGAGGTGGTGTTTGGGCAGATGAATTCGTCGTCGACTGCGGCGGGGACGAGGACGTCGTCTGTCATTTGCAGGACAGGCGGTCTTCCCAACGTCATGCAGACTGTCCTAATCATTGTCAGTATATATCACTACCCTCGTCAAAGCGACTTACATCTCCATCTGTAGACATCCATACCAGACTCTCCGCCGCACTTCATTCTCCATGACAGATCGCTGATCAGCATGTCTCTCCGTATGCAACCCCAGCCCAACAGCGATCCGACAAGCAAGGCCGATGATATTATAGCACCGAATCGGATACTCGCTCGAAAGCGCATAGTGTCCCGCCAGCAGCAGCGCCTGCACATGCGACAAGTCCCCTTTGTCAAGAATGTCCATCTGTAACAAACTCCTCATCCTTGAGCTGAACATCGCCGAGACCGACTCCTTCTCCGGCAGATCTGAAAATTCACAGCCCAAAGCAAACATGGTATTCAGAACGCAGAAGAAGGAAGCTTCAGGGCACTGGTCACCCCCCACGCCAATATCGCCGGCCTCGCCCGTCTCGATCCCCGAGTAGCCCGTCGACGTCCATAGCGCCTCGTACCGTTTCCTGAACCAGGTTGAGTGCGTCCACGGATAAAAGATATGCACACTATCAAAGTACAGATTCAGAAACTTGTCTGCTATCTGTCTCGGTGGTAAAGCAAACTCGGCCGTGAGCAGTGACGACGACGTCGCGGAGCTCTGGTCCCGGTTCCGCAGTGGGGCCGTTGGCCGGTGACGGCGGTTGGCATGGGGAACCTCTCGGAGAAGAGAGTGGACCGAAGATTGGCCGAAGAATTCATCCTCTTGAGGGTTCATGGTGAGAGTCGTAGCGCCCATTGTGCTCACGGGACTTGGACCGCCTGCAGCCGCCGCCGCATGGATACTGCCCGAGGGTCTCTCTCTGTCTCTGGGGCTCTTGGGTGTGACTTGTGCTGCTTGTGCATCTTGGCGGAGCTGGTCGATCACCAATTGCATATCCTGCACCTGTTTCTGCAGAGATGTAATGTACCTGTAAGAAAAAAGAAAAAGAAAATAAATAAATATACATCGGACAACCCTACGAATGGATTTGGTACTTACTCTTGCTCGCTGAGCTGCTTCGCCGTGCCAGCGATGACAGTGTAGACGCATCGCGCAGCCGGTTCGCCTCTCTTCCTGCAGGGGTTACAGACAGGCTTGGATCCATCGCACTTGATCTTTCGCTCCCGGCACGTGTCACATGCCAATGCGACTCTCTTCCGTTTCGTTGGTCGGGACCCTGCTTCCTCCTGTGTTTGTGGAGTGTCCATTGCGGAAAACAAACTCAAGAGCAGAGAATAAAAGAGCGGGGGGGGCAAGTTTGATGCCGAGATTGAGGGGGAGAGGCCTGGCCTTTTCACGGGCTGTACCCGGTGTTTCTCGGGTAGAGAGGAATGGAGGACGGGAACTATCCGTATAGGGCACTATCCGTATATGGGTTAGTTAACTTAGTACACAATTGCGTGGGGAATTTACCCGGGAGGCAATGTCGGCTTGTAGGATATTTTTTGTTGAAGAACCCAGAACATTCAAGAGAGAGAGGCCTGGTGGATGATAATTGCTGCAGCTCATACTTGCTAACTAGTTTCTCTCTCAAAACCTCATCATGCTTAGATCGTCGCCCAACGGTTTATTGAGGAGCCTCACAAGGCCCACGTCGCGCTCCACCGCGGGACTATTGATACGACGCCCTGTGAGCAACGCCACTACCAGCCAAACAAAATCATCAAAGGAACAACACCAGAATCAAAGACAAGAACAGCGAAAGAATCCTGCATTTCTGGCCTCAGCACTATCAGCAGCTGCAACTACCATAGGTGGGACATTGCTATACACAATAGTCAGTCATAAAACAGACAAGGACGATGAATCTCAATATGCAAGCCGAGCGGAGATGGAATTGGTAAGAAAGAATGACAATGACCCAAGAAATGGATCTAATTGAATGATTCCAGGCAGTCGAAGAGATAAGAAAAGCGCTTGGCGAAGATGCAGTCAGTATAGAAGACGAGATTCTTCATTCTCACGGTTACTCGGACTGGTCCACCATCAACATCGACCGGCTGCCGGTAGCAGTCGCGTTTCCCACAACGACAGACGAGGTTGCCACCATTGCAAAGATCTGCCACAAGAGACGCGTGCCGATGAGTGAGTATTTCTCCGGGTATGACGGGGTCAACACGAACTAACAGCGCAAGTTCCTTATTCTGGCGGTTCCAGTGTCGAAGGCCATTTCTCCGCGCCTTTTGGTGGTGTGAGCGTTGACTTTGTCAACATGAACCAGATTCTTGAAGTTCACAGCGACGAGTGAGTGGTGCTATCAAAGATTTGTTAACGAGGATTCTAATCGTGTAGTCTTAATGTCGTCGTTCAGCCTTCCGTTCCATGGATGGAGCTGAATGAGAAGATCAAAGACACGGGTCTCTTCTTCCCTATTGATCCGGGCCCTTCGGTAAGTACTGCCATTCGATAGGAGGATATTCCTTTTCTCACATGCATCGCAGGCCCAGATTGGTGGTATGGTTGGGACAAACTGCAGGTTAGTACTTCTAAACAGGACAGAGGAACGAGTAGATCTAACAGCTTAAAAGCGGGACCAACGCTGTCAAGTACGGCACCATGAGAGACTGGGTAGTCAACCTCACAGTGGTATTAAGCGACGGCACCATCCTCAAAACCAGAAGGCGGCCAAGGAAGTCATCAGCCGGCTACAGCCTCAACTCGCTGTTCGTGGGATCAGAAGGAACCCTAGGTTTCGTCACCGAAGCCACGCTGAAGCTAGCCCCCATCCCTGAGCACACAGGCATCGCGGTAGTAACGTTCACCTCAGTCAAAGCCGCAGCGACCATGGCCATCGAAGTCATCCGTCGCGGCGTACCCATCAGCGCCGTCGAGATCCTCGATGAAGTCCTCATGAGCGTCATCAACAGGATGGGCGCAACATCTATGAAGTGGAACGAGGTGCCGACGCTGTTCTTCAAGTTCAGCGGTAGTGATGCTCTGGTCAAGGATAGCATTGCACAGGTCCAGAGTATTTCGAAGAAGCATCATGCAAATGGTTTTCAGTACGAGAGCGATCCGCATAAGCAGAAGGCTCTGTGGTCGGCTCGGAAAGAGGCGCTGTGGAGTATGATGGCGCTTCGCGAGACAGATGGACATGTTTGGTCTACGGATGTCGCTGTTCCTCTATCCCGAGTATCCGAGCTCATAGGTCAGTTCAGTTGCTCGATTGTTCTCTTTACGGAGATCACTAACCATGTATAGACATATCCAAGAAAGAACTTGTCGAGCTAGGGTTATTCGGTAGTATTCTCGGACACATCGGCGACGGCAACTTCCACGAGACAATCCTATTCGAGGACAAGCAACGCAAAGAGGTCGAGGACTGTGTTCACAAAATGGTCTCCCGAGCAATTGAGATGGAGGGAACATGCACGGTAAGCAATGTAACCCAACTGTATACAGACATATCTAACAATAATGCACAGGGTGAGCATGGTGTCGGACTTGGAAAGAAGGAATTTCTTCGGGAGGAGGTTGGCGATGTGCCGATTCAAGTCATGAGAGCTATCAAAACGAGTCTGGATCCACTTTGGTTGATGAACCCAGGAAAGATCTTCGATCGAAAAGACTAGGCAATAGAGGAGTTCATGATGATCTGGTCTGTTTGTTGCACCTTGTCGAATAATCGGCGATACAATAAGCGGCCATGTCCGGTGTGACAATCACCAGGTCTCAGCCATAAGCGGCGACAGTAAGCGGCGTGTCTATCGGCCATCTTATAGCCCAATTCGTCCCTTTTTCATCCTCGAAAGACCATTTCAGGGCACCTTTGTGTTGCATCGCTTACGGTGATCCCGCAATTCGAGCGGGCCGTGCCTAGAGTAGAATTATTACTCCGTAGTCTATCCATTCAGCTACGCCTAGTTTTACAGAACGATACACAAGTTTGACTATATAAGCTTAAAGGCTTGCTCGTATTTCACAGATTCAACCCAGGCATCAGAGTCTATTTCATCAACCATTCTACACCAGACATCAAACTTCCAACGTCACACAATGGTTTCTCTCCGCGACATCAGCCTTCTGCTCCTCGCAGCCCCCGCCCTTGCAGCGCCAAAAGGCCCCGCCGAAGTAACAGTCAAAACCCTCCCCTTCTCCCCATCCTCCGACACATTCAAAGCCCCCTCATCCTCAGCATCCACCTCTCCCGCCTCAGACGCCGCCCAGAAAGCAGCATGCCAACTTCCCCTCCGCTTCACCAACTTCGCCCTCTACTCCGACACAGGCTGTCAGAACGTCATCTACGACCCGTTCATGCTCACCTGGGACCCGTGCAAGAATTACCAGTGGACAAACGCCCTGGCGAACGGTGTTATTTTTCAGAGCATGAGATGGACGGGTGGGAGTAATGCGCAGGACTTTTTTGCTTGTCAGCAGGGCTTTGGGTGCGATCATAATGTTGCGAGGATTGTACAGCAGAGCAATGTTTGTTCGTCTGGTGGAGGGCTGCACTTTGACAAGCTTGCTGTCAACCCTTAAATGGGCATCTGTGTATGACTGGGTGTGATACGATTCACGAAGCTGTATCTTAGTGACGGGTATACCCGTAGACTTGACTGTAAATGGAGGAGGAAAAAGTCCGTTTCTTATGATGAGCCAATCAAGTGCTCTAAGCTCGATCCACTCTCGCAAATACTTGCCTACTTGACTTGTAGAACCAATCATTTGGGCTTTGGATCCAATGGATTTTGCTTTGTCATTCGGTCGAGTATCGGACGAACGTCGACGACAAGCTTAAGATGATACCAACCATGATATAGTCAATAAACTAACAATATGACAAATTACCCCGAGAAGTATAGATGTATTCGCTACTGTTCAATATAAATTAATGTACAGCCCTTGCCCTTTCAGCAGTTTCCATTTTATAACACCTACTTGCGCAATCAGTATTAACAGTGATCCATTGTCTTCGAGTCTCGTCAATATCCTGTTAAACACCATGTCTTATACTATGGAACCCAATGTCGCCGCAGTCCTACCCGTCAAACAAGGTCAGCTCACTATCAAACAACGCCCTGTCCCAGTTCCCAAAGAAGGCGAACTACTGGTCCGCAATACCGCCGTCGCTGCAAACCCTTCAGACTGGAAGATCCAAGCCCTCGGCCTCTCTGCCAACTTTCCAGCTGTACTTGGTAGTGATCTCAGCGGTGTCGTAGTATCCGTGGGACCAGGTGTAACACGCTTCAAACCCGGCGATCGCGTCATCGGGTTTGCGCTGGGTGTTATAAGCGAAAACATCGACAAAGCAGCCTTTCAAACCTATACCCTTCTTGATGAAGTGGCGGCAACTCACTTACCCGGCAACATCAGCTTTGAGGAGGGTTCTGTACTTCCCGTTGGTATACTCACTGCCGCTATAGCGCTGTTTGACGGTCTCGGACTGCCAATGCGTCAGAAGACTGCTGAAGAAGATTTAGTGATTCTGGTTTGGAGTGGTGCTTCGGCGGTTGGTGTCTCAGCAGTGCAAATAGCACACACGCTGGGATGGAGTGTCTACGTGACTGCTAGTCCAAAGCATCACGAGTGGCTCAAGACATTGGGTGCAGTAGAGGCATGGGACTATCGTGACCCGCAAGTCGCACAAAAGATCTCTCAAGCTTTGAAAGCTTCCGGAACAAAGATTCGCGGCGCTATCGATGCTAGAGCAGAAGGCAGCTCCTTCGGTTCGGTCGCGGAGATACTGACTGCGGCTGACCTAACAACCGGATGCAAGGCTACTGCGCTGTTTCCGTGGCCGGAGGAAACGTCGCTGCCAGCTGGTATTGAAGGACATCACACCAACTGCGTGGGCTTCACTGCCAATTATCCAGATGTAGCAAGATGGATTTTCGGCGGCTGGTTGTCCAAGGCTCTCGAGGATGGGAGGATCAAACCTGCGCCTAGGTCTCGTGTCATCGACGGCGGATTGGAATCGACACAGGAGGTGCTGAATCTTCTTAGAGCTGGTGCAAGTGGTGAGAAGTTTGTCTTGAAGGTTTAGATCATCCGCTGTCACAGCTGCGAAAGCATTGTATATTAGAGTAGAGTAGAGTATCTATCTATCTATTGTCAAGAAAAAGACCTGTCGTGACATTTCATTCTTATCCTAAGAATATGTTACCAGCCCCCAGACTGGAAAATCCACGGAGCTTTACAGGAAGGTTTGGCCGCCGCGAAAGACAAAAGCGTTCGTGAATGACCACTCAGTCTGGCCTACGATTGATCAATTGAATTTATAATTGACTAGTAGGGTTATTAGACTCAATTCGAGAAACATATACGAAGTTCTGTCTGCTGATTTAAGCTCTCAGCCACAAGTCCCAACTGCAAATAACACATCAGAGAAGCATATACAATTTAGTCTGCCGCCCTTCTCCAAAAATCGCTATCGTTGTCAATATCGTAATCGTCGTCATCATAGCTGTTGTTGTCATCGTCATAGCCATAGCCATAATCGTCGGAGTCAATATCACTAAGCCTTCTGTCCCAGTACTCCTCTTCCTCATTGGGATTTTCGCTTAGTACCCATCCACAACTCTTCATCTTCCTTCTGAGACTGTCACGCGTCCCATCCTCATATACCTCAAGAATGATCTCTGGTAAAGAAGGAATAGCTCTAAAGTGAGTGTTGACAAGATGCAGCGCCTCGGTGGCAATGCTGTCGTGGTCTAGATTGTCGAGCCTAACCTCCATATTCCATGTGCTATGTAAGGACGTCCTAAGCGTGCTTAAGCTAGTGCAACTGCTCAGTATATTTCCGAGGATCTCAACACTTTCCTCATCGATAGTGATATCACCAGGGTCTAAATGGATAAATTCTGGGAAGTCGATGATGATATGGCGAATAGAGCTTGCGTTACGGGTACCGATTTGCCGGAGGAAGGAAGCTATAGTCTCAGGATCGCGTCCAGCAAAGTCGAAGCAATTCTGGCTGTAGAACAGGAGACTGGCTTCGTGGTGGACTGTCTTGCTGACGCGAAAAAGTCCCGTTAGGACCTGTAAGCCACATCTAAGCCAAGGATCGACAGGCTCGGATTGCAGTAATATGATTTTGTATATGGCGTTTCGAAGTTCGCCAGAGAGACCGAAGAAGCTCACGGGGCCGCTGGTAGTCATAGGCTGCCGATCGTTAGCTTTATAACTCAGAATGTCTTTTATAAGCATATATTCCAGACATTAAGCTTAGTTAGGTGGAAAGAATCAGACATGTAATAGGGGTTTTCACATAGGTGCTGGCTGTTGTTATCTCGCCAATTGCTAAGTTAGAAGATGAATAAATGTTGATGTTTGTCTATACGTGGGAGATAACCCCGCAGGAAGAGTGGCAAAATCACGGGTTCGTGTAGCTACCTGCTTATCTCGACTTTTCAGCTACCCCTCTCTTCGCCCGTGGCACCAGTCAGATCATCCTATGTACCTGGTGTCTCGTTACCCTGCTGTGGTTGGCCCTTATTTCGAGACGGAGTAAATAGCTTCCGAGGTTTACATAATGTAATTCAGGGATAACTACAGTGGCTATATAGGCAAAGCCTAATATTTACTCTTTATAAATACTAAAAACATATAGCTGCTCTCTATTTTATACTATTAATTATATATTTAGCTCTTAAAAGTAAAGAAAAAGAAATTATAGGTTAGAAATGTTAGGCATTAAAAGTCGCCAGCTAAAATATAATAGTTAGCCCTCTATATAAGAGAAAAGGCAACTGGCTTGATTTAACTCCTCAGAAGCTTATCCTACAGGTTTTAAATATCTACTTCTGTAGCAGGGAAAGCCTTTAATACAGGACTTGTGTTATGTATTCTTACTTGTATATAATAATGAACTTCGTTGTTAAATCGCCACGTCTAACACAGCAGACACGCCTCTGTCCAAGCTCTCAACCGCACCAGCCAACGCACTCTGAAACTCTGAGATGTCAGCAACCCTCGCACCGAAAATCACCCCATTGCTCGCAGCCTTGGCGATACCCGCATAATCCGGACTCGGCGCAAACGAGATATTCAACTCCTCATTCGTCGCCCTCGAAGCAGGTCCATCAGGATGAACCAGCAACATCGATCTCTTCGGCGCATTCCACCCAAGGTTGTTCAACACAATAGTCAAAACAGGAATGCCATAGCGAGCGGAAATCCAGTATACGCTTGAAGGTACGGAGAACATGTATGATCCGTCGCCTACGATTTGTACAACATAGCGTTTGCGCTTGTTGGGGACGAGAGCGTCTGCTGCGTCGGCGGCGAGTTTTATGCCTAGTGCTCCACCGCCAGACCAGCCGAGACCGCCGCCGCCGCAGTGGATCCATTGGCCGGGGATGGTAGCGCGGATTTGGTCTGCGACTGCGATCATGTTTGTGATGGCCTCGACGGCCCAGATTGTGTCTTCGGGTAGCTTGGCCCGTAGAGTAGAGCAGACGTAGTCTGTTGTGAGCTTTCCTGAATCAAGAGGCTTGGCCTTTGCATCAAGAGCTTGAATGCGCTCTGTATAAGACTTTTGAAGAGCTTGTTCCCGACGGTCAAACTCAGCGGTCGCAAGTTTCTCAGATAGCGATGCTCTGAGATAATCTGTAATCTGTCGCAGTGACGTCTCCGCATCAACACGATATCGCTGCTCAGCATCGATATAAAACACCAACATTGACTCCTTCAACGGATCAACGTCAAGATGAAAGATCCTCGCGTCATTCTTCGGTTTGCAAAGCTTGTTAATCCACGGGACATCACAGTCCAGAATAAGAAAAACATCTGCGTTCTGAATCGCCGAGTCAACGCCATACTTCATACCTAGCCATCCAGGATGATCAGCAGGGAAGCACATATCCGAGCATCCCGTATCAAGAACCCTCAAGCCCTTGATAGTATTCGCCAGAGCGACGAGCGGTTCAACAGCGGCGTGGTTTCGACCTGTGAAACCGACGATAACCAGCGGGTCGGAGGCGTTGACCAAGGCTTCTGCGATTTCTTGCACGGCGGGTTGGGGCAGGGCTGCGGGCGCGACGGGTTTCCAGAAGGCGGAGTTGATGGTGTATGGCTCAATTGTTTCTTCCATGACTTCGCGGGCGCCCATGAGATATGAGGGTCCTTGGGGATGGCTTGTCGCGAGTTGGAGGGCACGACGGACCATTTGCTTGACGTTTTTACCAGTCTTGATCTCGCCGACGTATCGGCAGTATTGAGACACAATTTGCTTCTGATCCGGCACATCTTGAATCCAGTGGCTTACAGGCATTAGTCAAGTTCCGCAAGGCTGAAGAATGGACTCACATAAACTCAGTCCTCGAACCGAGAAGTTCTCCCTCAATAGAATAAGGCGAAAGACCAGCAAAGATCAAAACCGGCGCTCTTCCCATAGCAGCGTTATGAATAGCAGCCGCGAGAGCAGAAGTCCCCACGTCAACATGCACAATAACACATTGCGCCTCGCCACTCAATCTCGCGTATCCATCCGCCATGGACAGCGCAACCATTTCATTCGGACACGTGATGATCCTGGGAAATTTATCTTTCAATTCCCGCTGGCCTCTGACCATAGCCTCAAGAATACTAGGATGGTCAGACCCCAGATTGACGAAGCAGTTCTTGACGCCTGCCTCGACCAGGGCCTCAAAAAAGGCGAAGGATGTAGTGTACCTGCGCTACGTTAGTCATGCGTAGTGCAATTTTTGGTGAGTTACGTACATGCTGGGCTTTGCTGAGGCAGGATCTGTACGATCTGATTCTGTGGTTTGAGCTTCTAATCTCATGTTGATACAGATAAAGTGGTTTATGTAATTTGGGCCAATTTCATGAGGTCTTTCTTTTCGTTTAATGTTGCGGTGCGGGATCTATCCGAAGAGGAGTTCCCCAGTCACGGTTGGTTCCCGAGCGGGGGATCGGCTCTGGCAACTGACTTCGGCAGTGGAAGCGTAATCCCCGCTTCCGGGAACACGACAGACCCCGATTTACGGCCGTAGAAGCAAGCTAGGAAATGAGTACTATTCAACTGTAACACTTTTTACGGAGCCATATCTGTTACTATAGTATTACTGGACTCTGCAGTGAGCATCATTGTATAGATTTATCACCACGATCACGAGCTAGCTATTCCTCTACATGAAGAGTGAGTCGAGTTGGTAATTTTGGAATTTCCGCATGGTTCAAATCAGCAGCATCATCAGGAAGCAACCCGAAAATCTGGCTTGTGCCTGAGGGATCCAAACCAAGATTTGATAGTGCAGCCTCCAATAGACTAAGCGAGAAAACGCAGGGAGTTTTCGCTAACCGATGCATGCTTGTCCAGTCAATCTCGTTGCTTTACATATTCATAGACAGGAACCAAGAAGCACTAGGTAGTATTCCCGACTGACAAGGCCGTGCTGGCTAGCTAGATCCGAGTCAATAGCCAGGGAGAAAGTCACATGGAGGTCCAGGCCCCGTCGGTTAACCTTGGCGGTAACTCCCATTCCTGCATCCTGCACCTTCGGGAATGACCCGGTCTGTCAAAACGTGCTGTATCGGTTTATCGGTTACTAGGTATTTGGAATTACAGGCCAACAATGACATGTCTCTGTTTCTCGGATCCGATCCATAATGACATATTCCATGCAACCCTTTCATGATCATACTGTGTCGTCTATGATCTCGCTACCCCGGGATTACAGTTCCATCACGCGGGGGAGCATCCCCAGTCCTCCACACCCCGCACTGGGCTATACCTCTTGAGAGCGTCGATCTAGATCCCTTTCGTCCAGTGCCAACCCCCAGGATCCAAGACCTACTGAAGTAACAAGCAGGCCGCTCATTTCCATAAGAAGGCACGCCATGCACCACCCTGTTCAATCCGCATCACCGCACAGCTCAGCTCAGCTCAGCACTACTCAATTCACACTCTAATCTTCCATCATGGCTGACCTCGCCAACGAGAAAGCTGCGTATGACCATGCCTCCCTTAAGGGTGGTGCGTCTGCCGTGGAGCAGACACCTGAGGAGTCGGAGGCTACCAAGAAGCTTTTGCGCAAGTGTGACGTTCGATTGCTTCCTCCCCTGATGGTCATCTATTTCCTTTCCTTTATGGATAGAACCAACATCGGTATGTCGCCTTGACGTGACAACATTGCTTGGAAGGGCTGAAGCTGATAAGATGATCTTCGAATTTAGGCAACGCAAAGATCCAAGGAATGACGCAAGATCTCAAGATGACTGGTTCCGATTACAACATGGCTCTCTTCGTCTTCTTCATCCCTGTACGTCGATCGATCCCCCGATGCAAGCATAGCAGATTCTGACTCGAACTTTGCAGTACATCATCTTCGAAGTCCCATCCAACATCATAATCAAGAGAATATCGCCTTCTCTCTGGCTAGGGGGAATCACCGTTCTCTGGGGTATGTGAGAGCACTCCAACTGCGCTTAACCAGTCGCTGACCGCATAACTACCTTAGGCATCTCAACTATCGGGATGGGCCTCGTCAAAAACGTACACGGCCTTATCGCTTGCCGCGCACTCCTCGGCTTCTTCGAAGCTGGAATCGTCCCGGGCTGTGTCTATCTTATCAGCATGTACTACAGACGCTACGAGGTTCAATGGCGCATGTCCCTGTTCTTCAGTGCCGCTATCCTGGCGGGCGCCTTTTCTGGCCTTTTGGCGTTCGCTATTGCCAAGATGCATGATGTCGGTGGCCTTGAAGCATGGCGCTGGTAAGTCCCGATTTCCCCTCAGGCAATAATCTGCTAATTATGTATAGGATCTTCATCCTCGAGGGCCTTCTCACTGTGGTTGCCGGTGTCATTTCCAAATGGTGGATCCCCGATTGGCCAGAGACAGCTTCGTTCCTCAACGATGAAGAACGATCTAGACTTGTCGCCCGACTGGCTGATGATGCTGGTGATGCCAGGATGGACCATCTCAACAAGGCAGCTTGGAAGAGGATCTTGACCGACTGGAAGATTTATCTCGGCACTTTGGCATACTTTGGTATTGTTAACAACGGATACGCTGGCTCGGTAAGACGGCAGCCTACCCTGATAATAGCAGCCGCGCTGACTCTTGTAGTTCTTCATCCCTACCATCCTCCGAGAGATGGGCTACGCCGCCGAGCGTGCACAACTCCTTACTATCCCAGTCTACGTCGTTGCAACAATTGGCTGTCTTTCATCCGCATACCTCGCCGACCGTATGCGTCACCGCTACGGTTTCACGATGATTGGTGTCGTCATGGCCAGCATCGGCTACATACTTCTTCTCCTTCAACACCAAGTCCCCACTGGAGCACGATACTTTTCGCTCTTCCTTCTCGTCACAGGTGGCTACATCACACAGCCCGTCATTCTCGGATGGTTGTCCAACACCATGGGCGGGCACTACAAACGCTCCATCGCCTCAGCTTCGCAGGTTGGCTTTGGCAATCTTGGTGGCATCGTCGCTTCGAATGTCTATCTTACACGTGAGGCTCCCGAGTACTGGACTGGACTGGGAGTTAGTCTTGGTATGGTTTGGATTTGTGGTATTTCTTGCACTGCCTTCTACTTCCTTGCGATCAGGGAGAATAAGAAGAGGGATCGTGGGGAGAGGGATCATAGACTTCAGGCTGCAGATGCTGATAACTTGGGCGACGACCATCCTCACTGGAGATATGCTACTTAGATGAAGAGAATGCAAGGATGCTTTACTTTGATGCATCACTGATCAGACAGCATCATATTATTCTGAGTCGGTATCATACCCATGATTTGTATATATCTACCAAGTATAGTTAGTTATGCTGTTGTCACGTGTCAATCCCACCACCCACTCTTTGGAGTGCTTCAGGCTTCGTAATCCCCCTCTCCATGCTAAACCTCAGGAAATTAGCCGAGCAAGGATTGAGCTCATTTCAACTCATACTTGCCTTTATCTTTATACACTTGATGACACGACATCTATCATAATGGACTCACATGATCAAAGTCGCCGCAATCTCGGTCTTCTCAAGCGTCTCCATTCCGAGATTATGTACCAAGTCATCAACACCCTACCAAACGCTGATATCAAGAATCTCCGCCTAACATGCTCTTATCTCGGGAACATCTCTCACCCACGCTTCAACCGCGTATTCATATCGGCTAATCCGCTTGACATTGAGGTCTTCACCTTGATAGCGAACCACGATATCTTTCGGTTCAAAGTCACAGAGATGATCTACGATGACTCGCGCTTTGATCATTCTTTGAGAAGATGGTCTTCAGATATAATCGAAGAATATCATGACCCCACAACTCCACTCTACTGGTTCAGAGAGGTTTATAATTCCATCGTCAGAGGCATTGAAGCTAAGGAGGGTGAGAATGATTATATCCCTCACGTCAAGGAAGCTTTCAAGACTCGCTGTACCATGCGTGAGTCATGGGAAGTGTATTGCAAGCTTAAATCGCAGCAAGATGAAGTGCTTGCGTCAGGTCGCGACGCTGACGCTTTAAGATATGGTCTTTCGCACTTTCCAAACCTGAAAAGAGTTACTCTGAGTCCTGCTGCTCACGGCATTCTTGGAAGACCATTATATCCCACGCCTACTATCAGATCTTTCCCCAAAGGCCTGATATACCCTCTGGAGCGTTGCTGGCCCAAACCAGACCTACTGGGAGACTACTCCCTTACCCCTTGGGATGAAACATAGAAACAAGAATGGCGTGGATGTTGTGTCATCGCGAAAGAGATCGCCCAACACATTCGTGAGAATCCGATGTTTGGCCTCTCCGAGTTCGTTGCGGAAGGTCGGCAGTTTTGGACAGGAATCAATTGCCAGATCTTTGACAATCCAGTGAGCGAGGAGTATCGCGACCTTGTCACTATTCTAAGTCACCCTCCGCTCAGACGCTTGGAGTTATCATTCGCTTGCGGTGAAGAGTCCAAACACAACTGGCCTTCTTTTCGTTCAGGCCACCTCTTCGGAGCTTTGAGTAAAGCGACGAACTTGCAGGATCTTCGCTTTGATACTCGCATTCCCCTTCAACACAGAATATGGCACCAGTTTGTGGAGTCCGCGCAGAACGGTATGCCTCTGCAGAGCATGTTTCCCATCAACGCGTGGCCTAATATACGTCGCTTTGCGCTCTCTCGGTCTTTTGTCAGACAGAAAGATGTCATGGCCTTTATTTCTATACTTCCATCGTCACTCGAGTCGCTGGAGCTAAGTTTCCTCAGCTTCCTTCCCGGTGAGGGAACTTACAGGGATCTACTACAGGATATGCGCTGCAATTCAGGGTGGAGAGAGAGGCCGGCGGGCAATCGGCCAAAGCTTATTGTATTAGTTGTTGAGAATGAATTGTTGATTGATGGCGCTGCTATAGACTTGAGTCATGCGGCTATGGACTACGTCTATCGCCACGGGGAAAATCCATTTGTAGAGGATCAGATTTTGGAGGTTCTGGAGGGTAAAGGGACGCTAGTAGATCTTCTTGATCCGATGCAAGACGAACTGTATCACGGCAGGGTCACGTCAGTCTAGTACTTACAGTCCATTGTTCTCGCATAAGGCATTGACCTCTCGCTCAGACCTGTGCCGTCAAAAGAGCTTCAATATCAGAGCGCAACCGCGACCTGTAATTTGAGCCTATCACAAAAGTCTAACATATGTCCAGTGTCGCCGATTTCATATACTTCCTTTGATTCACAAGTTGATTTGAATTCGAGAAAAGCTTTCATAATCTGGCATAACAAACATTCATTCGCGACTGACAATCAAATGAATGGTGTTAGTATTAGCTACCAGCGCGTAATCTAGGGTGCACCGCCCCGTACAATCATTCGGGTAACGCAGTATCCGATAGTAGAACTACAAAGGGAATGTGGCGTTGCGGTAAGATATCCAAGGAAAGTGACAAGATAAATGGCAAGACAAAGAAAACAGGAGCAAAAAGAGGGACCAAGATGCCAACCCTAAGCACAGATGCAGCGTCGACCTCGGAACAGTGAGCGGCGTCCATGTCCATGCACAGAACAGTTGTCGTCGAAAGACCTTGCGTTGGCTGACTGCCGAGAAGCAAGGTTAGTCTCGAGCTCCTCAATCTTGACACTCATGGCATTCATCTTGTCAAGAAGCGCGCTGTCGTTCTCTCCGGTGGAAACCTTTCTGCTGTGTCCACTGTAGGCTGAACTGCACGCTGTTAGATCGCCGGTCCTATGATCCCAATGTGCTACATACCCGGCAGTAGTGTAGGAAGCGGTACTACCCTTCCAGCTCGAAGGACTAGAGTGGAGAGACTCATCAGTCTCATCGTCCTCGATGTTCTGATTGAAGGAACATCGTCGCGAAGAGCAGTTGTACCAAGCACTTGGCACAGGTCCATTGCCTTCATTTCGTCGACTGTGATGACCACATCGACATCGGGGGTTGTTGGAGGAAATGCCCAGCATGTCATCCCAAGTGATAAAGCGACGTTTATGGCCAGCTTGACAGTAGTAGTAGGGACGACCAGCAGTAGCGCCTCTTGCGGCATCAACTCTGCTGCGTTTAGGCGTGTTGGGGCATAGAGGGCAGTCCGGGGCCTGAGAGAGAGGAAATTGGGGGGACGAGGTGTGTTGGGAGGGGTAGTAGGCTTCCATTGTATGAGATTAATCAGAGTGTTGAATGATGGTAGTTTGGGTTGTAGAGTTGATTGTGATTGACATTTTGGACGGCGCGACAGCGCCTTTATATCCTTTTCACGAACGTCTCTCGACGCGAAGTGACGTATGTATTAATACGTAGGCATAAACCTCAATATTGTTCTAGACCTTCGAAGACACTCATGTATGGTCACCTTGGCAGGCCGCGAGGCTGATTTCAACGATAATATCATCAAGGAGAGCATGGGACCGCATATTGCAGTTAGCAGGTGTGCGCGTCTCCTTCTCTGTCATAACGATCCATCGGATCTAAAGTTCGGACACCATTCCCCAAAACAAAGTATCGCTGACGTGTTTCTCAAGTCCTAATCTATTTTCTACTTCCTCTCACCTACCGCAACTTCAACTTGTCAAATGTCAAGTCCACATTATCATATGCGTCTTCAACTCAATATTACTCCCTTCTCGCCGTCACACAGCCACGCCAAGCGTCTCAGGTCTACCGAAGACAGTCACGCCGACATTGCCGATCTTCAAGCCACGAAATAAATACCTTGTTCTCATTTGAGGTCGCCGTTGCCTCAACTGAGAATGGAAGCGAACTGCAGCAACCGGCATTTGCGTCATCCACTTAGAAGTTCGTCACAACCGCCAAACGAAACTCGACTGACATGTTTTCGTTTCCAATTGCGAGTCCTTATTTTCATCTTTAGGTGCGGCTGAATATTCTCTTGCATATGTATCTCTCGTTTTGGGTTGGGCGGTAAATGGTTGGCTGTCAGCTGCTCGTCAAAGTTCAGCTGATTAAGTTGGCCAATGGACAGCATCTTCATGACTCTGTTGGCCGCGACCTTTGGATTGAGCGTTTAGAATCAGCAACAAGCTTAAAATACATAGCAGATAACATTTTCTTATTCAAGGATAACTTATCTCATTGGTCAACAGGTATATGGCTTCAACCTGCATATGCGACCCCAAATTAGATATGGTATCCACGGCTCCTTTACCTTGAATGCCCGCATGATAATTTACCCAGTGCCACCGACGGGTACTCTGTCGTGCGACATTTCAAACATCTGTATCATTCGTCTCCTCCTTTTGCCTCGCCTATGCCATCGTCCTACGTCGTTATGGCTGGGTCTTACGAACAGTCCAGGCTAACTGAACCAGAGCTATCACAACTTCACAAGCCCTTTTTAACCCTTTTATCCGTTGCCTACCGCAAGTAACATACTATCCTCCAACCTGCTGTCCCAAGAGTTGGCTCAGTCATTTAATGACGCCTACCCTTTTCTACCAAGCAATAGCTAGAGAGCCAGTCACAACATCAGATGAGATTCCCGTCACATTTCTAAGTATCCCGACAGGACACCATTCCACTGCGTCATTACACATTAATAGATAACTACTTTCTCAGTCATTACAAAGCCTTGAAGATCTTATGGATAATATCGTTACCCTGCACCTCCGCCATTTCTGGAGATGCATCACACGCAGTTCCCAACAGCCGCTAAACCCCATCTTTTATTCCGATCTCCAGAAAATGATCTGACTTGCGGCGTCCGCGGCCCGCAAAACGAGGAGATCCACGACCGACATTAGCCGCAAACAGCAGAAATTTCAACATTATATTCGGCCGCAAGAGCGCCATTTCAACATTTTGTAGGCATTCGCGGCGTGGGATGGGCGACTTGTTCACTTGTCACGATCAATTGTAGGGACGTTCTAGCAACGCCATGTAAGGTGCAGATAGACCCTGGACTGGTAGCCAGGATTAGCGCGCAAAAGCCAAGGTCTGCTTAGGACATGAATTATTGCCGCGAAAATCGGTAATTTGAATACTGTAATTGGTTCTGCTCAATTGATCCTAGGGCGGTGAGAGTCGGTCAGCCCAAGGTAAACCCAAATCGTCCCATCACTCCCGCCCTTTTCTCTCAAGGTGAGAAATGACCCGAGCCCGCCGGGACGGTACCCAAAGATTAAGTTCTACATAGAGCAGTGGGGGGCTCCTGCGGCTCTGCCCCGTTCCAGCGCATCGGTGGTCAATTTCGGCACACTACGGAGTACAAGGGCCTAAACTATTCTGCAAGTCAGGCCACTGACCAGAAGTAAGAAAGTGGATAACAGCTTCCTAAAACACAGCCTGATAGGACCGGATAGCCAATGCTATACCTGCGTAGTCTTAGCATCCACTGTCGAGAAGTCAATAGCCCTGAAACAGCAGGATTTTCGACTCCCAACATGCTCTGATGGTGGAGACTGGCCGAGATCGCTGGGTCTAGCAGTGAGTCTTTTTCGTTGCTGGGGCTTGGGTTTGTAAATGACAGCGATAAACCATCTTACCATCAGTCTGATAGCCTATGATCTCATGCCGATAAGAATCCATAGCTCTCCTGACTGGGCAGGGCCTAGACGGACTTGAGTCTGCGATAAGCTTGCATAGTGTTGATCAAGTCTGAATAAAAGGCTCTTATTGCCTCACTGACCCATCAAGCTTTCAAGACAATTCTTCAATTATATACTGCAACAAAAGTTGATCACGTTACATCAATCCATCATGAGCAGCCCACTCGTGGTGAGCATCTCCAACCTGGCGGCATACACGCCCCAAGAAACAATTGAGCTTGTTTCTCGCTCTGGCGTAAAGAGAGGCAACATGCGTCCCGACAAGGTCTTCCTCTCCGCCGTCTACGCGGGCTGTCTTCTTGGCTTTGGCTGTGGCGTCTCGCTGTGTGCCATGACAGCACCCTGGTACACTGAGAACGCGCCCGGGTTGGTAAAGCTCTTTGGCGCTGGTGTTTTCCCTCTGGGTTTAGTGCTTGTTGTGCTTACGGGTGCGGACTTGTTGACTGCGACTACTATGGTAAGCTAGTTCGATGCTTTCCTGTATTATTGTGGCTGATGGGGTTTTAGTTTACCTTGACTGCTGTGCTGCAAGGTCGGCTTCCGATTCGGAAGATGCTGCTGCATTGGATCCTTTGCTTTCTCGGCAATCTTGCAGGATCGCTATTTGTCATGTCTATCATTATGGGATGTAAGTCATGGCATACACTCATTGCTAAAGTCGCAATTAACATTTCCTTAGATGGCGGAGTCTTTGATGCATCACCATACAAAGAAGTCGTCATGTCTTTCGCCAGCAAAAAACAAATATCGCCGCAAGTCCATCAAATCTTCCTCAAAGCCATCGGGTGCAACTGGCTTGTATGCCTCGCCGTCTTCCTTGGTATCCAAGCCAAGGACCTAGCTTCCAAGGTCATCGGCATGTGGTGGCCCATCTTCGCCTTCGTTGTCCTCGGCCTCGAGCACGTTGTCGCCAACATGTTTTATATGTCTCTCGCCATCTGGCTCAAGACACCCGATCTTACCGTCGGGTTGTACATTTGGAAGGGTATGATCCCAGCTACGGTTGGCAACATTATTGGCGGTGGCATGTTTGTCGGCGTGTACTATTGGTACATGTACTTGTTTGGCGAGGATCCCGTCAAGGTTGATGGTGTTGAGTACCAGGGTCCCCAAGTGGACTCTCACATGCACATGCACTTCCTTGCCAACAGAAATAAGGGTAATGTCACCGATGAGGAGAGTAGGATTGAGTCAGCGCCCGTTTCAGTACCAGCCAGCGTTCTTGCAAAGTAAGACATTTGAGGATGGAATGATGGATATGAAATTGTTATGATTCTTTAGACCTAGAGTACCGCTACTTATTAAATACGAATTTGAACTATTGACCATATTTCTTTACCATGAGCCTCTCTGCAACTGATTAAACCTAATGGGGATTCCCAACTCTTATTCTGCTGCGGTAACGAAGCTCTAGGCGCGGGAGGGGCGGACTCACTAGCACGGATATCGCGACAGTGTACCATCCGTTGTTCCCAGAACTGAGCATCAGAGCAATGTTGGCTTATACCCATCAGACATTCCCTGTGACCCTTCGCAAAATTGCTTCGCCTGATAATATCGCATGGCACATGTCTTGGTAAGAGGTGAAGCCTGCTGGCGTACAATGCAGCCAGCGCCTCAACTCAACAACGGCCCGATGAGATCAGCAGCTGTTCAAGTCTTCTACGAGGTATAATCGAATGGTCTTACATCAGATCAGAACGAGCTGTCATGTTATGGCGTGGGTGGCATTGTCAGGGACAGAGTTTTGCATCTCCGCGGGGAGACCATATTTCTCCACATCCGTCGAGGCATCTCCACGGAGTCACCCCGCCAAGTCCTCCCCTGGCCGATTTAAATATTCTGGAACAAATAACCAAGGATTCGGCATTAAGACAGTAGTACGTAGGTCTAGGCTATTCGGCCCCCGTGATTCATGGATCTCATATACTATACTTCGTGTACTAACTCAAGATACAACGGACCATGATCTATTAAATGCCGAGCTTTTATCTTAGTTGCTAGATATGATGCCCATGTTCAGTCGGACTCTTAATTTGGGTATGAGACTATGAAACAATACCTAGACCTCAGTCACTTCATCCTCTCGGTTGGTCACTAGAACCTCCTTCTGCCTCCATCGTTGCACCAGTGGTAGACCGACACCAGTCCAGAGTGTCAAAGCCACAACCCAGGCTAGCGCACTGCCCCATCCATGCGTCTTTGAAAACTCAGGAGCCTCGCCAGATGCCATCTGGATCTGTTGGAAGGGAATAACCACCGCAGATCCAACAGAAACCATGAAGCTGAGTACAAAAGCACGCTTCTGTTGATCGCCACCACAAGCCTCGTTGGCCCATCCTGCAATCAGAGGTGTGAAGCAGCCGTAGCAGCCGTGCATGATGAAAGCCGCCATCCGAAGTTTGTGAGGAACGTCCCAAGCTGTGAGAATGGAGTAATTGAGAATCATCCAGCACCCTACAACGCCACAGACTAGAGCACGTCCACCAAGCTTATCGGCGATGTATCCCGTTGATACCATGACTACAAAGTTGACGGCGCCGATACAGGTTGGAATGTTGTTGATTTCGGGTACCGTGTACCAGCCGGTCTTTTTCAAGTAGATTCCGAAGTATTGCATCACGTAGCTGCTTTTGCATCAGACACCGAATGTACAAGGAAAATATGAGTTGTCTTACCTTCCACATGTCAAAGTCCAGAAAGAGTATGCTGCTGTGAATGAATAGACTTGCCACGAGCCAAAGATTCGACGTACAACACTCCAGTCCATTTTCCCCACAGGCTTGCGGCCCTCCTCTTCGATGCGCTGGCGGGCCCTTTCCCTTTCCCATTCATTGAAATAGAAGCCCTTTGTAGTATGTGGAGTATCAGGAAAGGTGATCTGAGCATGTCAGCAAGGAATGGTGATAAGAATGAGAATGAGAACTCACGAATCCATAGGCCGCAACTGGGATAGCAAGGATGAAATCGAAGACAAATAACCATCGCCAGGCGGACATGCCACCTTTTCCATGCATGCCAGTAAATAGAGCAGCTTGTAGATATCCAGAGAACATCTGGCCGATAACACCGCTCATGACGAAGAGCCCGCTTCGACGCGCTAGCTCGCTCTTGCGATACCAGGAGCCTAAGCAGTACATAACTCCAGGCCAAGCGGCAGACTCAAATGCACCGATAAAGAACCGAAGCACATAGAATTGATAGGCGTGGTTACATTTAAACAGAGCCAGGACGAAGACGGACCAGGTTAAGAGGCAGCTCGAGAGCCAAATTCGAGGACGTAAAACAGTGATGATCAAGTTGGATACCAGACCGCCAAGGATCGTTCCAATAGAGAAATAGGTGTTCATCCACGAGAGTTCGTTTCCAGGGCCAAAGCCAAGTTCATCCGCCATTCCCGATACATAAGCATTGGAAATATTGTTTTGGTCGAGCTGCTGTGATTAGTATAGTGCATTGACTGGAAAGATAGTACCTACCTGCTTGATGAAAAACATCAAACATGCGAAACTCAACATGAACCAATCGAGCTTGAAAATGAGCCTCTTTTCCTGTGGTGAAGTCCCAGGCTCATGCCAGCTGAACCATCTTCTTTTGTTAGCCGCCGTCGCAATATCATTGTTCTTGAAGCTTGCAGGTGCAGGTCCAGAAGTGATGGAAGCACGATTCTTGATATCGATAGCAGGGGTTGAGGGTGCTGTATTAATGGAATTATCACCAAATGCCTGACTAGCCATTGTGACGATTTGCCATGGAATGGTTGTGAACGCTGGGAGAGGACGCGGAATCGATATGGAAGAAACTTCAGTGGGGGCATCGATATTTCAGTATTTCTTTCATGTAGCATCAAGTCTCATCAACCATACAATTTGCCATTAGATAGGCAATTGCGTGCTTCGGCGAACCCTGTGTTATTCGCGCACTGAGGCCGCAATCATTACCGAAAGAGGCAAATTCGCTCTCGGTCGGGGGAAATCCGCTTGCTGAAGATCGGTGAACCAAGCCAGTTGCTCAGGCTCGGATCATCCTGGTCCGCTTTGATCGCTTCTATGATCCTGACTTTGAGGGAAGGACGTCTGCTGATTATTCTTCTCTTGTGATTTGTACCCTTGACTAAGTCTTCAAGAAGGGGAAAATGGTTGAATTCATCACTGCAAATGGAGCTCAGCTCGCTTATGAGCTGAGCGGACCCAAAGATGCGCCGTTAATGATTACTCTCCATGGCGGAAGAGGAATGGGTAAGTTCTGATGACTTGAGCCGAGGTTATACGTCTGATAATGCTAGGTGATCATAGGTCCGACTACAAAGTATACAGTCGCCTCAATGATAGAATCCGCGTGCTTTCGTTTGACTTCCGGGGGCACGGCCAAAGCTCCCGTACCAAGCCGTATACTTTTAAACAGATCGTCGACGACGTTGAGGCTGTACGGCAGTATTTCTCAGGACCTGATGACAAAGTCATTATCTGTGGTGGAAGTTTCGGAGGGTTTCTGGCGCAGCAATATGCCATAACCTATCCATCCAAAGTCTCGTACTTGATCCTGCGAGGGACTGCAGCTTCGCATCATCGTAAGTCTCATAACTATTTAGTTTGAGCCTCCTATTCTTACAAGTCTTACAGATGAAGATGGCGCCATTAAGACCCTTGAAGCCAGAATCAGCAAAGTACCCAGCTTCTCTAAGGAGATGCTGCGAGACAAGGTCTTTGGCGCCTATGACGACGACGAAGATTTTAGACTAGTCCATTTTGCTATGATGCCCTTGTACCGGGAAGATTATGATGCAAATGCCGGGCTCAAGGCTTGCCGAGATACAGTTTATGTCGCGGAGTCTCACAGTATGTTACATGTGCCGTGTTATCATGTAGCATGACACTGACAGTATAGATGATCTTTATTCCGAGAACGAAAAGTACTTTGATTACGTCGACCAATTGGGTAGCATTCAGGCAAAGACTCTAGTTGTCGTTGGCGACCAAGACTGGATTTGTCCACCAGGTTAGTCTATCAATTGGTTTATTGAGTGCTCATGTACTGACAGGCTTAGATAACTCGACATTAATTGCTGATCGGATCAGGGATGCGGAATTGCTCGTGGTTCCTGGTGCAAATCATAGCGTGCATATTGAAAAAACAGACTTGGTCATTTCCAGAATTAGGCAGTTTCTGAAATTACAGGACTACGGAGTAATCTAATCTGAACTAAGCTATGGTCATCGACCATCTTGTGTACAAATATTTACTGCAATAGAACTGCGTCCTTTATGATTACGCGTAGCTTGGTGATATCCAATATGTTGTTTAGTTGGCCATGATAAGACGCCTTGCAAATGAAACCAACGATTATGCTATTGATAACGCGACAGGGGGAATGGCAAAGCGATCGGCGGAGGCCAGTTCGGAAGAGGAGCGATTTGAAGAAAATTTCCTTCATTGGGAAAAACACGTCGGGGCCAGGGCGATCATCGACGTAGATCCCCCCATGGATGATGGCGCCATCTGGGAAATAATGGGCCTTCCTTATTCAAGCATGTTGTTTCAATCAGCGATACAAAACCCAGAATTGGAGGGCATTATGTGCATATGCCGCAAGGTTTAAGGAACCAAAGTCAGTATGACGGGCGATATTCGTGTTTCGATCGATAGGGGCGGCACTTTCTGTGACGTTATCGCTACAGGCGCAGATGGAGACAAACCATTCATTTTCAAGTTGTTATCAGAAGACCCTTCCAATTACCTTGATGCACCAACTGAGGCACTCCGAAGAGTCTTAGAAAAGTACACGGGAAGGGTGATCTCGGTTGGTGAGAAGCTTGATGCTTCAAGAATAGGTAAGCTTGGCGGCCTCGGTGCTTTCTTTCTTGGGACTAATAGACATCATAGCATCATGCCGTATCGGGACCACGGTTGCAACAAATGCCCTACTCACGGGCAATGGTGAAAGGTTCGCCTTTGTAACTACCAAAGGCTTCAAAGACGTCTGTGTTATTGGAGACCAGTCTCGTCCTGAACTATTCAACCTGGAGATCCGCAAACCAGCCGCCCTGCACTCTACTGTTGTGGAGGTTGATGAGAGAATCACCATAGAAGACTACGATCTAAACCCTCACAAGAAATCAACAGCCAACATAGAGGGCGATCCGGACTTGGTCAGAACTCCAAGCGGTGAAGTTATTCGAATCCTCAAGAGACCCGATGAAAGAGTCGTTCGACAACAGCTCGAAGCGCTGCACGAAGAAGGCTACACATCGCTGGCAGTATGCTTCATGCATGCCTACCTCTTTCCAGATCACGAGAATATGGTAGCTCGTATCGCAAAGGACGTTGGTTTTACATTCGTCACTATCTCCTCCGAGTCCAGCCCAGTGATCAACTTTCTCAGGAGAAGCAACTCCACTTGTTCAGAAGCCTACTTGTACCCCATCATCAGACGATATATCGACAATTTCGAAGCAGGTTTCAAGAGACCCCCTCAGAGGGTAGATTTCATGTGCTCTGACGGTGGTCTTAAGCAATCTGATAAGTTTCGAGGAAATGAGGCACTCTTGAGCGGATCAGCTGGTGGTGTTGTGGGTACAGCAAAATGTTTCGACGTTGATGAGAGAACACCTGTTATTGGATTCGACATGGGTGGTACAAGCACTGATGTCTCGAGATATGATGGAAAATACGATTTTCTCCAACAGACGACGATTGCCGGCCGAACTATCAACCTATCCATGCTCAATATTGCAACTGTTGCTGCGGGAGGTGGATCCGTCTTGTTTGCACGGAATGGACTGTTAGCAGTTGGGCCGGAGTCTGCTGGAGCGCACCCCGGTCCTGCATGCTATAGAAAGGGAGGTCCTCTGACGGTTACAGACGCCAATCTGTTCCTCGGACGACTCGTACTCTCGTCATTCCCTGCCATCTTTGGAGAGTCTGGAGATCAAGAGCTGGACATCGAGGTCGTGAGTCATAGCTTTGAGCATATCACACGAGACTTCAACAGACAGACGTCTCAGAACCTCACACCCGAGGAAGTAGCATTAGGCTTCTTGAACATAGCGAACGAGACGATGAGTCGACCTATTCGAAACGCAACAGAGGCTAGAGGCTTCGCTCCTGAGAGCCACGATCTCGTAAGCTTTGGTGGTGCAGGTGGCCAGCATGCCTGCGCTATTGCTGATAAGCTCGGCATAAATCGTGTGGTCATACACAAACTGTCATCGTTGCTCTCAGCACATGGTATCGCGCATGCAGAGCTTCAGCATGAGGTATTAGAGCCCTTCGCAGCCGAGCTCGATGAAAAAGCCATGGTAGGGGTGGAAACCCTCTTATCAGCACTGAAGAGCAAAGTAATTGAAGAATTGGTGTGCCAAAAAGCTTCAGAGCAGAGTTTGGTCTTCGATGAGGTACTTGTGTTGAAGTACTTTGGCACTGACACGAATCTCTCCATCTCTAAACCAGCTGATGGCGACTATGCCGCAGCTTTCACGGCCATGCATCTACGCGAATTTGCCTTTTCTATGAATAGACCTATAATCATCGAATCTGTTAAAGTTAGAGGCTCGGGAAGCACTGGCGCACTGAGTCATGAGACGTCAGCATCCAAAGAGTTAGCTTCGAGTAAACGGACGGTGTTCTCCGACTATACCGCGAGGCAGAAGGTATACCTTGATGGCTCGTGGCAGGATACAAGAGTTTTCAGACTGTGCGATGTTCCTGAGGGAAGTCTTATCAACGGCCCGGCAATCATCATTGACGAGACACAGACGATCCTTGTTGAACCCCTCTTCGAGGCACATGTTCTGGCTAACTATGTTATTTTGGAAAGGACACTTTCTGAAGAGCATTCTCCCATGCCTTTTTCCGGGACCTTATCTACATCGAAAGAAACCCTGAGTCCCATCCAACTATCCGTGTTCGCGCACCGCTTCATGGCCATCGCCGAGCAAATGGGCAACACCCTCCAGCGAACATCCATCTCAAGCAGCATCAAAGAGCGCCTCGACTTTTCCTGCGCCATCTTTTCTCCTGAAGGCAAACTCGTCGCCAACGCTCCTCACATCCCTATCCACCTCGGAAGTATGCAATTTGCCGTCCAAGCTCAGCACCGCCACTGGAACGGAAGGCTGAAGCCCGGAGACGTTCTCCTAACGAACCATCCCTCTTGGGGTGGGACACACCTACCTGACTTGACAGTGGTTACTCCTGTTTTCGTCGGAGACCGGATTGCTTTCTACGTTGCGTCCCGGGGCCATCATACCGATATCGGTGGTATGGGTATCACCAGTATGATGCCCGAGTCGCGGTCTCTATGGGAGGAAGGTATAATCGTATCCTCCATGAAGATCGTCAGCAGCGGCGAGTTCCTTGAAAGCGAGGTCCGGGCCGCTTTTGAGAAAGTTGGTACTTATCCTGGATGCAGCGCAACACGCCGTATACAAGACAACATCTCAGACCTCAAAGCACAAACCTCAGCAAACCAACGTGGGATAACCCTCCTTCAAAACCTATGCAATGAGTACTCGCTAGAGGTGGTGCACAAGTACATGACAGGTATTCAACATAATTCAGAGCTAGCAGTAAGGGAGTTCTTTAAGAAACTGGCTCAAGAGCATCCAGGTCCTCTATCAGCGACAGATTATCTGGATGACGGGACTGCCATGAAAGTCAGGATCAGTATCGACAAGAACACAGGCAGTGCGATATATGACTTCGCTGGCTCAGGTCCCCAGTTGTGGGGAAACTATAACTGTCCCATCTCTATCACTCACTCGGCAATTATCTACAGCATAAGATGCCTGGTCAATCTTGACATCCCCTTGAACGAGGGTTGTCTAGCACCATGCGATATCCGCGTGCCTGCTGGCTCTATCCTTGATCCCACACCGACAGTGGCCATCTGCGGTTCAACTCTAGCAAGCCAGCGAGTAATTGACTTAGTCCTCCGTGCTTTCGGTCGCTTCGGCGCCAGTCAAGGTTGCGCAAATGCTCTGGGTTGGGGCATGGGAGGCAAGAATCTATTGACGGGTGAGATTGAACCGGGCTGGAATTATGGAGAGTCGATTGGCGGAGGCGTTGGTGCTGGTGAAGGCTATAACGGGGAGAGCGGCGTGCATGTAAGTCCTGCTTTGGTTCTTTCGCGCGTGTGTTGGATTGTTAACCCACGGTATTTAGGTTCACTCTACAAACACTCGTCAAACCGATAGTGAAGTAATAGAGAAGCGCACTGCCGTCCTTGTACGAAGATATGGCATCCGAGAGGGCAGCGGGGGAAGCGGTCGATGGCGTGGAGGTGATGGCATCGTTCGCGAAATTGAGGCTCGTGCAAATCTCAAGTTCAGCATCTTGAGTGATCGGCGAGTGTATAGACCTTACGGAATGGCTGGGGGCCATGGTGGCCAAAAGGGCAAGAACCTTGCGTTCAAGTTCAACGAGGTTCATGAGTTGGAAGCAATCAATCTCGGTGGCAAGGCAATTGTTCAACTTGAGCCTGGGGAGTATATTCAGGTCAATACGCCGGGAGGGGGCGGTTATGGAACGCCAGGCGATGAAGTGGTAGACCTACAGTTTGATAACCTCCATAAGGCTTTTACTTGAGGGTAAAATATGTATTTATTTAAGCAGGTAATAATTGGCTATCTATTCGTCACTGATAAGGACGTATTTGGCGAGCCTCTACCTCTAGACGAGCCTTACCGGCCCATTTACGAACAAGGGGAAAACCCGGTCTGGGGTTGGGTATTGGTCAACTATGCTAGCTACGGCGTCCAGTTCTTCCTCCCCAACGGCAAGTCCTATGGCCAAATTCTACTCGGCGGGTCCACAGGAACAGACATACCTTTGAGGTGGCAGCCTTTTGAAAAGCCCCCGGATCTGGAATCATTTTCCGTGGATTCTGTGGACATACGACGGTTGCAGGAGCTCATGGACGTGTTTCGTCAAGACCCAGAATACTTAAAGGCATTCATCCACATGATTGGGGAGTCACTCGCTTTCTCCAAAGATATGGACCCATCATACTCGGAGAGCCTTGCGTCCATCACCGGGAGATGCCTTGCTCTTGTGGATTTTGGTGTCTCGCTTGAGCTTGCTCAGAAGCCAAGGGAAAACCAGTCTACCATCAATGATGCTCTTCCACAGATTGCACTGCAAGATTACAAGTTCCCTTGCATCTTTGGTGACGTGGAACACAGAGATGATGGGATGGTGGGGTATTTATGCCCTCTTCCGCAACGTCGAGAAAGCCTGATTTCTCAACTTGTTATACCTATTTCCCGCAATCAAAGGTAATAGCCTCTAATAACAACATGAAAGAAATCACAAGCCAGAACTACCCCTTCCTCCAGCCGCAGTACGCGGATCCATTGGAACTTACACGATCTCTGTTCGTTGAGCCTGAGGATGCCTTGAACTCCGGCACAGTGGACCGCATGTCTTCTGAATTCCGAAAGGAGACATCCAAGTCTCTGAGCATCTTCACCGCCATCATCAACCCATACACTCCCTTCCACATGAGGACTGCTGGTCTTCTGCCGACAAAGGCTCTTGAGATACCTCCATGGACTATCAAGAAAGCTCTTGAAAAAATGGACGTATTCTTCCCTACGGGGCCCGTTCTAAGCCTCGACCCTACTTTGGGAAAGCCTGTGTCGTCACCTACAGACACAGCTATCGTGCAACAAAGTCAAGTCAGGGGTTCAGGAGAAGAGATAGCCAAGCCGAGGATGGCGGTCCCAGCACCTCCTGTAGGTACATGGACTTGGTTACAGCCTATGCTCAACGAAAAAGAGGTTACAACTACCTACAAAGAGATCGAGACTGATGGATTCGAGAGAATTGAAGAGGATAATATTCTTAGAGTAAATAACGGGCAGCCATTAACAGCACTTGAGGGATTGCTATGCATGAGCCGGGATAACGATAGAAAGAAAGTATAGTATGGCTTGTTAATGTTACTTCTAGAAGTCTTGGTTTTAACTCAATCCTGGATATCGTATAGAAAAGAAGCATTTAAGAGTACTTATTCATATATTGTATAGTAGGTTGACGTTCTTGTGTCTAAGCCTAGTGGCTGTGCTGACACAACCAATCACGCTGAGCCACAAGTCAGGGTCACGGGTCGGCTTATTTACTGAGGACATTAATAATATCTCACCTTTCATCAATACTCAAACTTCCAGCCATCAAAGAGCCAAAATGCGACTCATCAATACCACAACTCTCGAGGTAGAGGAATTCTTCGATGTCTCTATTCCAGAATACGCTATCCTTTCGCATACATGGGGCGACGGTGAAGTCTCACTGCAAGACTGGGCCGATCGTAAGAACCGTCGCTTCAAGCCCGGGTTCCAAAAGATCATCTGGGCCTGCACTCAAGCTTCCAAGGACCAACTTACCCACGTCTGGGTAGACACTAACTGCATTGACAAGAGCAGTTCGGCAGAACTATCCGAGGCTATCAATTCAATGTTCAGATGGTATCGGAGATCCGCTGTCTGCTATGTCTATCTTGAGGATGTCCCTGCAATGGCCTTGGACGAATGCACCAAACCGGACAGTGCATTTAGGAATGCAAGATGGTTCACGAGAGGTTGGACTCTCCAGGAACTCATCGCACCGCCAAATGTCAGTTTCTTCTCCAGCAACTGGACTCTGATAGCGACAAAGTCAGAGCTGGCCCCCTGCATTACCGAGATCACAGGGATTCCTTGGTCTTGTCTCCTCAAGGGTAGGCTATCTAAAGCACACCCATTACGGAGATACAGCGTTGCACAAAGAATGGCTTGGGCTTCAAACCGCTCAACGACGCGTATCGAGGACCAGGCATACTCTCTCCTCGGACTCTTCGATATCTCCATGCCTCTGGTGTATGGTGAAGGTTTTGAAGCGTTCACTAGACTACTCGGAGAGATCATTCACAAGTATGCAGATCATAGCTTCTTTGCATCCCGGCTGCAATATGTCGATTTCTTACCTCGCTCTCCTTGGGAGTTCGACAAGTCACAGTCCGTGGTTATTAGTAGCTCACCGCAGCTGCAAAGACATTACACGCCAGGAGATCATTCCTACTCATTTCATCTGACCAATACTGGATTGCAGATCACTCTACCCATTGTGCCTACTTTGGTTCCTAATTTCGTATTTGGTGTGCTTGACTGTTGGGACATTGAGACTATGAGTACTACGACAACGCGTCACGTATCGCGGATATGGATACCACTTCTTCGGAAGGGAGCTGGCGAGTCCCAGCGGTATCTACGGTTGATCTGGCCTCAAACCTTTTTCCCTGTGAAGATGGCTCGGAAGGACAACATAATGTTTCGCGAAGAAGAGCAACCTCTTTTCAAAGGAGACAAGCATGGATCCGTTACTTCAGAAGAACCTTCTGATTACGTGGACACAATATCAGCAGCAATGCAGAGAGGTATTCTGATCAAGAAGCCATATGCGACCATCCTGTCAGTCCCGTCATGGCAGCCGCGTGAAGCAGGAAGTCCGTTCCTACTCTGCTTTCCCCGAGGAACAGCAGGCTATCGTCTATACGGTATCTTCCCCAGCGACCATGAATCTGATTCCGCATGGTCATCGGACACACCTCCTTTGCTGCCGCTAATAATGCCACGCCGTGGCCACATAAGCTATCCCCAAGATCCTGATGATGAATTGTTTGAGGAAGGCAAGACGGACTTCTACTCTGCTTTAGTCGTCTTTAAGAAGAAAGGATCGAAGCCTCCACAATTCGTTGCTATCTTCCTGTCCAACAATGCACAGGAGGATAAAGGAAGGACGGGTTTCGAGCCAAGAGGCAAGGTGATTCCAAATTGGTCACCAACCGAGGATGCCGACTTGGAAGCCGTCGATTTCTCTACGTTTCCCGATGCTGATTTCTACGGTGATACCTTGGTTACGGTGCAGAAGGTTGCAAGTAATCCTAGGATACGAGCGAAAGATCGGTTCGTTGGGCTCACGCAGATTATCTTCGATAGAGGGCAGATGATGGAAGAGTTACGCTTGCAACCAGACACAGAAAACAAGGCATCAAGGGGGATCTTGCAGCACTATGGCCGAGATTCATCTGATGGAGAAGCTTACGATTGATACGGTACTTGGTCTTTGTATTCGAATTGATGGACGATAAATTATGTTCTGTATATATTGAAGCTAGTCTTTTTCCCCAGTTGACACTAGCACCAGCCAAAAGCAAGATCTTAGGCAATTGTGAGAGCGACGAGTATTTTGCCCGTATGTGTTTATTAGTGTCCTTTACCTTTATGGCCCTGGAGGCTGAAGCCTCTTTTAAAACCCAAAACTTACTACAGACACTAGCACACTTAACAGATCTCCAATCAACAGGCAAACCGTGGCAGTCTTGTAAACTGGGTTAGGGTAGGGTGGCAAGTAGCCAGGACAGAACTCCGCAGTGAAGCGGGTGTCCATATACTCAGAGTAGGTGGCAGCAGGGAAGAGCTACAAACGATATCGTCAATACTTGTTTCAATAGATGGTCAAACTGACATATCAAGCATCTCATACAGATGGGACTGAAGGAAACAAAATGAAACAGGGCGGTTAAGCTGTGGTCAAATATAACTTACATAATCCTGTCCATCGACGCTGGCAGCAATGCCAGCGATATATGGGCAATAGCCGCCGATCTGTGTCTCACGAACATCATTGGCGCAAGCGCAGGCCCTGGCCTGTCTTCCAGCCTTGGCTGTTAGTGCGGCAAATACAGTCGGAAGATCGAGAAGGGCAGTGATAAAGGTCTTTATTCTGAAAGTTTGATGTTGCAACAAATGACAATGCAAAACAGTCTTCTGTATATGAATCGTAACCAATGAGCAAGAGTTTTACGAACGGCAAAAGTATGATTTCCTACTGTCATGAATTTTGACTTCTTGGCTTTAGATCAGCTTTAAAATGGGGTTAGACAAGGTTTAGTACATCAACAGAAAGATCATGGTCCCAGTCATCTCGCTGAATCGCCTGGTTTTGGCGGCGGTGATCATATTGTCTGCCATGATGTTGTACGCTTTGAAAGCGGGCCGTGACAATACGAATAAACTAGATGTCTAATGAGATTTTTTTCGCAGAGCTGGTGATGGCAGTAGATGTGATATCCAAGATCAGGGGCTGGGTACGTCTTTATACATGGGCGATCCTTACCAGCTAACAATAGAGTGGTATTGGAGATCGGAGAGGAGATCAACGGCCACCGCTGACCAACAACGCTATCCAAACTCAGAATCAGACAAAGTACCAATTGAAAAATGGTATACCTCAGATCCTGGTAAGTATCACGTTGTTGAGATGAAAGTGCGAAGAGATATGGGGGCCTTAGCCTCACCGGTAGCGAGATCTGCCGGAACTAACCCGGCTCAACCTTGCCCGCGGCTCCGGCGGCAGAGTCAGCGGGACCCGGAGCTATTTCTTGGCCTTCACGAGGCGAATGCTGTGAAGTCCGTTCCATTCTGGCCGGTCAAAATTGTACCATTTCTCGCTGTGCTAGATCCTCTCATATGGCGAAGTCGTCTTTCATCACTCCAATAAACTTTGAACAACCACTTGGTTTCATCACTCATGGGCTCATTACCATCTACACGACCAAACTTTCTAGTCATCGTCGCCGATGATCTCAGCTTCAGTGACTGCGGTTGTTACAGCTCAGAAATCTCAACACCAAACATTGACCGTCTCGCCTCAGAAGACAGGGGCATTCGCTTCACGGAATTCCATGTCGCTGCAGCATGTAGTCCTACAAGGTCTATGCTCATGACGGGCACAGATCACCATATCGCTAGGTCAGATCAACTCCAGAGATTACCAGGAGTTGACCTGCTCACAAGGGTAAGTCTGGACACGAAGGCTATCTCAATGAGCGGGTTGTTGCACTTCCCGAATTTTATTTCACCAGCATGAGCGGCAAGCGGCATCTTGGCCTGAAACCGGAGCATCATCCGAAAAAGAGAGGGTTCAAGAAGAGTTTGGCTCTGCTGCCTGGATGTGCAAATCACTTTGGTACGTAATTTCAAGAGGTTGCGTATTTATCTCACATACGCAGCGTATGAACCCGAGTATCAAGATTCCAAGTCTGAACCGGTGAAATTCTTTGAGATAGCTGCACAAGCGCTGTGTGCCGAGGACGGAAGGATTCTCGCTGAGAGTGAATTGGGCCAAGATTAGTACTTTTTAGATGGCTACACCGACAAGCTTGTAGGCTACCTCTCCAAACACACAGTTGAAGAGCGCCAACAGCCTTCATTTGCGTATCTCCCATTCTCAGCACTGCACTGGACACTTCAAGCGCCAAAATAACCATGCGACAAGTATCGTGGCTTCTATACTAAAGACTTCAAAACGCTTCTATAAAAACATCTATAGAAGCTAAAATATGTTAGTCTGATTAACAAATCTGTTGTCCCTCATTCAGTGATGACTGTGTCTGGTGAACCTGCCGAGCAGCACCAGCTCAACGACGAAACCAGAGCTGCTAGTGCACGCGCGATGTATTTTCGAAAAAAAAGCCAAATACAAAACATAAAGACTGAAACCCTTCTCCCACTGGCTAAACTCAGAAAACCACCTAATTCTCAAACGACCAAGTAGATTTCCCATCTCTTTCAATTGTCTCTAAGCAGCCAAAAACCGGCTGGAACATTCCAAGATATCCGTCGCTAGTATGATCATAAGACCACCCGACAGCATAAAGCATGCAAGTTGGCGGAGACTTTCCATCTTCACTAGTACAAGTGAACTCCTTGTATTCAACTCCATCCCTTGGCTGAAATTTATTCCCCAATGTCCATGACTGCTCATACCTTAAACGTCCTTGGCCATCTATAGTTGGAACCGCGCTGGTAAATCCAATATACTCGATTCGATCTCTGTCTCGGTAGTCAGTTGAGACCTTTGTTGTCACTCCAACGATGACCGCCTCCTTTCCGAGGTCAATGTTGAAGACATATCCACCACGGCTTGACCCTAACATAAGTTTTGTGTTTTCGAAGATGAACGAAAGCCCGACGACCTCTTTGGTATCATAGTAGTCTGGACAAACATGCAACTCAATCTTACAAAGCCTCCCCAGGGTGCCGGAAGCGGCTTGTGGGTTTGTAAACTTTGTCTCTGACGTAATGCCCTTCCATATACTTCCAGGATATTCCAGATGGTGATAGGTTTGGACGTCGTCTTCATGTCCAGGAATGAATCGTCCCCAGAGACGTGTAGGTTCAAGGATCTTGTCGATCTCTGCACTGTATTTGAACTCAACTTCGAAGTCGAGCTGCTTGCGAGCGTTGGCGAACATGGGTTCCATCTCACCCAACGCACCCGTAACGGTAACCTCTGCATGACTATGTGGGTCCTCCATCGTGATCTGGTCGAAAGCGGCATACATCCCCTTCATCTTGATATCTTTTTTTCGCCTCTCAATGCAGTTCTTCTTCGCTTCCTGGACGAACCTTTGAAGTCGATAAACCTCTCTCTCAAGTGTTTCTTTATACGACGACTCTGACGACTTTGAATCCTTGACCTTATCGATCTTTTTGCAATACTTCCATTGAGTATAGAGTGCAGATAGGTAGAGAGTGCCAAAGGGAACCAGGTATGGAAGGTTATACCATGGTGCTGCGTTTTCGATAAATGACGGCTCGTTTTCCATCAGAATGTCAAGTACTCCGTGGAAGCTGCGAGCCTGGACCTTCGCTGGCTCATCTGCAAAGTTTCGTAGAGCCTTAAAGATGCCTTTAAGTCTCAACCGGTTGGCGTTGGCGGTCTCCTCACCAATCTTTTCATCAACAAGCCGCTCTACCTTGTCTTTGATACCCTCCCATGTATCATCATCGCCACCAGGCCAAAACAGGTCCAGTAACCCTGAGAGCATGCCACCGACCACGGGCACCTCATTGAGGCCTACAGAGACAACCACCTTCAGAACCTTGTTGACATTATCACTCTCGACGTCCTCTTTAGGCATGTACTTCTCAGGGTTGTCGATTGAAGCAGCATGTAGAACGTCGTGGGTTGTTACCACCTTCATCTGTCTAGTGAGGTCATCAGAGATCATCTTGGACTGGAAAATAGAGGGATTGATAGAAGCGAGATAAAGATAAGCAGATACGTGGAAGATCTGGCACATAAGTCGACCATAAATGGGCCATGTCTGCTGTATTTAACCCCCAAGCAATGGATCTCCTGATAGACTCATTCCCTTCTGATTGGTTTTGAATTAAGATGTTACAGTTCGTTCCAGACCATTGTTGGCTTGTTTAAACCATCTTAGTGCTGACATAGGAAAATAGCATCTAGATTCTGAATAGCTAAGAGGGGGGATTAACGCCAGCCACTCAATGCCACAAGTTTACAATTGGGAATAAGGCATATACGCCACTATCAAGCTTGATTATAAGTGGCCTGTTACAAGTCACATGGATACCTAGTTTTTAAAAAGGAATGCAGAAAGCGCCAACATACCTTAAAGGAATTGCCCAATGACCCAACTAAGAGTCTTATAAGATCTCGCAATGGTTATTAAGGGCTAGCATCAATAACACTCAGCTTACGGAGTACAGTTAGATTGAAATGTTTTGAGATAAGATAAATCAAGCTAAGATAAGAACACCATCGGCCCGGATCAACATGACCATTGAACCGGGCCGATGGTTCCCCGACCAGAACCGACCTCCAATATCTCGTTCAGCAGTTTTTTAAACGAGCCTGTGCGCCGTTAGCGTCCCAGTCTGCGGGGTCAAGACGAGGGTAGGTCAACGCCAGGCCAGGTACCCAAATTCGAGGAGGCTCATTCAAGCCCTGTGCTGGTAGATAGTCTGTTATTCTTGTGCTAATCTTTGATATAATTCTATTTATATACCGTAGAGTGGAACTTGACACTATAAGAGACATTGGGGTGGATAAACGCCTTGCTATCTGCAGTTATTAAACCTCTGCTTTGTTTTCTGCTACCTGTATGGCAAGCAGCAAACCCGTTCTATCTGATGTCAAGCCTGAATCTGATAATCACCTCAACCTGTAGTTTCGCTCGCCCTGCTACTTGCTCTTTATCTGATTGACAAGACGTGATAATTGCAGACTCACAGCTTCTGGTAGCTCGACAACGGAGAAGTGCGATTCCACGCGGAGCCTGGCGAAGCTGAACCAATCAGGGTGTTTTCGCGCAAATTCCTCATGTTCCGCAAGATAAGCCTCCTCTTTGGGATGGCTGAAGACATGTCGAACTAAAGGAGGGTCTTTGATAGCCTCAAGTCGCTCCATAGGTGAACCCCAGCGCTGATAGTTCTTTTCCACCACCCAGCAAAAATAGGACCAGTTGTCGAATCCGTTAGTGTCTAGATCGTTCTCGCAATGATTTAGAACGTTCCTGTTGGAAGTGTTGTTAAGCCATTTCTTAATGAGCAGGGCCTGAACCTGCTGCCAAGTCTCCTTGTTTTGCATCATCTGCAGGTTCTTGATAAATTCTGCTGATGGCCGAGTGAGGATGAAATCGGTCAATAGCACAGCCGGGACCCTTTGCCTCCCTAGACGTGCGGCCATCTCCATGGCGCACCAACCTCCTTGGAAGTGAGAAATGGGAATGAACTTTTGGACCTGGAGAGTGCCCAAAACTGCGATCGTATCGTTTACTTGATCCTCCACGGTCCATTTTCCCGCGGCTTCGCTGGTGGCGCCGCGATTCCTCCATAAAATTCTGATGACGCGATACTTGCCCACCAAGAAAGGGAGGATGTACTGGTAGCAACGGTGGTCCTGACCTAAGCCTGGAAGACAGACTATTGTTGGGTCAGATGTGACCATGCCCCGGTCCTCGAAGGATAAATCGACGCCATTTATCGTCCGTGTATAAAACATCGAATCTTGAGGTGTTGAATGGTGGTAAGAAGATGGTTAAGTTGTGAAAGTGTTGGTGTTTGGACTACGAGCTGACGTATACGCCATGACCAATAGGGCAGGGGACCAAAAGCTCCAGTCAATGTTTCGGTTAATGAAACTCTAAGGTACAGGCACTCTAGCACGATGTTACCAACTGCCACTACCCGCTGCACTTCGCTCAAAATCTCCCTTTTCAACATATCGCCTGCATCTCTGTTCCGGCTAAGGTCTCAGCCGTTGCGGATAAATTCCGATAAATGTGGGTTCTTCCCGCGGGAACGGTAAAGCATCTTAATCGTCTTCAAGGTAATTGGTCGAGGTTCCACGTTTTGTTGGGTTTTGAGCAAGTATGTAATGGCTTTGTAAGTCTCCACTCTTGTGTCAGCTAAAGTAGTCGGAGTTTAACGACTGCCATGGCACGGCCTTTTAGGCGAGACACGGACATTGACATTGACTTCAGCCTCATATATCTGGTGCAGGGGAACCCAATGCATATTTAACTGTTTGCCTTGCTGAGTGAGTCTCGTGGTTGTCTGGAACATACTGGCTGTGTCTATTCGTATATATGGCCACTCTGGACATTGGCACCTCATGCTGCATGGAATAGGGCCGATGAATAAAGCTTGGCAGACAAGATAAAGTAATCATGGTCCTCCTTTGCTGAACAAGGTATGAAGATCATGACATCAGTATAGTTGTGAGGTTTGGATCTATTGTGTTCCTACTGGCCTTGCCAAGAATTCGATCGCACAGATAAGACTTTTGATGTACAAATAAGCTAAGCATCTTTCAAGTGCCAGAGGTTCTCAAATTCTGCCCCGTACTATACAATGCCAAAATGTCGTCTGCCTTTCTATGCGCGGCCCAAGAATAGCATCGACTCTACTGTATCGATATCTTGGGTCAGTATCGCATTGCTGAGACATGACTGATCGACGACAGGGAGCTCGTCTATCGGCTTGTTTGATGCGTCCAAATACATTTTCTGGAGTTTTTAAATAACTGGAAATTTGATTGAAAATCAATTGAGGAATGTTGCTATATTTTAATCTTGCAACGCCTTGCCTAATGTCATCTCACCTACCAATTTGGGTCATGGTCAATCTGAATATAGTGGTCGGACCATCTCACTAGGTAGGTAGACGCTCACTAAAGATGTGATTTGCATGTGAATCCCCACAGAAGCTGTTGTTTCATATGAAGAGCCACAAACTTCACATAGTCACAATAGTAAGATACCTGACCAAACGATCAGCCCCCTTCAACATGGTCAATCCAAATATTCCAATATCTCCTCAGCATTCCGCTCCGGACTGATATCCTTCGTGTAGACAGTATGCCTCGCCAATCTCTTATTACTTGGATGGTCCAAGAAGTGTCGATTGTAGCTTAACTCATGACCTCTCCGCTCCTCCGTGATCTTCAGCGCCTCATCCACGTCGTCGCACGGAAGAACGAGAAAGACTCCTTCATAAGCCGCAATCAATTCCGCAACGTGGTCGAGCTCCTCATTGTTCTCAAAAACGGAATGTCCCGCCCCAAAATCGAGAATCTTGCCGTAAAACCTATCTCCAGGCTTCAGCGCATTTTGCAATATGTCCACGACAGCTCTGTATTCAAAATACTTCCAGTACTTTAATAGCGCCTCCACGCCCTCTTGTTCGTATAGATTATTAGCATGGGCATGATCGTAGTCGAAAGGCGCGTAAAGCTCTTTTCGGTGTCGATCGAGGCTGAATAACTCTCTGTCGAGTTTCTCTGAAAGGACTTTTCCAATAGTTGTTTTCCCAGCGCCCTCAGGGCCGATGAGAATAATTGTTGGGCAAGGCTTAACTGGCATGGCCTCCTTTTAGTTGACTATCGAATGATAAGTAAAGTGCTACTCCGGAAAATTAACAATCAATAAACGCTTAGTTACTTTTGTAGATGAGAAATACCCAGAGTCCATTGGGAAGGATCACGGGTCAGTCGGAGTAAGACGGCTATAGCAAATGACTCACACTGGGTACGATAAGATGCCGATATCCGAAGTCGCGTATCTCAAAAGAATGGCCATTAAGGGAATTTGAGAAGTGTCAAGATGCCTTAAACACCTTATCTAAAGAGCTCTTTACTAATAAAAGAGTCACATATTCCACTTTCGTTTCAGTGTTCCGTTACCTGATTGTTTCATTGCTTCGAGGCTCACTCCAGCGACTGGGATCGCAGCCGAAGCCATCAGTGCACCAGTCCACGCTGATATCGGAGTGTAGTCCCTGGAGCTTCTGGATAATTATTCGCCTCGGACGAGTGCACCCGCAACAGGCGTACCGACAAGAGTGGCCAATCCTTGCAACATATACATGTCACCAGCAATCCGTGGCAGCTCTTGAACACCAAACCACTCGATATGCGATGCTGGAAATAAGCTGATAAAGGCGCTGGCCAGGAGTGCGTATAAGACAGTGAGACTGACAAAAAAGACCACCGGCGGGTGTTTCATTGCCGTTCAACGACTCAACATTTAGCATAACTCATATGGGACCGATTGTTACAGTGGTAAATGCTACGGTGATGGGAGTGCCGCACTCAATGGTATATATTTTGAAGCAGATACATCGATGTATAATAAGATTGCAATCAAGAGTCCAAGACCGACTTCACCTTTGACAGACACATACATAAACTCCGAATCATGGTAATCATAAAGCTGTTCTCTCGTTGAATCCTTTCATACAACGTAGGCCGGTAAATCAGATTCGGTCCTCGTATATACCGGCAGCGTTTCGCCCAGGTTCTCAAAGGTATTATCGAAAGTATTATCTTGGCGCTCTGTGAGGATGACTGGTCGACGAATTCTTATCTTCCGAGAACTGTTGGATGCTGAAGTATTATCAGCCTTGTCAGATGGCATCGTCACTGCTGACAACGAAACCTCTAAAACAAAGTCGTGCGAAAGCTTCAGGGCGGTGTTCGAGGCCTCTTCGCACACGCATGACTTGCTGCGCTTTGCAACCATCGTCGCAATCGGGCCATACTCAAAGCTTAGTGTCGAAGTCGTCTCCTGATCACTCTGGGACGGTCTCCATTCCTTGCGAGGTTGTCCCTTTGCTACAATATGAGAGACGCTTTGCCTATGATTGGTGGGCTCTTGCTCGGCGTGACGGGCACAAATACCCAGTGGGGCCTCGACGTGCTCTTCAAGCCTCCATTCTACTCCGATTGCTTCCCATGCGTAGATCTCACCTCCTCCGTGCCTGGGTTTAGAGAGAGAGAAATCTACCTTGACTTTCTTGTCCAGTCTGATAATTTGCTCTGACGACAAACGCGCGTTCAACGGGGTTCCTGAAATTCTCATAGAACTCTCACGAACGACTTGGGGTCTGTACAGTGAACGCTTCACTTCAATATTCTGGTTCCAGGTAATTGTTTCTCCAGTGGCGAGAATGAGTTCGGCAGATAATTCGTACGTGAGGTCCAAAAGAGGTGTCGTAACCGAGGGAGGCGTGTCGTTGTCAAGCCGCGTGGTGAACATGAAGGGGTATTTTCCGTCGGATGGCATGACTCTTCTATCGATGAAAGTCCACCTTTGGAGATGAACATAATGGTGAGCGCAGTCAGGGCAGTTGGTACGAAGAGGTTTCTTGTAGTAGTGATGGAGACGCAACGTCACAGAGAAGCTCTTGACGTCTAAATCTTTTCTCACGTCGAGTATGGCCTCCCCTATGAGTGGTGTACCGGTGGAAAGCGCGCTGCTTTCGAGAGTTAAGGGCATCGGCGTCTGAAACTTCCATTGTATGCCAACATTCGTTCGGTTGGGGCCTAGCTTGCGTAGGCCTTTCGACGGGAGCAGCTTTGAGACATAGTCGAGTGAAACCATTCTGAAGTTCACTTTCTGTAGTTAGACTATGTGCAACCGATGGGCGGCAGATCTTACGAAACAGATACTCGAATAAGCGATTGTAACTTTGCGGTTCGATGGAATTTTGTAGTTAGTATGGGGCGCAGCATGTATGTTTAACTCTTATTCCGCGTACCCTGCACAGGAGGTCACAGCTCTGGTCATGGATTTTTCTCCGATGTCTGACAGTCTGGCTTGGTAGGCGTAGAGTCTAGAACAGAAGAGTCACCCGTAAACCTGCAAGTGGTGTCAGCCAGAAGACCAGTCTATGACGTAGGTAGTCTTTAGTTGTGTCTAAAAGTCCCTGTTATCTTGACCACACTCCGCTTTCTGTCAGTATCATTCTGCGATCGATAACAGCAACACAGTCGCCTCCTGCAATACGAGATGAGTTCCGAAAAGGACGTGAAGAAAAGGCGCGGCCTGCGGACTTGAAAATGAGTTCCTTGGTAGTTGGAGATCACGCTGATGAGGGGCTGAACGGTCGGCCCCTCGCCCCGTGATTGTCGACCAGTGCCCACTCTAGCCTAGATAGGCAAGTAAATTCCAGCTATACTCGGCAGACAAAAGTCCCCGTATCGGCCATATGCCTGGACGGAAAAACATGTTTATAATGGGCGGTTTTGCCGTAGGTCCTTCTGGCTGCTAGATTAAGTACTAAAAATATTGAGTCTAAGATCCTCTAAATCTGTATTAAATTATACTAAGATTTTTATTACCTAGATAGAGGTTCTAAATTCTATTACCTCCCCTTAAACGTATACACGCTCACAGTAAGGTAATAGCCAGAGACTTTTCAGCTACTGCAACTTTGTTATTTACGTTATACATGCAGACACCAATATAGGCTATCTCGATTTCATATCTATTGTCTCCATTTACCTACACATTGCAGCTTAGCCGCTCCAGTGCTTGTTATTTTCCTCTACACCATGGAATACAATCTTGCTCATCAATTAGCCCCACAACGAACTTCACGGCTATCTAGTTCAGGCCGTAAGGCATCGTCATCTATCTCATACAGAAGTAGTGCAGGGGTAGTCGCGAATCCCGTAGCCTGCCCCATCTCAGGTCTTGTACCCTGACTGGGCGCAGTGATCGCGTTGCTCACTCTCCTCTTCCGCCGGAGGAACAATACGGTTGCAGCAATAAGAACCGCCAAACCTACAACTGGGAGAATCACGGCGAGAATAATCGTGGTCTCTTTTGAAAGACCAGAGCTTGAGTTGCTCTCGTCCGTCGTCGAGGCCGTTGCTGATACGGTTTGCTCAGCCTGTAGCGGTCCGATGATGTACGTTGTCGGCGTTGTATCGCAACCCCAGGACGTAAGTTTAGCGCTGTCGTCAGAGGCTGTTTGGTAAATAAAGTAGACGCATCGCGACGAGGCTCCATATGCACTAGATAGCAGTCGTCAATGTTGTCCCTAGTCACTAAGTAGTCTTACCATTTCATGATGGGAGAGTAAGGGCAGAGTGAGGCAACTGTGCCTCCACAATCGGGAGCTGAAGCATCTTCGCATGCAGCGGGTATGTAGCAGCTTGTCTCATGGCAACAGCCCCATGACTTGCCGCCGCTGGGGGTGCTGCAGGTGGATGGTGAAGCGCACGCTGCTGTGTAGACTTTTCATTGATGAATGGCAGCAGTTAGCCGGTCTGATGTTGTGTCTCGGACCTGCTCACAGGTACTTACTTGAATTGACAGAAAATTAGCCGCAAATCTGCGCATTTGTAGTTGCCATAAGTGCGTCCACTTGGACGGTGTCAGGTTCGTGTACGTGAGTCGGGCTGAGCTCCCGGGATCGGACGTCGTCCATCGTACCAGTACTCCAGGCGAGAAGCTGATATGTATAAAATGCGTTATGGAACGATCTCCATCTTGTAATCTTATTCTTTTCGGGGCAGATGATGGAAACGGTATGACATCAACCTCCGATATTTGACGGCGTTCTCTTTGGATAGTTCTGTGTTGACTCTAAAAGCTTAAAATCACCTAGACCGGCCGCTAAGGGATCGCTCAGACTGAAACTCTAAGATGACTTCGCTGATTCTATTGTGCTATAACCTTTCTAACATGCTCTTCTATGTTACTTGGCAGCGTGAGACCATACTCGCCCTTAGCGTACCTAAAGCAAAACTCCACGAGGCCGAGACATGCATGTTGAGAGCCAACATATGACCTTCCCTTGTACTCTAGCCCTTGTAGCTCGTAGAAGTAGGCCTCATTGACTTCGAAGAATTGATGTACCACGGCTTCTGTAGGCTTCTGGCCGTTCTTAAAGAATGCCGTGGCAACGCATATCTTGAGCACCGCCGCACCACCTTTTGTCTGCACCACCTTACTCTGCTTCTTTGTTATAAGCTCAGGCTGTTTGTCTAGCTTCGGAGCTGTGGATTCCATGACCTCAGAAGCAGAAAGCCCATTAGCCTTCTCGCTCCTATACTCCGGATCCTCGATGAGTTTAAGGTCGTAACGTGCCAACAGCTCATTAAACCGTTCCATTATGACAATGACCGGGAGACGCTGCGCACGTATCGCCTCTGTGATCTCTTCGCGGTGTATCCGCATCTGCTCTTTCGCCGCAGTCTTATTCTTCAAAGACGCGAGTCCTTTCTCGGAGCAGAGCTTCTGTTGCAGATACGCGATCAGCACTGCGACGGAGCGTGAGCGCCCGGATTTGCAGTGTATCAAGATGTTCCTCCCCTCGCCGCTATGCCTCTTGATAAACTCATTAGTCTCATCGAAATGGTCGATAAGATTAGAGTTGGCGTTGTCCTCGAGAGGGATGATAAGTGGGTACCTCACGATGCTGCTTATCACGCCGTTCTCGTCGGGGTAGAATCGTTGTAGCCCGTATGAGGTGTTGTTCTTGTCCCATGCTAGTGAGTCTTTGGGATGGATAGCAATAACGACCTGTATGTCATTTTTTACAAGGATATCTTCGTTCAGTGCATGGTTCATGCCCCCGATAAAAATGCTTCCGGGTCCCGTGAGATCTATGTGGACAATACGGGACATTTCCGTGATGTCATTCCGGGTCCATTCTCGGATCTCGTTCCAGAACTTGGCATGCAGAAAAGCGAGGTCATCATGCGACGCAAGGTTGTCGAGTGCCTTGTATGTGGTCGGCTCATAGGAGGGGTTTCGCGCAAATAGCTCGCTCCACTCTATTGACGGGGACTGCTTGGTGATTTTGTCCATCGTGGCAGCGATAGAATATTAGCAAGGAGAAAGAAATGAAGAGGAATAACGCCGTCGATCCGAGAGTAAAGATTCGGATCCCCAGTTAAGAAGTTTATGTGCGAGGGTTGTAATCTTGGCGAATCTAAGCCTCAATCGCATGGCTGAAGACATGTAATCACTAAATCCGCAGCTGGACGTGTTGCACGCTGATTGGTTCAAATGCTTTATTACCAGGCAGAGATTTTTCACTTGCCTAATTCATTTTTCCTTCGTGTTATAGCGAATCCATAGTTTAAATATAAAGGTTTTCTATTACATATACTCGGTTAAGAACAGCCACATTTAAATTCATTTCTTCATCAAATACCTGGTTGCCTAGCTAGGTCCCTGTAACTAGATGCTAGCACTCTCCCCTATATGATCATCATTGCGATAACCATGGCTCCTGTTGTTGCTGGTCCTGCTTCTGGAGAGCTTCTAGCTCTCGCTCGGCCTCGGTGATAGGCTCTTTGGGTTGAAACTAAAGGTACCCTGGCGCAGCAATCACGATACCACAGCCGAGGCCGCAGGTAGCTGTCAGAGTAGCAAAACCGACCAAGTGCTGAGGAGCATGGGCGCTCCTGGTCGGGAAAAGGTATCGAGTCGCTAGCGCAGTTTAGCATGAGCGGTAGTCGTAGGCCAACAACAAGGAGACACATCATGACATAGTTGGCAAGGGCGGAATGAACCGAGGCCGAGATTAGGCATGCGACAGCCGTAATTCCGTAAATACCGAAGCTATGCCACCCATCTATCTTGGAGGTTGTCTGAAGTCCACGACAGAGCCAGCTGACACACGGCGCCGGTCATCTAGACAGGGACGGTTATCCGCTGTACCGTGACCTTGGTGTAGCTCATAGATCGTTGGAGGAGGAGAATGTATTGAAGCTCCCTGACCCGGGAGCAAGATGGAGCAAGGTCCGAAGTCGTTATATCCCGTTCAATGGCCAACAGGACCAAGCCAGTATAGGACTACTGTGTTGGAGAGATAGAATATGGGGTTCTTATAACGAGGTAGTCCAGTAGTAGCTTTAAAAGTACAGCTATATGGAGTTTCGTATTTAGGACTCGAATATACAGAAGAAATCCTGTAGCTTCTACTTTTGGTTAATGCAGTTGTAAACATTGTATACCTTCCATCCATCAACTTCATAGAGAACTTTAGCTCCTTTGTTTCTGCCAATGCTTTTGTAGCAATTGAACTTCTTATACCCATTGCTTCCTGTCCCTGCCCAAGCATTCAAATCCATCTTAACTGCACCAGCCGCAATTTGAGAGGTAAAGGTTACCCCGCTGCGAAATCTGCCTTGGTCTGTCAGCTACCATATACAGCAGGTGGAAATCTAGAATATTTCAGCTTACCTTTAACAGCCTTCCCTTCCCAGTATGTGAAAGTTCCATGAGTGACATCGGTGTAATCGCTAGGACGAGCCATATTGCCTGGAGGACTTTTGTCACCGTAGTATGCCATTCCGCTAGAGACTTCGTTGCCTTTGACGGAGTTGACAAGATAGACGTACTCGTAGGCGGCGACTGAATGGACCCCGGCTAAGGCGGTGAGGAAGGATGTGACCTTCATGATGGCTAGGAGGTACTGTGTTTGATGGTAAGCGATACAGGGCAAGCCTTGGCAAGGAATGGCAACATTATATACTTGAGAGATGTGCAATCAGTGGGTCGTATTCTCTCTGCAGTCATATGTGCACCAAAGTTCCCAAGCTAATCACATGACTTAACGAAGCATTGACTAATAGTATTCAGGCTAGAAGCTACAATACGATCATGAGCTGGCCTTCAGCTGTAACATTAGTGCTTACAACTACGCACCTACCGCTCAATTTCAAGAGCATAGATTTTAAGACTGTTCTAGAACTTAGGTCTTTGGGAACTTTTAACCCCATGAGTGAAGAATGCGCCTGTCTTCGGTTAGCACGAGCCATGATCCTGGGAGGGGGCTGAAATATGAGTCGATAACACGGGTTGTCTGGCGAGAGTTGCTAAATGCTGACTGCTGATTTAAGCTCGCAGCCACGAGCCTCAACTGCATGGACGGGGCTGGGTATTGTGGCTCTTGATGGCCAAATATCTCACTTACCTCGAAAGAAATTAAAATGCAACCTGTAAATTACAATATTTTACGTCTATTTCTTTAAGATCTACCATCGGGGTTAAGTAGATATGTTACTACACTGCGTGTTGAAATTGTGTGGCTTTTGACATGCCCTTTAATGAACTTATCGTAGACCACGGGCCTTGTTTCATAGACGGGCAGTACTGGGCACCGATGAAGAGGCCGTTAGGCGATCCCGTCATGGATAACAGCCAATAGCTGGCTCTTCATCGTATATAATCCCTGGGATAAACTATACCTAGTCTGTCCAGGTAGTTAACGTTTTCTAAGAAGCCAGGGTACCCCAGCTGCTAACAATGGACTCCTCTGCAGCTGAAAGAAATAAAGCAGACCACGCAGCGCTAGCCTATTTTTAACTAAAGGCGATGCAGCCCTAGACCCAAACGATGGTTGGGAGGTAGACTGATGGGCGGCATTTATTCATGATCATGTTGGAGGGGACTTCGCAGAGGAAATAGCCGACGAAGGACAGATACACAAGAAGGGAGTAGTCTCAGAGCTCGGAGTTAGTCGACGTGATGCTTGTACTCAAGTGAGATGAGCCTACCGCATGTTGAGACTCTCACTCATTCCAGCTGCATTTGTTCAAGTCAGTCGCTGTTTATCCCGCCATCGGTTGATCTCAGAGCTCACGAAATTCCCCCGATCCAGGTATGCAAGGACATACATCAACTATAGGCAAGGCAGAAGAGTGAAATCAATCTTTCGAACAAGGCGTCGTTCTTCGGCTGTATCAGGGACATAGTTTGCCAGATGGTGAGCTGCTCATCGTCAGCCAGTGCATCGCCAGGCTTGACGATCTCGCTATCTGCAATATCTTGGGACACACGTTGCTGAAGGACGGTTTTGCCTTCATTTTTAGAGTCCATCGCGATCGTGGGATAGATCTACAAGAAAGGTAAGATCAAATGTAGGAAACGAGGCGGAACGGCCCGTCGGGGAACATGGGCATTATATCTCCAGGATCGGCAGTCGGCGTGGTTCTCCGATCACCGAAGATCCTTCCCGATCAAAGACTTTCTCATTGCCTAGTTCATTGCTTCAGATGATAATCATAAAATCCCGCCCCTCCGTACGTGCCAGGACAGGAGGATGTTTCTTGAGAACGAAAAATCCCTGTACAGCGCAGAACTATGGTGCGGGGTATCTGCCATCAAGCTTGTTGAGGAAAGGAAACTAAAAGCGACGAGAAGCATAGAACGTGCCGGCGTACAGATGTATAGCCCGGCTATCATATTGCCAAGATGTATGCCTGAAGGCCGATGACCGTTGGACGAGGGACAGAGAGCTATTTTCCGTATAACTGCTGAGTCGTTAGTGGAGCCCAAGATCAGTGCTCTCTGTGATTGGCTTCCTTAGCTCCAGGGTATTTTTCATGATGGGCTGTTGAAGAAAAGAAGAAGTTGCGATTAAATCTTTGGTAGGTAGGAGCTACATGTGTTGTTTCGAGTGATACTTCTTCACCGTTTATTTTTGCATTTCTATGCGTATTGCATGCTTTAACAAGAACCAGCTGCCACCTCTGTCTTATGCTTCACGCGCTACCAAGTTTCATTCTATCAAAGGATCATACCCCAGTTACCTTCAAACCGTGTCAGCTCGACTTCGAAGGAATCATGTCAGCATGAGTGTATGTACCTTTGTATCTCCTCATCTTCGCTACAGATTTTTAACCGCCCAAGCCTTCTTTTACCTGTAATCATGATGATATTGTGCGTTGACTGACGCTGACTATGGCGGGACGGGCCGTGCATATAGGACGGCGCTTAGGTTGTCCAGTCAGGTCAGTCTTGTCCCCGCATCCGTCATGGATCAAGTTTATTTTAAGCCTGGAAACTCATTTCACAGCGCCAATAAACTTCTTCTACTCCAATAATAGTGATACAAGCAGATAGATGTCTCAGCAGTGCACGTGATGAAACTGCATCAGTCTTAAACCCCTCATATGCTCTGTATGAGCTCTTTCTTTGCTGTCAAGTCAAGTCACATCATATCGCCACAAGCAACATGGTCTCAACACAACCCCCAAAGGACCGCAATGAATTCAGAATAGCAATTGTGTGCGCTCTGCCTTGCGACGCTGATGCTATCACACTACTCTTCGACGAGTTCTGGGACGAGATTAGTGCGCCTTATGAGCGATTAGAGACAGACAGGAACACATACATCACTGGACGAATTGGACAACACAATATCGTTCTTGTCACTCTACCTCGCCCGGGGTGTACCAGTGCGGCAAGTGGATCAGCCTACCTGACATTAAGCTACCGCAATCTCAAGCTTGCGCTACTCGTCGGAACATGCGGAGGCATGCCACGCATTGGCAACATTGATGCATACCTTGGTGATGTAGTGATTGGTAAGGATGTTACGCAGCATGACTTCGGCACCCATTACCCGGGTGAGTATGTCCTGAACGATGCAGCCGAGAATATGATACGAAGAGCAAGCAAGGAATTGCGAATCCTGCTGGCAAATCTGCAAATGGAATTTACGAGAAACCGTTTGAAGAAAGCTGCCGAACACCATCTGAAGGATTTGCAAGAGGCTGCACGGAAAGCAGGGCGGAAAGCAGACTATCAATATCCAGGAACGAAAGAGGACAGGCTCTTCCCCCGGGATTATCGTCACGAACACAAAGAGTCCTGCACTCTGTGTAAAGATAATGCCCACGGCTTTTGTGAAGCAAATTACAGATCTCCATGTATTGAGACCGGATGTGACTTCTCAAAGTTGATCCATCGCCATCATCGAGACGATCTCCCGCAAGGCGCAGAGTTCATACCAGAGATCCTCCTCGGACGGTTCGGTTCAGCAAATATACCTGTCAGAGATGGTGTTTATCGAGACGAATTGGCTGAGAAATATAGCCTTGATGCTTTTGACATGGAAGGAGCTGGTATATGGGATGAGCTCCCCACATTGATAATTAAAGGGATTTCTGGTTACGCGGATAGTCACAGCAACAAGGCTTGGAAGGACTTCGCATCCGCGACAGCAGCTTCTGTGGCAAGGGCCATTCTTGGACGTTATCCAAGCAGCGATATGGAGCCTCCGGTTCCTCTGCGTGGTATGTACTGGTTCCTTTTCATCGTACAATAACTGACATTTAGTAGCGCAACAAGAAGCCAATGAGCTTAGTGTCGCAAGCAACTCCCTTGTGGATGTAGGCTCGTGTAATAAGCAAGAGATTGCAGGGAGCTTGACATATGCCTCTGAGCCGGTAGTGATACCCAGAGAGATAAATACTGCGAACTACTATTGGAGGAGGCTGTTAGTAGGTGGTTGGAAAACAAGCCTTCTGGTTGGAAGCGGCATCCTTATAGTTTATGGTTTGGTGTAAAGTTTTCATCTACTTTCAGCATCATAAAACCTGCCTACGCATCTTCATTGCATAAGTGATTAATCGATACCAACTGCGTCTTGAAAGCTTTAAAGAAAATGAGGACTGTATCTCTTAGCTAGTATGTCTGTGCTCAATTGTGTTCACGAATGTAACCTCATTTTACTGCAAGATTAATAGACCGTGCCAAGTTCCAGCCATGTACAATGTTCAATTTATATATACGTTGAAGTACTAACTCGATCCAACCTCTCCATCTTCAACACTGCCATGATATGTACCAAACTCTTCACACCCTATCTCATGCAACTCATCCAAGTCATTTCCAATCAAGACATCAGGCCAAGAGCCGATTCAGCCCCCTAGTTACCAACATACTTGACAGTAACAGAGTTGCTGGTGATAGAACCAACAGCCTGGACAGTCTGACCCTGGTCAGGAGAAATATCAATGATCTGAGCACCAGAAGGACCAGAAGTACCCTTGGTTCCAGAGACAACAGCATTGGTGAAAGTGACAGTGCCAAAGTCGGCAAGGTCAACCTGGCTACCGCCCTCCTGGAAAGCCTCAACAATCCACTCAGCGTTGGTCTCGCAGAGGGTAGAAGGAGTGTTGGTGAAGCTGTGAGTGGCCTTCTGGTTAGTGGTCAAGTTCTCAAGGGTAGCGACACCCTTGGTCTTGGAGGACGCATCAACAGTCATGCGGATCTGATCGCCGACGGAGACGTCAAAGTTGCTGAAGCTGTAGGCATAGTCGGGAATCCACTCATACCAAGCATCGAAAGATCCATCGGCATAGAAGGAAATACCAGTCTGAAGGATAGCAGTCTGGCAGGTATCGCCGTCGATGCCAACCCAAGCAGAGGCAGCAGCGCCGTCAGCACCGCTGACCTCAGGGACGGTGATGGTGCCCTGGACTTTGTTGTAGCCGCTTCCGATCTGAACAGCACCGGCCCAGTTGCCAGAGTACTGGTCGTTCTTGGTGCGAACCTCAGAAAGAGATGTGAGGCGCTGGTTGGGGTGAGAGCTGTACTTGGCTCGGCGGGCAGAGCGAGGGACAAGGGGAGAAGTGTCACGGGGAGTGAGCTTGGTGCCAGGAGCAGCGAGGGCAAGGCTGGCGGCAGCGAGGAAGAGAGTGAACTTCATGATAAAGGTTGAGTTGGAAGTGTTGGACTTGAAGAGATGAGATGAGCTTGATTGTTTCTGATGCTTCTGGATATTTTCTTTCTCTTGGCATTTTCGCAGACTTATATAGATTTTGGATCTGTAGTATTTCCTATGTGCTCTACTATCTATCCCATTAATCCAAGACTATTCCTCAAAGCGTAGGTCCATAACTCCAGATATCCTCGATGCCGTACTTCCGTATAATCAGCTGCAAGTCCAAAACTACTAATGTGTATCGTGAGTGCGGAATATTCTATCACATCTCTATACCTGCACTCCAACCAAACCTCCTCCCTTTTCTGGACATTTCACCATTAGCCCCGGCAGTCATGTCTATCGGACTTTATACCACTTGCCTATCTGAAAGGGACCTTTTATAATACCGCTATCACTGATGCAGCCTGGCTTCCGAATGTGGGCACATCCGTGGCTTCGTGTGAGATGATTGGAGAGAAGTCGAGTCTAGGACCTGATTGTAATCAAGCTTGATCTGGTAAGTGCGCCGAGGCCGGATGTAAAGCGGCATCTCTTACAGCTGGTCTGCGGGAGTTGGCGTGATGTGCCGTACGAAATGACAGGGGTTCGATCTCCGATAAATACTATATAGAAAATAATTACGTTATATATTGAAACTGAACATATATAAAGTTCATCTGGAGTTATCAACATAATAATTAGACATTTAACTTAGGTTTTGAGAATGAGCAGACCCTGATGATCTCTGATCTTGACACGAGAGTGGCATGCATGAATATCCATGCTATTCTGTTATCAGTCGTGATCGGCGCTAAGTTCGGCATAAAGATGCCGTGCAACTCCTTTGCAAGAATTGTCCGCCACAAACATGGCAATGATGTGCAGCAACCCATTTATTGCAGCTAGGTATAACTCATGAACTTTTGTCGCTGCTAATGATTCCTTATCACATGGGTCTATGCGTTGGTGTTGCGCTATTTTACAAGATCAGTTGTCACAACGGGGACGGTCATATGGAACTTCCGAAGCTCCTTGCGAAGGAGTCCGGCTTCTAGTTATTCCCGGAGTAGAGCCTTCGACATATTGTATTCGAGAGAGGTACTGCTGGTAAGCGCTCATCATAGACGTGTCTCTCAGGATTGAGTTGCGACTTGAAGTTTATAAATCGCCGGGCCGTATCAAGTTGCCACAGCTGTCGTGTTTGTTCTACAATTCCGTCGGTGCCTTGCAGTATTTCTACTCTTTTAAAAGTTACGGTCTAACCTCTGCCCGTTCATCTTTGGAGGATGTCGCAAACACACAGGCCGTGCCGAGTATCTATGGCCCATGCCTTCCAGAGGGTCTGCTAGAAAACGAGGGCAATACCAGACAAAAAGCTTAGCGACACGCGTCATTACAAAGAGGCTTGCCTTGTGGAAGGTATTGGAATGACATAGAAGATCTGTATCGCGCTCCTGAAGCTTAGTTATGCATCCTGCTACAACGTCTAGATTCTGAGTTACACTTACCATTCGTGGCTGTGATCTGTAGGTCCGAGCTTGTAATCCACTGACAGAACTCAGTTCAAATAGTTCCGATGTATTGTTTTGAACTTCTGTGGCTGGAACAAGAGGTTCAGTCAGTGGCAAATCTTTGCGTGGATGAACTTCTCATGACAATGTTGGATCCCTCTCGGTACTAACGATACAGTTCAAGGCGCATGCTCTTGTCCAAAGACGTGAGTTAAACAATAGTTCACCCGAAACCCTATTGGCCATCTTTTCTAGACACTTCTATCCAGCCAGTCAGAGATGAAACTATATCGCCGTTACAGTTCAAGTACACGGCCAAACATAACATTAACTTCAGAAAGCTCTTAGACGCACATGCCCTAATGCGAAAACTTAAACAGGAACAATTATATGTACTTGAGTTTTTCTTTTTACTGTCCCCTCATTGGAAGGAATTCATTCAGAGATTTCCCTAGTGCGACAATGGTTCGTTCAGCCATCCGTGCAAGTTCGCGACGGCCAGTACGGCAAACAACTACATTAAACTCCCAACCAGATTTCAAAATGCGTTGGTACAGTCTCTACGCGGGAGCCCGACTAGAAATACTCGACTTTGTCGTCCACTCTACCATCCAAGAGAAAGGCTCCATCGCACAATACGCCTGCGTATCCCGAGAATGGCAAGAGTGGTTCGAGATATTCACATTCAAGCGACTAGAAATCTCACCATCTGACATCATGCCATTCATAACCGTGTTCATGAATCTTCGCCGCCGAAGATACCTCCAATACATTGGCGCGAAACTCGATCTGCCAGTTCACGAACACATTCAAGATCCGTTTCTTGATCGCGATGAATTCGTAAACATACATCAGCAAATGCAAGCCCTTTCACAGCAGGATCCTATGCTGTGTTGCAATTATTCATGGCTGAGATATAAACATCAAGAGGACATGTCATGGCTGAAACATCGAGAGGAGAATTCGTGGCTGAAACATCAAGACGAGGAAAACAACCGTGCTTTCACGAATGTTCTGCGAGGTCTGTTTGCGGAGCTTTTCCAGTGGAGAAGAGAGCACTGTCATCACGAGGGTATTGAGCTGGAGATCATTGCTGATACCAAAAGTCATTGGCAGAAGACTGCGGAAGAGTGTCAGGCACTCAATCCTCCTAGCGACAACGGTAGTGGGGACTTTCATAACAGTCTCTCAAGCGAGCTCCAGATCTTTCATGCCCCTCCGTACCACGGACATCAAGTGCTGCACGATGGTGAGCTAGACTTTTCCTTTTGGCTGGAGCTAGACGTGCAATTCGGAGGGACGCTGGGTCCTGAGGTCCACGTCATCTCGGGCCTATCAATCCTTCGACGAAGTGTTCGTCACTTTGACCCGGAATTTATTGCTCATATTGTAAGCCTACTTCCGCGTCTGAGGGAACTTCGATGGGAGGTTAGACCTCACGCGCATTGGCGAACTGAGCATAAGTTCCATAGTCAACTGCAAAAACTGCTAAAGACGTTGAATCCGGCTATGACCAAGGTCAGGATCCAACAGCAACCCACGTCAAAACCGCTCCACAGCCCAAGCCCCTCTATGGACCGTCCAAGTCTCGGTGATCGTCTGATCCTATCATGTCCATTTCTTGTAAACATCTACATGGACATTAAAGTCGACATTACCAAATTCTTCTACATGCGGAATCATTTACAAAATGTTCGTATCATGTGCGTACGGACTCACCAGGCATTGCTTGACGAACTCCCCAACACCTCGAATGTGTTGTTTGGCGGTATTGCCAAGGCGGTGTCCAAGATGCCAAAGCTCAGCGCTCTGTGTGTGTTTAACAAAACCGACACTGAAGCTTGCGCTGTTAACTTTGTTGTGGAGCGTGATAGCTTTAAAGTCATTGCCCACTGCAGTTGGCCATTTAATGTCAGGGATGAGACCAAGGCCCGCTGGAGAAAGGCTGGGAGACATCAGCCAGGCAATTTGGTTTGGTTGGCAGCGCAGAGCTCGTACGACACTGTTAAACATGAGATCATGTTGCAACAGCAGTGGCATAGTAGTTTCTGCTGAATATTCACAGCTTGTGCACTTCGTTACAAGTGCATAATGGTTTGTAGGAGAGCAAACGCAATATGATTAGAACTGCCTACTCGATGAGAATTCTACAAAATATACAATAACTCTTATGCACTATCAGCGTAGGTATATTATCCTTGGCCTCTTCACTCTTCATCCTCCTCTAACAAATCATACCACTCGGGGATCTCTTTGACGAGTCCCCACATGTACTTTTCCAGCTTTGTCGCACACTTGGAATAGACAGTCGTTGCGTCATTATATTTCCGACAATTGCTAAAAATTAACTTGAGATCACTAACAAGATCCCTTGGCGCCGCATAGTAATCATGCTCTAGTCTTTCAAGCATCGTCGACAAGTCCATCGGGGATGTTATGACGTTATAGTAGTCTGGCACATCGTCCTTGTTGACTGGCTGGAGAAAAGGCCATGCTTGTTTGTGGTCTTGAACTTGGTACAGGAGCCGTCGCATCTCGTTGAAATGAGGCCCGTGGCGTGGCTGCCTTGATAGTTCGTCCATGTCTGGGGACCAACCGGTTGCCCGGATATGAGGAATAGTGAGCGGGTCGATTGGAGTGATGGTGCCATCGGCCCATTGCTGAGGAGGTTGGTAAATGATGTGGCTTTTATTCATAGGTCGGATCTTTGCGAGCACGGTTTCTTTTTGCTTGAGAAGCATTCGTCCAATCTCCAAATAGCGTATCCGGGGTACCATAGAGCATTGCATCAGCGTTCCTCCTTCGTAGTCTTTTATATACCCCATCCAGATGGATCTCTCAAGTGAAATATCCTTCGTAAAGCCCTGCTTCTGAAAATACCCAGTAGCATAGTTATCTGCATATGTCAAGAAGTACATTACCGGGGACGTTGCCTTGACGTAGTCCTTTAAATGGGCCATGAGATGGGCGCCATAACCTTTAACTTGTTGATCTGATGATACAGCGCAAAAGACGATCTCGGCAAATTTCCGCGCTCGAAATTCTCGAAATGATATACCGCCAATAACTTCCAGGGGCTTCTTCACAATGGCGATGGATAGATGGGTACGGTCATAGACAAGACGTGCGATATAGTCCTTTGGCATTTTCGGCAGTTGCTTCTGGAACAAACACTTGAGCCCTGTAAGAAGAATCATGCTCTCTCGTGTACCATCATTATTAACAACTCGATACTCTATCTCGCCATTTCGCTCTTCAACCACAGCAGGCTTCAGATGAGTTAGGCCAAACTGACATTTATTAAGTGGCCAGCGCACTCACTTTGTCAGGGAAGGGTATTCTGCTAGATATATCCCAGAGCCCTATGTCTGATCTGTCCGAATCTTGATTGGAGCTCTTGAGTCTTTTAGCATCGGATTGAGTTTCTGGTTCAATTGAAGCTGGACGCTTCGCGAGAGGGAGACTTTGCCCGTCCGCGAGCGGATGCGCCTCGCTGTCCATCTGTATCAAGTGGTGGAAAGGCGCTCCGAGCGATGTGTAAAGGACAAAGAATTAAGTCAGTGAAGGTATTAGAATGGCTTAAATAAATATTCTCTTAAAAATTACAAACACCTGACCAGCCATGTGACCAGAGAAGTGAGTTCATTGACAACCAACAGACCAATTAGATAACGAGTTGACCTGCCAATCATTTCACAAAACTTTACCAACAGAAACCAACTAAGGCTTTATATAATCAGGCTTGTCTGAACTTTGCAGGTGAGATGAAACATACATAATTTGAAGCAGCGAAGAGAGCGGTCCAAGTGTTGGTGGGTGACCATGCTTGGTACTATATGGCTGCGCAGGATACAGCGGGCTGTTATCTACGGCGCTGAATGGGTAGCGAATCTCCGTTTCTCCTGTTGCGGGGACTTTTAATAGATATCTAGTAATACCTGCATGTTATGATTGATTTGTCTTATACCCAAGCTAAGACAAGTCGGCTAAAAGCTCAGACATACATGGAGTTCAAAGACTGCGATTGCACTAGATTAAGTCACGTCACAGAAACCTACAAGCTTGGAAATTTTATGTCAATTTGATGTCATTTATCCTATCCAAGACTTATCCCAGGCCAACCATGTCCAGATCATTATTATTGTGCCTGCGCTATCCTTTCCATCCCCTTCCGTTCTAAGGTATCATGAGTGTATTTTACTCGTCCAGCAATCTAGTTATATCACCATCTGCGAACAATAGCGCGACGTCCAGGATATGTAGGCGCCACTGTCGCGTTCTTACCCGACACTCCACCAGAGGGTAGAAGGACTGGGATGTCGGGGTGCTGTAGGGCTTCGGCTTCAGCGATGGGCATCTCTCCTGCGCCCTCATGAGGTTCAGCGGGTTGAGTTGCAGGAACCTCGTGTGCCATAGTCGCTATTGGTGCAGCCGGGTGTTCGGCAGCGGGTGCTTCGTGGCCCATTGTCGCGACTGGTGCTGCTGGGTGCTCTGCGGCGACAGACGTCTCATGAGCTGGTGCTGCTGGGGCAGCAGGGTGTTCGACGACAACTGGTGTTTCGTGAGCTGGAGGCGCGGCGGGATGCTCAGCTACGACAGTCTCGTGAGGCGCTGGAACCTCTGCTGCTGGTGCGTGTTCAGGGACCTCCACGACAACTGTCTCGTGTGGTGGTGCTTGATGGGCTGGTTGTTCGTGCTCGGGCTGTTCAATGACCACGACGGGATGTTCTTGAGGAGCTTCGACGGGATGAGCAGTGGGTTGAGCGGCGACGTGCTCGGTGACTGTCTGGATCACAGTTACATGCACGGGCTTCTCTACCTCGACAGTGTGAACAACCTCAACGGGTTTCTCAACTTCAACAGTGTGGATCTGCTGAACGGGCTTCTCGACAACTTGAGTGTGCACCACTGTGACGGGTACTTCGACATTGACAGGCTTCTCGACTTCAACCACTGAAGTATGGACGACTGTGTTCTCAACCACGGATGTATGGATGACAGTCACGGGCTTCTCAACTGGTACTTCAACAGGTTGAGTGTGAATCACCGTGACTGGTACCTGAACGGGGACCTCGACTGGCTGGGTGTGAATCACGGTGACGAGCTTCTCGACCTCCACGGGCTGTGTATGGATGACGGTAACGGGTTGTTCAACTGTCTGGTGCACGACAGAAGTCTCAACGACTGTCACAGGTTTCTCAACCTCGACGGGTACAGTGTGAACGACAGTGACTGGCTGCTCAATGGTCTGATGAACCACCGAGGTCTCAACCACTGTAACAGGCTTCTCGACCTCGACCGGTTGGGTATGGATGACTGTAACGGGCTGCTCGATGGTCTGGTGTACAACAGATGTCTCGACAACTGTAACTGGTTGTTCAATCGTTTGGTGGACAGTCTCGATAACTGTGACTGGCTTTTCGACCTCGACTTCGACGGGTTGGGTGTGAATGACTGTAACAGGCTGCTCAACTGTCTGGTGAACAACAGAAGTCTCAACCACGGTCACAGGTTGTTCGATCGTTTGGTGAACCGTCTCGATGACTGTAACAGGCTTCTCGACTTCCTGGTGGACGATCGAAGTCTCGATGACTGTAACTGGTTTCTCAACAGGAACATGCTGAACCTCCGTCACGGTCGCATGCACCGTCTCAGTCTGGTGCACAACCTCAGTCACATGAACTGTCTCATGCACTGTCTCGTGAACAACCTCCCCAGGTATCGTCACGTGCACCGTCTCATGAACAGTGACCGGCTCGCACACCACGGGCGCAGCCTCCTCAGCAGGAGGATTTCTTCGGAAAAATGACGGAGAAGCAGTCGCCAGACCAGCAAAGGCAGAAGCAGAAACGATAGTTGAAAAGTGCATGGCAGGCCAGCCTCTTTGATTAGAGATAAGCAATTAGGAAGGAAACGTTTCTCGACTCGGCGATACCAGATCGCGTGGGTTGATATAAAAAATGAACGGCAGGTTTTAATAAAATTAAGGAAGAAACAAACGACAATAAAGAATCGAATGGGGATCACAAAACACGCTCCAGGCGGAAATAGAGCGAAAAGAAAGAATGTGTAAAGAGAGAGGGAGAGGGATGAAAAAGGCTAAAAGCGACGGGAAAAGACGAGGTTTTTCTTCGTCTTGGCCATGATGTTTTGGCGTTGCATTTCATCCAGGGAACATGAGACGTGGCTACCCTTCGGGCAGTGATGAATCCGCTCCAAAATGTCATGATTTTTTGGGGGTTTTTTTTTCCTCGCGCCTCGTTCCCAGCTCGGAAAGTTGGCTCGCCGCAGGGAGTCGGTGTTTGGAGGAGGTATCTTGGCGATGTGCACTTGTCTCGGCATTGATTCAGCTGCCCTCCTCCCCTGCCCGTATATCAAAGCACAAACCATCAAAGCACAATAGAGTTGGGTTAAGCTTAAGAGGCATAACGTTAAGTCAGATAACCTTAGAGCATGAACCCCTGTTTGAAACTGTTGCATTGGGGGAATTTGGGGCTCATAGCGGGCTTGGCGACCTCCTGGCCGATGTTTCCCTGCAGCGGAAGGCCTTGGTCCCGGCCTTAGAGGCCCCGTTTCTCGGTTTCAGCCTTGTTACCAGAGATTGAGGAAGAAAGTGACTGATGTTATACGAACTTGGGATGAGTTGGCGCCTTCACCAGCGTTTTGGGTTAGCTGTCAAGGTCTCATCTTGACTATCCTGAAACAGAACCCCGCCAAGTCTTGTATCACGGATCTTGCGGCAGGAGGCTCCTCAGTTGACGTAAGATAAATAGCCTTGGGAGTTCCCTGCGAAGGATGTTTTCTTTTTTTCTGGTGAACTGTTCGTAGAATGCAGTTCTTGCGAGGCCAAGGTTGACAGGTGTTGGCAGTTGAGTCGTTATCTTATCTCGCAGGCCTTATCTTATCTAGTCAACTCCGAGGCTATTCTTAGCAATGAAGTGCGGCTGAGAGGCATGGGATTTCAGCTTCGATATCCGTAGTATGCTTACTCTTGCGATATTAACTTGTCCGTAATTCTTCGTAACCATCATCCATCACCAGAATTTCTCAAGGTCTGCGTTTTCACTGCGCCAATCTCCTGTACTCATCGATGCACGTAATATCTCGAAACAACCACGACGTGTTATCAGTATGAATAACCTAGACTCCTTGGTGCAGACGCCTTCGGATCGATTAAGCCGCCTATCCGGAATCCCTCTTGACATCATCCTCCACCATCTCGATCTCGCATCATTCACCAACTTACGTCTCACCTCACGCCAGCTAGCCACCAACACCATCCACTGTCGTTTCTTCAGATCCTCCAAGACCGATCTATTTCTGGCTAGTTTACAATCTCTCTCAGATAGAGTCTCTCACCCTCAGCTGGGGCCCGTGCTGAGAGAGCTCACTGTTGTTGCAACGCTCTATGACACCCAACCAGCCGAGGCGACTGTCCAAACAAGGAAGAAATGGTCTGAATTCGACAAGGACGAACTCCACCGTGATACAGAGAATTATCACCAACGCGTTGAAGATCTGCGCGAGAGAAACGTAGATTGCACAGATGAAGAAGTACAAGAGGCGCAGCAAGATCTTGAATGGATGCAGACAAGAATACAACAAGATGCAGACAACGGTGGCAGCCAGGCCATTCGCTCGTTAACCAGCATCTTTGGAATCGCTGTCAATCTTCGTGTTATCAATCTAGACGCCTGTATCATCGGAGGTCGCACCAAGACCTGCTCACCAGCTGAACATCACAAATGGTATCGATCCGACCACCAGAGATCAAGTTGGCCTTCAGTCTGGGCAGCAGCATCCGAAGCCTACTTCATCGTCATCTTGGCCGTATCCCGCAGCAGGATCCAACTTGAGAAACTCCACATCTTTCCTGATACGCCGGCATGCAGTGTGCAGCTCAGCCGTGTTGAGCCTTCTTGGATAGCGGTGGACGTGGATGATTTTGCATATGCTTGCAAAAACATCAGGTCTTTCAGACTGAGCTTCTCCACGAATACAAGCATCGGAGTATCACCGCCTGCCCAAGGAGACCCCCTTTTTCGTCATGCCTTTGCAGCAAGCTCTGACTACAGGCCACATCCAGAGCGGGATCTGGATGATTGTGCCGATGCAGCCGCAATTCTTAGATTTATGCACAATCTCA